TCGAGCATATATCCATCATGAGGTTTGTTTCCAAAAGAGATAAGAGAGAAAGAGAATACCAAGCGTAGCATACATGAAGCAAGACGTAAAGGGAAAATTCTAGAGAAAAAAATGAAATATTAAGTGAACACGCCCAGTGATATAGTTTTCCTATTAGATATCTATCTCTATATCTTAATCCATCTAACATGCATACTCATATCGAGTTCGAATTTCGAGTGTGAGTAAGTAAAAGTATGAGCTCGCTTCACTACCTAGGGACCTAAAGCACGCGAATAAAATGACGGTATCTAATAAAACAATGAGAATCGAAGCCCAAGCCGAGCCGAAATGATGACATGTACGGAGTACAAACAAAGGTATTACATCACAGTAAAAGCTATTTCCTAAAATACTCTGATGGGATGATCATAATACATATATACACCTATATGCATACATGAATACGTGAAGGAACCCCTCCCCTTCGTGTAAATCCCGTAGAAAACCAGTCAACACCCGCTAAACTAGTATTAATAATTTATCCTACAGAGTATCGGCGTGTATATTCGCAGCGCTGTGTGCTATGCTATGCCATGGTCGTACAGGAGTGGGGAAATTCTCAGATAGATATTACTTTCTAAGCCAGTCCAGTCGACGCTTGAAGTCACATGCGTGATGGATTGTGAATAGCATGAAGACCACAATACCACACAGTCAACCGCGGGTCGTACAACATAAGCCATTGTCTTAGGTAATTGAACTGCTTACATCTACTATGAATCACAAGCAATTGGTTGTTGGCTCATGCAGCTTGTCATGGGAGTATTTCAATACCATTAACTAAGGTAGTCATAAAGTAGGGTATAAAATCAACATGCCCCTGCGCGCCGTGTTGCCATTCCCAACCCATGATATACATAAAACTCCTAACCCAAAAGCCCAGTAATATAAGACCCTCATTCATTGACCTGCCAGATTTCATGCATACTCCTTTTGCCATTTAACCAATTGTCTAGTAAGAATGTCCATCATTTCCAGACATGTTAAATCCTTGAATTCCTTTGGTGAATGGCTTTCGCCGGCAGTCGCCTGTTTTCCATCTGCGCCATTTACGCCATTAAGTCGTATCATAGGGAGAGTCTCCTCGACAAGTCCTCGAATGTATTTCTCCGCCCCGCTGCCACTCGGAAGCATTGATGGGTCGCCAGCCAGTTCGATTTGAGTTCGTGATATGAAATCGAGGATACTTGCAGCACGTTTCCTCATCTCGACCATACTAATTTTGCTTCCTACGCTTACCTTTGCTTTACTGGATTTACTCTCGTTGTTTGAGCCCTTGCTATTTGTAATATGTCCATTATCGTCTGTACGTGAAATATCCCTAGATTGAGATCGGTTTGGGGATCGAATACTGCTGTCATCTTTGTCCTTAGTGTATTGGTTCTTGCCCGACTTGCCCTTCCGAGGATTAGGAGGTCTGCCACCCTTCTTATGAGAAACTGGCGGTAGAAGTGGAGGAGGCGTATCTGGCGCTATCGCCTGTGATGCTGGAGGCGGATCTGGAGGTTGAGCAGCTACCTCAGGATTCTTGCTTGGAGGTTTTATCGCAGGCGGAGTTTCTTCAATGGGCTCGGAATCTGAGTGAATGTGAGCTGCTGCTACGTCATTATGCATCTGAGTGACTGACCTTCAATCCTGCGACGTTCAGCTCGGCCTTTTCTTTTGTTTGCGGCTTCCAGCCTCGACCGTTCTCGTTCTTCCCTTAATTCTTTTTCTCTGTGATTTTTAGCTGCCGCTCCCCTGATCTTCTTAGCTGCTCCAAATCGACCATTTCCTATGATTGCGCTATCCTCGGATTCTGCTTGGGATACAGATCTTTGAAGGGTCTCTTGTGGTTTCTCCTCATCCTCCGGAGTAGGAGAAGCCGAGTCTGTACGCTGCCTTTTGGGTCCTTCATGTTTGCTACTAGAAGTAATTAGAACCAATTGTACGAATAGAATCCTATGTACCTACTCTTCGCTATCACTTCGGCTTCGTTTTGCCTTGCGACTCCGACCATCAACACTTTCGGAGTTATTTTCTGCTACGCTAGCTGCTATGGCTTGTCGAATTTGTTCGGCTTCAGCAGCTGCATCATACGCAGCATCTCTGCTATTCATCGTTGAGCGCCTCTTTGCGCTTGTAGAGCTGGAGGTGGGACGACCATTCTTGCCACCTTTCGGTGATCTAGTGCCGTCTTTTGAGAAGGAGGCCGCTCGAGATGTCGTTCTGGAGAGGTTTGGGTGAAGGGGAAGATATAACGAGTAGCGTTGTCTGCAGTCCATCGTGTCAGAATTATGGAGAGTGTTTTTCTCTTGGGTCGAAAATTTAATTGTTCAAGGTTCTTGCACAATTGAAGCAATCGGCCTCGTAAGACTTTAATCTGCGCCACGGTCTCGCGTGAATGCTGACAATCTCGAGTGAATCTCTCGAGACAGGATTGTATGTGAAGACTGTGAGAAAAGAAAAGGACTCACCCATTTAGCGCTGTGCGAATTCTGTGTAGTTCTTTGCGACATTGTTCGCAAAAGTATTCTTCGGGACTTGTATCTTCGTTCATGATTCCAACGCAGCCGCCGTGTTGCCAAACCTTGCAAACGTCGCATTGCAAGAAAAAACCAGCCAAATCTTCTGTAAAATCCGCTGCTGTTATAACTGATTCATCAATTCCGTCTTTTGTATTGTTCTTATTATCATCGTCCTCGAGTTGCGGCGGCCCAGGATATTCATCGTAACCGCAGATGCATCGAACAGCTTCATCGTCCTCGCCTCCCTCATCCACTCCAATCACTGTGTCTTCATCGACTGGTTGTCCTTTTGATATCTTATCATTCACATCAGCTCGACCTCGCTTTCGACGTGTTGAGGAACTATCTTCGGCGGCGGTTGCGTCGTCAGGAGAATCTGAGGACAGTGAGGCAGAAGGAGTGGATTTTCGTGGAGATTCTACTTTATTATTTGAGCGAGTCGATCTCTCTGCGCGACCAGACGAATTGGAAGAAGCTGAAGAATGATGTGAATTAGTTTGAGAAGGTTGGCTGCCTCGAGCGGCCCTTGACGAACGCCTAGTAGTATCCATCCCAAGTAATTATATTAGTACAAAGTAAATATCGAATTCGAGCCGTGTACGCGAAGTAGATGAATACTTCTCCGAATCTCGAACGCGTAGGTGGTGTGTAAGCTGTGAATTGAGTGCGTAATTGAAGTCCTCCTCCTGCTTCGACGAGAAGCTTTTAACTCCAATCTCCCAAACCCAAACCAAGGGCAAAATGTAAGTAGAAGAGGGCAGCAGAGGTTTTGAGAACGATTGAGTATCCAGTAAGGCTTAAAGAACTAAATTCGAACACGAAGACATGCAATCTGATAAGTAGAAAGGTGGATAAAGTTTCTTGGTGTAATCATGACTGCGAGTGAGGAAATAATTAAATTCAAGCTTCCCTTTCGTCCCCGCCAAATAATTCGGAAATCCTAGCATTGTGGTTAGGCATAGGCCAAATTCTCGTCCGGACAATGAGAGAGCGAAGAAAGTATGCTTAGAATGACTAATGAGAAGACATCAACCAATGAGAAGTGATTTCACAGGTTTCCTTATTAATAACCCGAAAGCCACTAAGCACAATTGATCATCCTCTCCTCTTTTCTTTACTCACGAACCAATTAGAATTTAGATGAACTATTATCGCATCGATCCAGATAGCTAGACATACGATTAATTCATCATATTGCGTTGCGGTAATAATTTTTATATATATAGATAAGATGGCTATCATTAATCAATCATAAACTTACCTAGGTAGGTATCAATGATCTAATGTACATTATATTATTTATGTTGATACAAGACTGCCTAGTATTTTACAAGGGAATATATTCATCAATTACTAAAGGTTTGCCCTTTTACCAACCATCAGTCGGTCGAACGACGCTCCGCTGGCTCTCCCGGAGCCACTGCCGTGGAGGCAGACTATACGAAAAGAAGGTTACTGTTGACGACTCGAGTGCAGTGAGCTATCAATAAGCTCTTCGAATAGCAAATAGGTACGGAGTAAGTGGATGACGAACATACATTTAGGTGGACAATTGTATTACTAACCGATCCATTCCTTACCTAGGTAGGTATTCAAAGTAATACTCTGTACATAGCAATTGAACTTTTGTACTTGCTACAGGAAGTACATTCACTATATTATATATACATCTTCCCAATGACGGTTCTAGATAATCAGGTAGATGATTGACTAAGTCAATCCATCTATATACCTGATATGTCAGCAATTGAATCATCTAGATCTCTCATGATCAATACATTCAAATGCCTTATACTTATTTCGTACGCGCGATACTTCCACCGATAAATTTATACAGAGAAGCTGTTTTATACATGGACGATAAATTCCGACCAATCCCGTTATCTACACGGCATTGCGGGCACCAGCCACTACTTAATATTTAACTCTTTTCCCCCTTCACTTTCCCACATTCATCAACGTGATTTTCAAAATCAATTGGTAACTCCAGTCACACCTTCCCTATTTAAGCTTAGTCACATAATCTTAGCTAACACACTTGGGCCCTCCATCAACATCTTTCCGGCTCAACGTAACTAATTTACATGTTGGAGAGGAACAACTAAATTAAGTCTTTATTGACTAAATAAATTCAATCTCTCCCAAACTCGTTCAATACAAGTGGCCCGACCCGTCGAATCTCTTGCCTACCCTTTTGAATATTCATTGTTCTACTGTCGCTTCATTTTTCAAGAGGGTATATTGGATAAGAGATAAACACAGACTTCTGTTGTCCGTGGGGTTGAAGAGTCGTCAATAAATCTTCCTAGGGCTTTCCCCCCTCAAATCGTTGCTGAGCATTTGCAATTAAAAAAAAAACAAAGTATGCAACTCCATACTATCTTCTTCCTCGTATTTTAAAAGGTTAAAATTATGTTCGGTTTCTTGCGATGGTTGGGATTTCAAGGTTTTGGTTTGGGAATAGGGATGACAAATTACATGTCATTATTTCCCTATTCTACATGCGAGATTTCTGGCTGATGTGGTGTTGTTCGCTGTAGGAAAGGAAAGTTCAAGGAGAATCGACCAAACATTAACTCTGCCCCTCATCTCGAAGAAGAAGAAAACGAGTCTGCCGTACGCGAATCTTCAAAAGAGCGCAAATTTAGTCTTGGAGGTAGTTGGCATGTCATGTCCTCTTTCTCAGTGATGAACACAAGTATGAAATTCTCATAGCGTGGCCTCTTACTATTGATTCCGCCACTTTTAACTATCAAATTGACAGCAGCAAACAACAACCCGTTCTCTGTGGCGACTGGAACCATGGTGGGCTTTGTCTCATGTATATTACACTGGCTGATCTCTGTATTTGAATGCTTGTTAGGCTACTCTCCCTCCGAATCATCACGAGCCATGTCTCCAGAAGTTGTATCGCCAGCACATCCAGACCGTCCCATCAGACCTCTGCCCAAAAGACGTCTTCGTGAACGTCTCTCTCCCAATGTCGCCGAATCAATCAAATATCCACCCGCACCCAAAATTCAAACCCCATTGTTCTATTATCCATATACTGTACGAGATGATGTTGGAGCAAGTACTCTGGTAGAGTCTTCACGTCCAAGTGAACGACCCCAGGTAGATAATGTCGACCAAAATTATATTCCGCGGCGGAATGGAGAAGATCCAGGAAGTGAGGAGGAGGAGGTTTACCGTAACGCGCGACTCTACCCAAGACAATCAGTTGACAATTCTGGTCGTTCCTACCGCTATGTTCAAAAGTCCGATTCAAAACATCCAAATCCCCACCCGCCTGGCTCAACTGCTTCATCTGCGGATGGATATGACTCATTTGAAAACACAAATAACAAAAAGAAACGCAAGATTCCCACACCGGGAGACTCTAACGTCAATGGAGCTCTTCTCTCAAATGATTTGGCAGGCATGGGAATATCTGGTCCAGAAGAAGAAGATGTGAATAGTGCAGGGTACTACCATGCCAGTGGCTCAGTATCTCAAGGATTGTCGGGTCCTGGAAGAGGCAGATATGGCCGAAATCGCAATGGCAGAAGTCCATTACGGACGCTGTCTGAAGTTTCGGGTAACTGGGGCAATGGTCGCAATTCCAAACAACGACCACCCCAGTGGCCAATAACTCGTAAGTTTTTCTCTCATCAATTCCAGGCTGCGCTTGATCTTTACTGAAAACATTTGCAAAGCCGAGACCCCAGGTATCATCACAACTGCGATTGCAAACGCCGAGAAAGAAACTCCAATGACTCCCTCTAAAGGACAAGAGAATATCAGTTTATTGCAACAGCAGGCATTAAAAAAACCACCCCCCACTTCTACTCAATTTACTTTTACTTGTGATTCTCAAGTACCAACAGCACTGCCTTGGCCTGTGTCAGATAACACAAGTATGCATCAAAGTCCAGCTGCAAGGTCGGTGATGGCGCATGGAACGCAAACAAGCCCAAACATGCAAGCCAAATCACAACAATCAGCGCATACACAAAAGCAAAATGTGCCTCAAACAGCACCACCAAAGAGAACTCGACGTCGAGCAAGCAAAGAGTACCAAATTGCTGCTCGCCAACGTCGCCAACAACAAGAATACCAAAACATGACTCATCCTCCTAATCTTGAGGATATTTGGATTTGCGAATTTTGTGAATACGAGAGCATCTTTGGTGGCCCTCCCTCAGCTTTGATCAGGCAGTATGAAATAAAGGATAGGCGTATCAGGAAGCAGGAGGCGGAGAGGAAAAGATTACTCGAGAAGGCAAAGACGAAAGGGCGCAAGGGGAAAAAAGGTAGCAAAACTACTGCAAAAGGACCTCCACAGGATCGCCAATCTCAACCTCAAAACTCTCAGCAGGGTACTCCAGTCGACCAGAACCATGGTCAGGAAACTCAAAGTGAAGATTATCCAGATGATGAGTACGACCAAGAATATGCTCAAAATCATCCCATCTCTCCCGGAGCTTCTTCATCTTTCCGTCCAAGTGAAGTCTTACAAGCTAACCAAGGCAAGCGTCTCGATAGAAATACTAGAAGAAGTAGCGACGGGAGAATTGTGACTTGATCACGGGTTTTCTGAGATTATCTCCTTGACGGTTACTTTAGCAGCCATCGGATAGAATTATTCACTATTCTACATTAGGATATGCCCCATAGCCTTGATTTACACGGTTTGGCGCGAGGCATAACCGAACAGCATTTTTTCCATCCTTTTACATCAGCATAAGTACGCAACGTTAAACAAAAAGCGCCATCAGTGAATCCTACGAATTAGCATTAAGCATCAGATACCTTTGAGTGTTTTGTCTTCATTGCATCACTCCCCTCAAGCAGAAGTTTCCCGTGGGTTAGACAGTCAGGTGGAAGAGACAGACAAGATTTTCTTAATCAATAAACCACAGTACTAGAACCAACTGCATTGTACGTGTACAATATAGCTAGACCTGGGTTGATAATATATCTCTTCCTCCCAATTCTTCATCCCGCTGAAATATTTACTTTTAATTTGAGGGGTCAGTGCTAGTGCTTGTGATGTAACAGATAAGTGATTTTCCAATTCAGTACAAGCAATACAAGATTAAGTCCACCTGTTAAATTTTCTAATATCGTTACTTCGAACAATCCTAGCGTAAGAAGTTTCTTAGTAGTTGGAGAGATATTAGTATGAAAAAGGTCTTAGTATAAGATGGGAAGAGGCTCAATTTTCAAGAGTGTATTTTCCGGGTCGTACGGATATGTTTTCATTAACATCACGGAGAATGATTAAATGGCAATGATGTCAACTCAACCCCGCTTAACAGGGATTGCTTGGTGATAGGTGATAGACGATAGGTGCCAGGTTGCTTTTACAGTTGGAGTCAGCCTTGAGGCACTAAGCCCTGTCTAGATGGTGGCTGTGTACCCTTCTACTAATAGCAAAGTACCAAGTAGGCAATGGGCAACAATTGCCTACCTACTTTTTGACTCCATTATAGTCAACAGTCAACTACCTAATACAGCAATGTATATAAATGAATATAGCTAACTTTATGGATAACTTGAATATAATCTGAGGTCTTTATTCTCCTTCAATCTCCAAAATTCACCTTTCGAAACAATTTCTTATTTTTGATATCCATAAACAATACATACTAGGTATATATATATCGCATTCCATAGTTAACAATTTACAATTCACAATGTCTTCCTTCCTCACGGAATTAAAAGCGACGGCATCACGCCTAAGTTCTTCTTTCCAAAACTCTAATCCCAAGGAAGAATCTATAAACGAACGAAAATCCAGAAGACGAGGTTATGATGTGGTGAAAACTTCCTATACATCTCTCCCCGTTCCTATCCCTGAAGATTTTTTGAAGCCGTTGAAAAATCCGGAGGAAAGTATCAAGGTGCAGAGAATTGAGTTTGAGAATACGGTTTTGAAGGAGTATAGGGGCGCTTATGCGGTAGTGCTCGATGGGGTACTGAATGAAGAGGAATGTGCGATGTTGATTAGATTTGCGGAGATGAGTAAGGGTGCGCATGGGAATGTGGTGGAGGGTATTAAGGTGGAGAATGGTGTGAAGGATGTAGATTCTGAAGAGGCTGATGTTGGGGATGAGGAACTTCAAGGACCGGGAAATAATGGGTGGACTCCTGCGTTGGTAAATGCGGGTGTGGGATATGAATTTCTTTCTACGGAATATAGGAATTTGGATCGCATTATTTGGGATCAAAATGATGTGGTGGAACGTATATGGAGGAGGGTTTTACAGGGAAAGGGGATTGAGGAGGATATTGGGGTACTTGAGGGGAAGAAATGGGAGAAATTGGCTAGTTTGGGGATTAGAAGTGGTGAGAGATGGGTGGGTACTAATCAGGGAATCAATGAGCGCATGAGGTTTTTGCGATATGGACGCGGACAATACTTTAGAGGTATGTTTGTTTTATTCCTCCTTGAGATCACCATCTAAGTCACATCAAGAGAACACACAGACAGCGCCTATGGAAATGCCGATGGCGAACGTTCTTTCTTTACCATTCATCTCTATCTCAATGGTTCAGCGCAGGAACTAGAGAAAGATCCCAGTATCTCCAAATTTCCAAAAGATTCAAAGATGCTGCGAGGAGGCGCAACGACGTTTCATTCGAAGGATATGAAGGAGAGATTGGACGTTGATCCGAAGGTGGGGAGGGTACTTATTTTCCAACATAGGAGATTATTACATAGTGGGGATGAGGTGGTGGCAGGGGTTAAATATACCATGAGGAGTGATTTGATGTTTTGATTTGAGGATGGGTTGGAGGGGAGGGATGATGTGGTTTTTGGGTAGGTATTGGGTGAGGTAAGAGTGTGCGAGATGGTAGCCGTTTGAGGTGTATTGGAATGGGCTGTAGGGAATGGAGTACTTTGTGAGGCCATGGGAGAACATGTTTTTGTATAAATTGAAATCGGCATGAGGTGATTCAATTTCATAATATTACTTTCTCTATTTTTGCTCTAATAAAACTCCTTCCCATGGTTGCTTTGAGATCCTTGGAAATTCTAGAACAGTAGAAGAATATGATGACTCTCACATCTATGAACTAGGATAGATGGATGTATGAATAAATATAATCTTACATCTATGCATGAACCGGAAGAGGAAAATGTGCCCGTGTTTTCAGGTGGGAGTTGACTACTTGGGAGACCTGAAATAAAATGAATAGTACGAGGTGACTTTAGCACTTGAAAGTCCCGCTCCTAAGCCATTCTTGACCCGATAATTATTTTGATTGCGAAAGTCATCACCTTTTTACATCTATTTTCCACTTGAGAATTTGGCTGGAGTGAGGTTAGAAAAAAGTACAAAATGCGGAGAAAAACTGGGGTAATTTTGTCGCACGGCTTGCATCGGCCCAAGTACTTTATCGGAATCAAACAAACAACTTTCTTGTAATAAATAATCATTGACCATTGAACCCCAAATTCTAGAAATCTGCAAGCCTGAATTACAACTTACAAAGTCCAAGAATCACTCTTTGAAATTGATGTTATAGCAAATGCATTCAGCAACAAGATCTCGGGTTTTAGCCCGGGCTCTCCTCCCTTCCTATTCACGAAGATATTCAACAGCTCCAACAATCACTCCCATTACCTCCGTTCTCATAGCCAATCGTGGAGAAATTGCTCTACGAGTCGGACGCACAGCTTCAGATCTCGGCGTACGATGTACAACAATCTATACAGATCCTGATGCCAATTCACAACATGCACTTTCCAGTCCTTTCGCGGTGAATCTTGGTGCTGCGAATGCATATCTCGATGGAGAACGAATTATATCTGTGGCAAAGGAACAGGGCTGTGAGGCTTTACATCCAGGATATGGATTTTTGAGTGAGAATTCGGCGTTTGCGAAAAGATGTGTGGAAGAAGGGTTGGTGTTTATTGGGCCGCCTTGGAAGGCTATTGAGGCTATGGGAAATAAATCTAGAAGTAAGGATATTATGATTAAGGCGGGTGTACCTTGTATACCTGGATATCATGGGGAGAATCAAGAACCTGAACACCTTTTAAATGAGGCTCGCAAGATTGGTTTCCCTGTTATGGTGAAGGCTGTAAAGGGTGGTGGTGGAAAAGGTATGCGCATTGCTCAGACGGAAGGAGAATTTCTTGAGAAATTGGAGAGTGCGAAGAGTGAAGGAAGGAATTCTTTTGGAGATGATGTTATGTTGGTTGAGAAGTATATTGCTACGCCAAGACATATTGAGGTACAAGTTTTTGCCGATAAGCATGGTCAAGCAGTTGCTTTGGGTGAGAGGGATTGTAGTTTACAAAGACGGCATCAAAAGATCTTGGAAGAGGCGCCGGCACCAAATTTAGCTGAGGATATTCGTCAGGATCTTTGGGAGAAAGCTAGAGCTGCTGCGCTTGCTGTTGGATATGAGGGTGCAGGTACAGTTGAATGTGAGGACCAAATCAAGCACTTTTCGTTCTAGTGCTGACGAAAATTACAGTTATATTCGACAATGATACTAATGAGTTTTTCTTCATGGAAATGAACACTAGGCTACAGGTCGAACATCCTGTTACTGAAGAAATCACTGGAGAAGATCTCGTATCATGGCAATTCAAAGTTGCTGCCGGTGAACCATTACCACTCAATCAAGAAACGATAGCTCAAAGAATATCTGAACGTGGATGGGCCCTTGAAGCTCGGATATATGCCGAGAATCCAGATCAAAATTTCATGCCTGATTCTGGCAAGCTTGTTCATTTACGAACACCTAAACTATCGGAAAGTGTGCGAATAGACGCAGGTTTCGTACAAGGGGATACAGTCTCATCTAACTATGATGGTATGATTGCAAAACTTATCGTGAGCGGCCCGACTCGAGAAGTTGCCATACGAAAACTTCATGCAGCTTTACAAAATTACGAAGTAGTTGGTCTAAGTACCAATATCGAGTTTTTGAAGAAAATTTGCAAAAGCCCTGCTTTCATTCGAGGTGATGTTGAAACTGGATACATACAAAAACACCACGATGAGCTTTTCACGAATGAGATCATTGAGCCTGAAGCATTTGCTCAAGCTGCTTTGGGTATCTTATCTCAAGAACTTTCCGCCGCGAGCTCAAAGTCAACTCAAGGTCCTCATGGTGAAGCCATTGGTTTTAATTCTCACATTCAACGCGAATTTAGTTTCACAAAACCTATCATCCAACCATCAAGTGATAAACCAGACATATACCACGTAACCATCGATCAATCCGACCGCAACTTATACGACCTCACGGTCAAAGGACCCAATATTGAAAAATCATACACAAATGTCATCAGTGAACCAAAATCCCCTACTATCTCAACATTCTTCCCACATACCAGAATTGAGAGTACGTTGATCCGACAAGATGACAAGATCACACTCTTTCAACAAGGAAAACAGATACAGCTGCAATTGGCGACGCCGGGATGGTATGAGAAAGCATTGGGCTTGAAGGATGTGAGGAATAGTGTGGTGGCTCCGATGCCATGTAAGGTTTTGAGAAATGAGGTTAGAGAAGGAGATGAGGTAGAGGAGGGACAGGCATTGGTTGTGTAAGTTTTTGATTTTCTGTCACTTCACGGATATCTATGAGGTTGTGATGAAGTGAAACTGATGTGAAATTTTTACAGCATCGAGAGTATGAAGATGGAAACGGTGATTCGAAGTCCACAGAAAGGAGTCGTTGCTAAATTGGTGCATAAGGAAGGGGTAAGTACTTGGTTTTCTAGCTCCTTGAATTTAGGTTCTTGGAATGCATGTTTGAGGATTTAATGCTAAGATGATGATAATTAGGATATCTGTAAAGCGGGTACTGTGCTTGTGCTTTTTGAAGAGGTGAGTTGTATCCTTTCTTTCTGCTTTCCTGGATCTTGAAGACTGATATATATTTAGACAGCATGAATAATGATGCAGCACAATACGAGCCTATGCGTCTACGAAAGAATGAGAGTGGAAATGGAAATGAACTTTTATGAGTTGATGTATATTATGATTATTAGATGATTTTCAACAATTGCTCTGCAGCGCATTCAATAAAAAGTGAAAAGAGAAAAGAAAAATGCATTCAATTTCCGAAAAAAAAAATGATACTCTTTGCTGCTGTAATTCCTTCATTATATCAATCCGATTAAGTGTTCAATAGTTTCATCACAATTTCTCCTCAGATTCTTCAATAGGCACCTCGACAATTTGATCTACTCCCTCGTATTCTGGAAGTTGAAGATTATATTTCTGATGGATTTCTGGAGTTACAAATCTAGACCATAATAACATTAGTTTAATATATCATAATATAATATATTTTACCTCTAATCATACAAAGTAAATATACTTCAAACCAAATTCATCAAAGGAGATAGATGCATAAAATGCAAAAAAAGTTAAAAAAGACCAAAAAAAAACATACCTCCCACCCAAAAAATGTCTTCCTTTAAAATATCGAACGAGTGGTTTAGGCGCAGTTAAACTGATTAGGTATTGTGGCATGAGGTTTGCACCGGGACCGGAGGAAGGAGGTCCGTTGGTGATGTCCCATGAGGAGGGGGCGTCGATGGATGTTATGGGGAGGGAGGTGGCCTCTAGGGTGCTGATTATGGTGTCAAAGGGGGAGCGGATGGAGCCGGTGAAGGAGAAGCCTAGGTAGGGGGAGGGGGGTGTTAGATTATTGGGGAATGGTAAGGAAAGGGAGGGGTATGGTGAGGGGATAGGATGGGGGAAGATGTTGGGGGGGAGAAGAGAAGAGAAGAGAAGAAGAGGATATTATACCGAATATTGCATCGACGATGTGATCAGAATCTTTAATCGCAGATGGAAAATCATCGGTGAATGGGATTGAGAGATTGCGGAGTTGAGTCGAAAGGCGCTGGTACGAGTTAGTTAGTATCTGTAAATCCATGATACATAGAATTCGAAGTAGAAGTAGAAGTAGATATCGAGACTTCAAATATTATATTGCTTACGCTTTGACGAGAAAAGGAGGGGAGGAGAAAAGCTAAAGAAAGATAAATATACTTGATAGAGTTCATTTTTTCCCGGCTTGGGATAGTAGATTGTGGGTTTATAGCCATAGTGCCAGAGATGACGGGCTGCTACTAGACCATCGCCTCCTGGGTTCCGGGTTAGTATTTTATGCTATCTCTTGAGGTGGGACTTGGAGGGTTGGGGTAGAGTAGAGGGGAAGGGAAGGGAATGGTTGTAAGATCTTACCGTTGTTTCCAGGTCCACATGCTACTAGGATTCGTCGACCTTTGGAGGGTGGGTGGACTTTGTAGACTGGTTTTAGTGAGGGTGTTAGTTGGGTTTTTTTATGTTGTAAGACTTATGTGTTGTGTGGAGGGATCGTGGTGTATGGAAATAGAAATGGAAATGTTTAAGATGGAATAGCAGTATAAATTAGGAATTATAGCTTTGAATGAGTGCTTGAACGTCACTTTAGTTGACTAGCAACTGAAGGGAAGATATACTTCATACACTAATATGAACACTCTTTTTCCACTCCTCTTCTTCCTTTCCCCCTCTTGTCCCCATCCCCTCAATTTTAACTCTCTTTCCACAGCAAAAGAAAACACCCTTGTAAATCCATCACAAAACAACACAAAAACAAACCAAGGATTAAATAGATAAAACACAAAATAGAACAAATAATCATACCAACTTGCGAAACACTCAATCCCGCCAATTCCATTAATTGATCGAGGGAAAAAGCTCCCATGGACATGAGATCTTTATCTAAGGCCGCGGCGTTGGCGGCTGAGAGGTACTGTGGGCGTTAGTTTGCGATTGGAGTTGGAGTTGGGGGTTTGTGAATGAAGAGGAGGAGGAGGGGTACGAGAGGGAAAAGAAGGGAAGAGGGGAGGTATACTTTGGCTGCCATGATTGAGTTGGTTCGGGTTGGATTGGATTGAGATGAGATGATGATGCGGTAGATATAGATGAAAGATAATTGTAGTGAAATCCGGTTATGTTTTAATGATTCAGTAGCTAGAAGTAAATGATTGAATCGTTAGTAGAAGAGCCCGGATACTCGAGATGATGTACTCGAGTAGGTAGGTGATCAGTGAAGAATCAATAAATAATCACCAACGTTCTCAAGATAGATAGGTCTAAAGACGAATTGGATATAAAGACAGGTTTATACTCGACTATGATTTAGAAAAATAACAGATCTCAAAGAATTTAGAATAAGAACATGTATATTTTAATAATCACCACCTACGAGTAACACCTACCTAAAGAAACATCATCCCATAGAATCTCCAATGCATCATTACATCACCATCTCTCCTCTCCTCCACTCTCCTCATTCCACCCTTTACTTCCACCCCTGTACCATCCATCCCACCACTCCCACCCCCATCCCGCACAATAACCAAAAAATCCGCTAACCGTAGAAACCCCGAACCCTCAAATAATCATAATTTCCACATCATCATTCAATCATAATACGATACTCGATATACGATATACGATCGCATTACCAATACATATCCCACCAATTCACACCATAGCATACCTACCTACTACATACACTTCGTGATTCAGGTGCAAAAGAAAAGAAAAGAGAAGAGAAAATGGTCGTACGTATTCGTCTCGCGCGCTTTGGTCGGAAAAGACAACCCATATATAATATAGTTGTTGCGCAAGCTCGGTATGCTTTTTCTTTCTCTTTCTTTATTCCCTATTACCTCTTACCTGTGCTTTCTGCCAATATACCACTCAATCAGCGCATACTCTATCTACAATCTCTCTTCCGCAAACCTCCTCCCCTCCCCCTCCCGCAAACCTCCTCCCCTCCCCCTCCCCCATCCCCCATCTCACAAAAAAACCCAACCACTAACCTCCTCCCCCCTTTCCCACCCACAGCTCAGCACGTAACAGCCTCCCCATCGAAGTCCTCGGAACCTACGATCCCATCCCCCAGCTACCCGCGGACGGGGAAGGACAAAAATTCAAAGACATCCGTCTGGATACTTTACGAGCAAAGTATTGGTTAGGAGTTGGGGCGCTGCCTTCGAAGACGGCTTGGAGATTGTTGAGTATGGTATGTATGATGGATTTTTCTCTTTTTGGGATTTAGAGGGGATGGGAAGAGGAAGGTTGGGGGGTTTTTTTTCTTGGAGTTTTGTTGTTGGATTATTCTATTTATTTGTTTATATATCTATATACAAGATAAAAGCAAAGAGCAAAAACAAAAGCTAACCAAACCCTCCGCACTTCCCCACAGGCCGGCCTCATCGAACCTCAATACACGCCACAATCCAAGAAACCCACGCCTCCAAACTCCAGCAAACCGATTTTAAAAGCAGATGCTTAGGATTTCGAGCAAAATCAATGCTAGCAATTTGATTTCTTTTGATATAGCTTAGGGTACTAGGACTATGATTAGAATTAGGGTTGAAATTAGGGTTAAAATTAGGATTAGAATTTAAGTTATGAATGAAAGAGAATGGGGAGGATAGATATATCATGAACGAAAAGATATATTGGCAGTGATTGGAAGGAAGGCATACTTCTACGATGTGAAAATAGAGATGTGGTACTATGGTAGGGATTGACGAAGAGTATAGAGCATATTTTACAAACATCATGGTACAAAAAATGGCTGGGGGAGAGGAGACGGACATCTATATTCATAGATGATGAATTGTGGAAAAATATTTCCGTGATGATTTCATATCACTGGATGAACATAAACTGGCGTCCATTTGTAAAAATAGGAGTTCTGTTCAAATATTGATCAAAAATTGACATCTTCAATCGTAAAGAGAAGCCTTTATATATAATCCTCATGTCCAAACCCTATTTACATACAAAAAAAATCCCAAGAATTATGGCACTAATGAATGACTAAACATCGTTCTGTTCAACCTTTTATACCCATGCCATTCAAAATGCCATATAAACGCCTGGCGCCTTGCCAATTTGTGATTTCAAAATGCAGTATAACTTCGGAGGTAAACCCGATCTTTCAATCTCAGTGCCCCTGCGCTGTGAAGAATAAGTTGATCGTTAGACAAATGACCAATACGCAAACACCATAAATAGCTAATGCTAAAGAAAGTTTTCGTAGGATGGTTTTCCTCCAAGGGACAATCCTTTTGATAGATTGGCCAAGTAAACCTTGACCTTCCTCAACATCGTCATCAGATTCTCCTTCGTCATCTTCCTTTGTTAATCGTTGATGATGAATCGAATCTGGCGCAGAGATCTTGTAGTAAAACAGCCCTGGTAAAATGAAACTAATGCTCGTACTACCTGTGCTTCCAACATATGCAAGGACTTTATCTAGCGATGATACTGTAACTGCTGTAAAATAGCTGAGAGCAATGATAAATGTGGTGATAACTGCGAAGCGCGTTTCACTCATAGTATCATTTTTTGCCGTAGGTCGAACATGGCCACCGGAAAGTAAAGGAGCTGATCGTGTAGGTGACCCAGCTGGTGAATGGCGTTTCTTCCAGGAGTTTGGACGCCACTTCAAGACTGCATCGACTGATGCTCTACAAGGGTGTACTTGGAGTGGGTAGGAGAACATGACAAGAATGACAATTGCTGCTTTAGCGATTGTTGAAGCAGTGGATGGTATATCTATACTTGTTAGTTTCATGAAAGTGAAATTTGAGTGTTAAGTCCTTACACATTCCGACAATGTTTCCCTTCACAGCATTACCAAAAGATAGATAACCAGTGATAGCAACTAAAACATATATCGAAGCAGCACTTCCAATACTGGCCACAATGACACTTGTTGTTCGCCGGTGCGAGTTATCTTTGATCTCATTGAGAATAGAGAACATCTGTAATTGTTTAGTATATCAACGAGGAATTTGGGTGATAACCACTCACATTTTGATGACAAGTATAAGCAAAGACAATGACAGGGAAACTCTGTAAAGTTGGGACTACTCCTCCCCACTCAACCACTCTAATTGGACCTCGGTCTGCCATGGTATCTCCTTTGATAAAGTGATATACCACGAGTATTACAAGATACCCAATAGAGACCAAAGCCACGATACTGGTATACTTCAAGGAGTCAAGACGTCTTAAATATGAAAGTGGAATAACAACAAACCTAGATAATAATCAGTAAAATCATGTTAAACGAATAGGGCCAAACCTACATAAATATTGTCACCCAAAATTTTCGATCCATAAGAATTGGGATGGACTCTGCTCCCTGGCTAAAACCAGTAGCAACTCCCGGCATTAGATCACCGATAATGATCAAATAACTAACTCCAACACCGAAACACTTAATAGCAATAGCCGCATCGAAAAGGACCGCTGCGTTTGGGTACGTAATCTGCGATAAAGCGAAGAAAGATGACGTCCCTCTGTCGAGGTATCGAGCGCATTGAGATTGTAGATATAAGCCAAAAGCTGCCATCATACCAGACCATACTATAACAAATGTCCCGAGTAGTATTCCCATATGTGACATTGCTAGAGGCATAGCAAGTGTACCGGCACCGACGACTAAGGTTCCTCATCAACATAACTCCATAGAAGCTTGGGGTAAAACGTACTAGTATTGAGAAGATTGACATTGCTACTAATCCAAGATGCTTGCCCATGGGGTAGATTCTGTTCTTTAATTGTTCGACTTGATTTCCTCCTGCACGCGAGCGTCAGTTATATCCTCATACAATCTTTCTTTCTTGGCCAGTTTGCCTACCTTGAACCACGGCTAGATTCTGAGCCGCTTCCATTTGGACCGCCGACAGTTGAGTAGGAAACCATTTTGTAGTTGTTTTCCTCCTTCTCTGAGTTGTCGGTGAGTACTTATTATTATGCGAATAATTGACGTAGGTATTTGACGTAGTAGATACCTAGTAGGTACTTGTGCGGAGTTCTCGAAGAACTGTCCTAATCCTACAACTTTCTTAACACCACCATACCCGTTTGCGTACGGTCTTGAATATTTTGGGAGTATTGTCTGAAGATTAATCAAATGACAAACACATGTAATTTTCGAAGTGGATGTCGTGCAATTGAGTGGTAATCGCACCTAATGAGTGAGGCCAATAATAAAAACGTGCCCAATAGGGATGGTATTGGTGATGTGGTAGCAGCGAGTGGCTGCCAAGCTAAGCCACCGACTAATAAACATAACCTTGTCAGCCTTGCAACGCATTTTTGGCCTCCTTTCCCCAGATTATTTAGTTGGGACCATTAAAATTCACGATACCTTCTTGACGTTGCATTTACTTACGCCGCAATGAATAATACGTTCGATAAGACAGCTTTGGAAACCATTGATCTCTTGGAAGCGCGATTACGGAGGATAGAATATGCTGTGTGTGGTCATATCGACACTACATCTATCACAAGCTCAGATGTATCTATATCCGCGTATGAACGACTTGCAGATTTAGAGCATGTTCTACATGGACTTGCTTCAAAATCAAGGGTCATTCAGGATTTATTGAAATTACGTGAGTTATTGTATCTGAGCTATTTGGATGTGGTACCTAATGTCTTCTAGATGCAAGATATCCTGACCTCTTTCAATCCATTCACCCTGATCAAATACCAACCACACTCGATACTGCCAGTATTTTGTCTATTATATTAGCATCCGCTAGCTCATACCCATCAACTGCTTCTCGATTAACATCAATTCTTGATATGCCAATTCCATCAGCAGAGTCGTCCGCGCAACTCATTGATTTACAGCCACGAATCGCGAAAATTGAAGCTCTTCAAATGGCACAAAATGCTGATTTATCAGCTCTAAGACAAAGAACAGCTGCGGTCATTCAACGTTGGTATACTGTTGATGTATTGCGAACTGGTGAAAGCTGGGCAGAGTTGGAAGAAAGAGTACAACACGTGGAACAAAAAGTCCGAAGAGCCATTGCGATGAAACAGTTAGATGATGACATGGTTCAGGAGTGAGATCCATATATTGCAAGATGATACTGTTTCAGAATTTCAATATCTCCTGGAAAAAACACACACCATGAAATTACACGTCATAGTGAAATTGGATGTATGAGAAACGTCTCTGGGTCAAAGCAACATCGACATGTCGACATGGCCATGAGTCTACCCCTCCGTCATCTGAGTAATCGCGGGGAAATACCTTATTTCCTTCGACAGGACGATGATATTACTTTTGAGGGGATGGGAGGGTTCGGAGGTTGTATGATCCGCGTCTCAGACATTGGCTATAAACATAACAACTGTCTGAGCTATGACATACAAGCTATCTCATGTATGGTTCAGTTATATCTGGAGTGTCTGCTGTATTACCGATGCGAAGGGATGAACAACCGTTGCCCGATGGAAGCAGTCGATGATTTCGACTACAGGCGCCTGGAAGACTGGAAATACCCGGTGGCTACCGAATAGATAGTATACCACACGTTGACACGTTTACGTAAATGGTCAGCGTGTTCCAATACCCAGAAAACACTTTTTTATCTGGATCTCTGATGTTGGTGGTATCGCAAACCGTGAAATTATCCCTTTTGACATTGTATAGCGCCAACAAATCCGAATAAGAAATCTATGCACCCTAACCACTGATTTGATATCCTACAGAACAGCATCTTTACCCTGGACATGGGCGGCTGCAGCACGAGCCATCAGAAACGTGGGGGGGGGGGGGCGTTCAATTGTGGCAAAAGATCTCTCTCATTCGTCTTTTATTCATCGGTGATAATAACAAGGCTTAACAGCTCCAGTTTTAGATCAACAACACATATACCGATGAACATATGAAGATAGCTTCAAAAGTAGTAGTGCCCTAATCCATGTTTAACAACGGTCTTTTCTCAGACTTTCTGACGCAAAAAAAGAAAGCAAAAGGTAAGTTCATTTCAATGGTGTAACATTGTCATTGTCATGATGACAGTGTCATCACATCAACAAGGGCTTCAAAGTTCTCGCAGAATCTTCCTTTTGACGTAATGTTTAGCGCATGCCATGCACATACATGCATAGGCACGCACACGCTAAATAAACGCTTTTGCAGCAAATCAAAAGAAAATCTTTTTTTTTTTTAATTTTTTTTTTTTTACAAAATTGTACGGAGTAAGTTCATAGATACCTAGGTAGGATAGGTATTTGTTTTGAGATGGTTCCTGAAGTGAAGTGAAATGAAAAATGAAGTAAGATCCTACGACTAACTGACTACCTAGGTACTTATCTCCCTGATAAATTATCATCTATCCATCTACAAGACTTCGAAATCGGAAAGTCACATCATATCATTTTCCTTGCGTTATTATTAAAATTGATATGATTTGATTTTTGTGCATATCTAGTACCTAGTATGTACTTGATAAATACACACCAAATACTTAAATACCTAAGGTTATCTATCGTCAAGTTCAGACTTCAGCATGCATGCATATTGTACGTACGTACGCACACACACGCACAAGTACGGAGTACACGCTAGTACGCTATACTCAGGAACGAGGACGAGCTCAAGGTCTGTGTGTGCAGCTGGCCAGCAGGGCAATGCCAAGCTCTGTGGTCTATCTATCTCTAGGTAGGTACCTAGGTAGGGTAGGTACCTAGCAGGTAGTAATCATATAGTGATACTACTGAATACTGTGGTCGTGAGATTTTTAGTGGAGAATCAGGAGTTTGGGAAAATTGTTGAGTGAGCGAGAAGGTGTGTAAATGGGGAGGAGAGAAGAGGGAATGAGGAAAGAGGGATAGAGGGAGGATATTAAAATTTAAATACTAGGTAGTAGGTAGGTACTAGATAGGTTGTCCCTGAAAGTTGAAACGTGGATGGATGGATGGAGGATGGATGGATGATGGATCCGATCCGATCCTAGGGTAAAAGTCCAGAACTACCTACTGTACAGTGTAGAGTCACAAATGGCCCTGGAATAAAGTAATTTATTTGAAGAAAGTGATTAGTGGGGAACATCTCAAACCCTTTTGAACCTTTTGAATTTTTTGAACTTTGTTTTTATGGGAAAAGCTTGAGAAGGAAGATTTGAGGTTCGTGTTTTTTTGGGAGGGGTTCTTGGGAAGAGGGATTTTGATGGGATGTGTAGTAGTAGTAGTAGTAGTAGTAGTATAATTTTTCGTCGTAAATGGGATGTGTATATTAGAAATTCAGGTATATTTTATCTACTAGGTATTTATTATATTTATATATTCGTAATGTTACATCCATCTCTCAGACACATATAAATAAAAAACACAAGAGTATGTATGTACCTGACTAAACCATCGAACCAATCAACAACATCAAAAGTTGAAACAAAGTAGGACCTGAAATCTAGAAAGCACCGGGAAGGGAGTCTGGGACACCTAAAAAGTACGGGGCACTAATGGCAGAGGAATCCTAGAAGCGTGCGTGTTTGGCCCCGTCGTTCGATCTCGTTCGACCAATACCATACGATTGACGCTCAGCATCAAATCTTATAACACGATGCTTGGTATTCGCATTCGGAATTTGGCATTTCAATAGATTCATAAATACGGATGGGATAAAGGTTAAAAGATATAGGATACCAAGTCTGAATTGAAAGATTGGAAATAGATGGAATAGAAACTTTTACTATTTATTCTCTGCTGAACCGAGTAATGAAGAATTGATGGATGGATGGATGAAAAATCATTGGAAAATGGCATAAATTCCAAGCCTCACTCCAATCTATAATACTATGAAATTTCACTCACTCTACCTTGTAAAATAAACAATGCTTTTACTCTAAGATCCTCTGAATCATCCACCTCGAAATCTTGTCAATTTGCTTTGATTTGAGGGTTAATAATCCAAATTAATTCATTAATTTTTATTCATTTTGATATTCATTCATTCATTCATTCATTCATTCATTCAATTCTAGATTCTTTTCTTTTCTTTTCTGACATTTATTACTTGGGTACTTTACTTCATCTAGGAACGGAGAACGGAAATCTTAAAAGTTTGTACCTTTGTAGATGAATGAATGAGTGAACTTGGCATTTGGCATTTGATAATAATAAATTGACATTATTTCAGTCACTTCCATACTCCCTCATTCAGCCTAAACTTGCTACAATTTATTACCTATCTACCCCGATACTAAAAAATACACACACATACTTCGTACACATACACTTACTTACTCACACTCACACTCATAACCTACCAATCTCAATCTCTTTTTCTATCTCTCTACTCTCTACTGCTTTGCGTCTGTCTCACCACTCATCCTTTCACTCTTGAACCCCAATACTACCGTTTGCTGCACTCCTGGCAGCCACATCCATTCATTTTTCACTATTCATTCACTCATTCATCACTCATTCGGGAACTTGCACACATTGTTCACATACAAACTAAATCTCAATTCGTTCACTCAAAACTCTCATCCTAACTTTTTCTAACCTTTCATCGATCAACTCATTCTGGAACACACCACACCACACCACACCACACACACCTTTACCTTTTTCAATTCTCGTACCGTTAACGTTGCGCGTATCATCCATCCCCCTTTCTACCACACAACCTTTACACATAATCTTCAATCTTTATTATACACTCTTTGAACATCATCACTCATACTCGTGATATTGGTCTTTATTTTAAAAATAGGTTTGCTGCTGCTGCTGGCCTGTGGTTAGCTTTCAATACCATTTTCCAAAATTCCAAATTGCGTTGCGTTGAGTCGATTCACCCGGAAATCCATTTGCTTGCTTCAAAATTATTGAAGTAGCTTCCCTATTTTCACTTACTACAAGCTGAAACATCCCTCCGAAAACACCAACGTATTCTACGAAACTCTTCAATATTTGACTTTCTTTTTACCTTTTTCTCTTCATCCTCGATATACGATTCGCTCAATTGAATCGAGGGCCCATATTTGCGACGATAATAGCTTGCGCGACATTAATAATTACTTTCAACAACACCCTCCTCGATCTTTTTAAATCCTTTTTATGCCATACGGTTCATTAAGTTCGCCATCTCTACACAAAATGAACGGTCAATCGGATTACAAAGGACAGAGGACAGCTGGGATGCGCGGGATGAGTATGGATAATATTCTAGGTGATCCATTCGCGCTGGCTACTATATCTATCGCCATGGTATGTATTTATGGAGACGTGGATATATTGCGCCTCAATCTGGAAGAAACAATGGTTTGCTGACAAGAACGGTTCATAGCTTGCGTGGTTTATTGCTTTCATTGGATCGATACTGGCGACTGCATCACACCCTCCTGGTGATGGATTTCCAAATTATTCATGGTTCACTATTGCATATATGCTGTGTTGCATTCTAGGTATATTCGTTGTGATAGCATCAGATACAACCCAAACCTACCATGTTGCCATTGTTGGATTCTTGGCCACTGGTCTCGTCCTAACAAGTTCATCCGTCAATTCATTGATTTATTCTTCGAATGGAGCGAAAGAAGCAACCGCTGCTGGACATATACTTCTTTCTATGGTTGCTGTAAGGTTGATACTCCAAAAGGTCCAGACCCTTTACTAACATTGAATCTAGATTGTCTGGATGTTCTACTTTGGATCAACACCTTCAGCTGTACCTCGAGCATACCTTGATTCATTCGCACTTCACAAAGACCACAGAGTATCATCAGGAAGAGGAATGTCTACGGCTTATGGAAATGGATATGGGCATGGATATGGAAATGGTCGACCGGATACTTCAATCTCTTCAAACGTTCCACCACAAATGTATACCTCAGCTCAATTAGGTGGCTTCGAAACATCTTCACCAGTAGCAGGATTCCCAGGAGGTGCCGCAGGAGCAGAACGTAATTCATCACAACCAAGATTTGGAGCTAGTAACCTTGGGCCAAATGGAGCCATGGGCTCAGAATCTACACCAGGAGAAGTCGTACAACCCACAGAATATCCATACCGAGCGAAGGCCATATACTCTTACGATGCCAACCCCGATGATGCGAATGAGATCAGTTTCGCCAAACACGAAATATTAGAAGTTTCAGACGTAAGTGGGAGATGGTGGCAAGCTAAGAAAGAAAATGGAGATACCGGAATAGCGCCCTCGAATTACCTGATTTTATTATGAGGATAAATAAACTTATTGGAGGATTCATTGTGAAAATACCAATATACATCACACACCTTTGTTGGTTGGGCTTGGAATTGGGAGTATATCAAAGGTGTGGAGTGTGGGATTAGTTCTCTCCGGAGATAATGGAATAACTGGAGTGCCATTATAGGGTTCAAGGGTTTTGGTCTGGAGTTTATGTAATAAAGTCAATGTGTTACGATTGGGAATTTTTTCTTTTGCTTTTTTCTAAATTAACTCTACTTTTCATTCTTTTTCTACTTCTCTGGTTTCTTGCTCTTGCTCCTTTTTTTCTCCTTTGGCTTTCGATTCAAAATTGCCTCCTGTGTTGATAAATGATGCCAAGGCAAAGTATGCAAACGCGAATGGGGTTTGGAGTTGGGGAGTAGTTTAGCTACCTAGCTAGTTTGTGATTTCATTGAAATGGGGAGTGAGAGAGGAGATGAAAGGGCGGGGATGATTATTGGGTGGATATTTGGTTCATGGGGTGGGTACTGACTGCTCATCAGACTTGGTTCTCACACTAGCAATTGAGGATGAGAGGGTTAGCAGTTGAGCGTGTGCTTGTGCGTGGATAATGATATGAACATTGACATTGAAACTGAGATGCTGGGATGGTCGTGCTCGAGTGGGTGAAATGGGTTGGCTGGGCTGGGCTGGGTTGGAATGGAATTGATGGGAATGGATGGGATGGGGATGAATGGCAATGGCTTGGTATGGTATGCTATGGTACCGTATGGTACCGAATGGTATGGTGGGTGGATTTGATCATAAGATAGGTAGGTAGGTAGGTAGGTAAATAAGTTATATGGATGGATGGATGGTAGAAAGAATACATACAAATGGAAAGAAATGAAAAATTTTAAAATGATATTTTTGCTAGTGTTGGTTGATGTGATGATGTGAGTGTAATTGAATGAATAATTGGAGTATATATATCTTAATAGTAAAGGCTATTGGGTTTTTTTCTAAAAAAATAATAATGATATGAGTATACAAGATTACCTACATAGACTACATACACACATCATACACTCACACCATAAACCCCATCAAAGACAAATTCAACATAATCTGGAATTGTGTGTGTGGTATTGCAACATTCATACATCTATCTAACTAACTTAACCGGTAAACTCATCTTCGTAAAGTAATCTACTACTATACCATACCATACCATACCATATCATATCATATCATACCTACCCACCCATTCATCCACACTCTCTCTCATACATGATCGATTCGATTCGATAAACATTCAATCGATAAGATTCATTTCTTCATCATCATCATAATCAGAACCTTTCGATCCCAACTTCATTTTCCCTTGCATCCCTTGGATTAATTTTTTTCGACCCAGGGTATGCTCAATAATCATTGAATACTTCAAAGGTAGAAATTCACATCTAGAATTTCATACCTCAATATTAAAACGCCAACCAAATGCACGTGCGCTTGAGCAACCATTTAATCCACTCCAAATATTCGACATTGATGACGAATCTATTTATTTTTTCAAACTCCTCCATTGACCGCAGCTCCAAGCTGTGCTTCTGCTTGAGCCAATGCAATTGCTGCTGCTGCATTAGCATCTGCTTGGTGTATAACCCCTTGAACTATTTCTTGCTCAGATGGGTTAAGGTTTGTGGTGAGTGATTCATAAAGTTGAGGTTGTTCTTGTTGGAGTTCTGTACATATATTAGTACATGTTCTTAATCATGCTCTGGAGAAATACATACTCATCAGTGCATTCTTGAATAACTGGTATGGTTCCACCTTGTCAAGAGGAGTTTCGAGAAGACTCTCCTCACCGAGCTCATCGTCAGAGTCATGGTCTTCGAGATTGCTGAATTTTGAAGCCTAGAAATTGATTAGCACGTGGAGATTGGAAACGGAACCATCATTACTCACTTCTTCGCTCAAAAACTCAAGATAGGCGCTGCTCTCATCCTTGATATCATTTTCCTCATCTCCCTCATCAGCTTCCTCTCCCCAGGCATTATCATCACCAGCCCACTCATCATCGTCATCATCATCATACGCCTCGCCATCAACTGGGAAATCGTCTTTCAATGCTTCCTCACGGTTCATTGTGGCCGTAGGGAGAGTCTGGAATAATCTGACAATACCTTGTAGCAATCTTGGCCAGCCTTGTTGAACGCTGACTGGGACCTGCTCGGCGTTGAGAGTAAGTAGAGAAACAATGGCAGCGATTGAAAGCTTCTTGTCATGTACTCTTGTGAAACTATCAATACTTGCAAACCACAAGCTGAAGAATTTGTTGGTCCATTGCTTTTGCTCTAGGATGTGTAAAGTCAAAGCGGGGTTGTAATAGATTGCGTTAATGACCATTTCCATGAGATGAATTTTGTATGACTTGACCTTGACATCCGTGTTTGTAAGAGTTCGCATAGCCATATCAACGAATTGCAAAACGTATTGATCGATATGACCTCTTAGACTGAGCATCATGCCTTCGGCCAACTTGCAGGCGCAAATCTTATCGACACCTCCAACCTTCTCATCAGCGAACATATCTGCAACCATTCCAAAAATGGCATCCAGGTATTGTGGTGTTTGTACGAGATGAACGCTACCATATTGGACAAAATTGTCCAAAGCTGGAAGCATATCTTCGAGATAAAGTTCGGCACCAGCCTTAAAAGTTGCGTGAATAAGCTCAAACGCTTGCCACATGGTTGGTGAGATGGATTTGGCAGCAAATGTACAGCTGTCGATAATCTCGAAAACTTCATTGTAAAGATCTGCGACTGTTAGTATCAGCAAGTCTCAAATAAAGAAAGAAAGGGGGTTTCGAACCATAAAGTTTGTTCTCCAACGTGACCTTGATGACTGGCATTAAAATGGACTCCATGTGCAAAAGAACATCAGGAGTGCTTTCCAAGGTCAAAATCAAAGTGCCGATTGTCTGCAAAACTCCAAGTGCAGTAATACTCTTGTCATCCAAATAGTCGCCATACTCATCATCTTCCCTCTTTTCGTTTTTCTCCAAGAGTTCTCTGACAATTCGTAAATATGTGTCGCGCAACTGCTCGCTTAATGCTACGGCAAAAGGAGTTAATTCAGCTGCGAATACCTCAACAAAGTCCTCCATAACATTTGACAATGCATCCACATCAACTTCGTTAGCAAGTTTCAACAGCTGTTGCATAATTTGTGGGATGTTTGATTGCATGCTTGTACGGATGATATCGTGCCTGATCAAAGGTTGTAATGCGAGCGCTGCTTCAACGCGAACTGGAAGATCTGGATCGGCCATACATTCAAGAATGTTTCGGTATATAATAAGAAGATTTTGGGTATCCTTGAAATCGAGTTGTTCAAATTTCTCAACGGTATCGCAAGCCCTAGCTCTTAAAAATCCTTGAGTGCTTCGGAAGTCTGGGAAGACATATCGGACCAAGAAATATTCCACCTGTTCGGCAATTGGACTCTTTTTTCCTAGAATGACACTGGATAAAGTTCCAATCATTCGCAGAGCTCCTTCCTTTGCAATGTGATTCTTCCGACTCTCTTCAGCAGCCTCGTATTCATTCACAATCGAATTAACAAATGTAAGAATGGTAAAAGTATGCTTTCTGCGAACTTTGGTGAGTGTAATCAAAAAGTTGGTCGCGGCGTTATCTGGTGCTGAGACTTCCTCGTAGAAATTTAACTTGTGATGTAAATATTCCTCTGGGTCGGTTTCGAATTTCTCAACATCGTCGGCAGATAGACACATAACTGGGAAGAGGAAGTGGGTAACAAGGCTGTCAAGATGTGGTTTCAAGTGAGCCCACATTTGCTTCGGTCGAACACACTCATCGAGGAACACCAAAGTATATGAAAGACAGGGTCTGCTGAGCCATGTTGTCTTTGCGACCCATTTTTCGATCTGCTGGAGGTAACCTTTCAAAATCTCGGGTGCGAAATTGGCCGTGAAACTTTTTGCGAACGCGGCATAATCATCTCCGTTGCCTTTCGACAAAGACGTTGGGTTGCCATAACTAAAAATGTTAGTGAAATGGTATCAAATTACATGCGAACTACTCACCGGACATAAAGCCTGTTCAAATTGAAGTATGACCATTTCTTGGACTTCCACCAATGATTGGCTTCTCTCTCAGCTTCATCCTCTGGCAAAGCGGTAGGTGGAACATCTTTTGCAACGGTTTGGAGGAAAAGTGTGCACCACCCAACAACCACTGAATGTTCGCGCAACGAAACAGATAAGTCGAACTATTCTTGTCAGCACTTCCACAGATATTAGAAAATAGGCACCACCACATACAAATGTTGCATGTTTGTATGCCTTGAGAACAATATGAAGCATTTCTCCCGCCTCTTCGCTCGTCTCGTTAACCAAGCCCTGTCCAATTGTCAAAAGCCTGGGGAATGTGGCTTCCACGATTGCGTCGAAATCTGCGCGATTCTCCCCCGACTTGAAACGGAAAACTCGGCATATGGCGAGGAGACATTGTAAACCTGCGAATATCGATGCGGCATCATTTGTGTTCAATAATTGAACGGTCATCTCTACAAACGAAGGCCATCTGTCTGGGAAATCGTAATGTAAAATCTTTTGAAGGACTGGTACAAGTTGTTGACGAATTTGTGGTGGGGAGGAGGCAATGAAAGGTAGGAGTCGGTCTCGAAATCTAGCCTTCTCATCGTCGGCCATCGGCTTGGGCTGGGTCTCGCTCGGTAGCCATGCTCTTGTAACGCGATTTTTAAGGTAGACAACCGCTGCAATGTAGCGTTAGTAGCTGCCAACAGCGGGGTAGATAGGTATTCCGGAGAAGTTTGCATACTTGATAACCGAACTGCAGAATTTTGCTCTGCTTGTAATATATCGAGGAGAGCATCTGTGAACCCAGGGTGTTCTTCTGCCTATTAAAAACTCGTCAGAGACGTTTTGAAATTAGAATTTGCTTGGGAATGCTTACTGCTTTCAAGTCCAGTTCAGCGCGCCGACGAGTATCTGCGTCAGGATCAAGTGTCGAAGCAATACGACCTCGCAAGACGGCAACATCCATCTTTGCTATCTATTGAAAGTACCTCAATAAATTGTTTTAAGTTGTCTTGGATTCTGGGAACCGCAAAAAAACTTGAGCACTTCAAGAATTCCAGGAAGTTTTGTCGTGTCAATATATTTTGTGGTTCACCTAAATTCGCCTAGCTGAAAAAAGCAAGCGAATGAAAAAGTTCCTTCTAAGGAAAGGCTCCGGCTGCCATTTGCTTGCTCATTCCAAGCTTTAATTATAAGCAATTCACTAGTTGAGCACTCTCACTTTTACTTGACTTTATATGTGTATATAGGTAGATATTTATGTATATATGTATATATATCTATATTTTATATCTAGGTAATAGTATATACATCATCATATACCATATTCATCCAGGGGAGAATCAAGGAGGTGAGCCAAAGAAGAAGTACATCATGTATAGGGAAGGCTGCAGAATCGAAAGGCAGTATTATGTTACACAGGGAGGAAAGACTTTATCCCAAACGCACGCAACGCAGTCTGAAATTGTGGATTTGTGTTTGCTTCTCCGCACCCTTATCAGAGGGCTTTGGCCTACATAGAGGGGAAGATAAAAAAAATCAAAGACCCCTCCTTGGGCCTTAAGCGCCTGTTGCATTATTGATTAATGGGGGTGGGATTTGATCCACGGTACTGTCTGGTATTATTGGTATGGTATGGATAGTGTGGGTGGCATTTGGATGCATGATGTATGAAAAGAAATCTTATGGATGAAAAGAAGATGCAAGACTACTCTCTCTACTCGACTAATGAGAAACAACTCGAGCTCTTACTCATTCCAATAAACCACTTTTGTTGTCTAGGGGCTATCCATCAACTCCGTACGCGTACAGTAACAGTTTTAGTAATTTATTCTCTACCAATTCAGGTTTGTATGTACTGGTGTATTATGTACTATGAAGGAATTGAAGTGGATCACCTCACCAACGCAAATTTTTATTAGCCTGAATTATGCAATGAAAGAGCATTGGTTTCGAAGGCTCTCTGCAATGTTTTTCTTTTTTACCTTGATTCTTGTAATCTTACATATTTTTGTCTTATATTCTCCTAAAATCGATGTTAGCATAAAGTATCTATACGGTAGGCATATGTGAGGTCTGATGCATATCAAATTAGGAAGAACGGTGAGATCCATTAAACCAATAAGCTTTGGAGCACCGGGAACTACCAGTTCATTTCTAGAAACATTCATCTTTGTTCCACGTATCACAATTGCCGAGATTGCCTCAAATATTCTGTTGATTCACAAGGTTGAAAATTCGAAAGCCTTCCAAAAGACTCATGCAAGTTGCCATATTCAGTTCCAATTAGTCTGCCTCCAAGACAGCTCCTAGCAGTGGAGGGCCTGTGGAGTGATTATGATTTTGATGTCTCGAGATCTAGCCCCTTCGTAATCGATATCCTTCGGTGTTGAAATGGCGGTGATGGGATGCAGTAACATAGCAAATGCAATGAAGTTCGTGGATGATGATTAGAATGTGGAAATAGTACACAGGTGCTTTACATGTCGAAACCTACTGAATAAATTCAAGCAGAATGAGAAATCATCATTTGAGTCAACAATTTAAAGCTCAGATCAAGCACCCATCCATCCGATATGATGGCATTAAAATTATTATCTCGTCTCCAAGTGATCAGAAAGGGGGGAAAGAATCCCATTTCCCATTCCCGAGCCACGTGCGAAGCGGCCACTAACAACTAATCACTCAATGCCGAAATGGTCCGAGCTTTCTCCAGCCTTATCAGGACGGAGGTTGCATGTAGAGAACGACTATCCACAATATCAAAAGTCTTACTATACTCATGATGAGCTTGTAATTGTTTACAATCATAAGTGAGCAGTTACAATCACGAAAGATGTTTACATTCCACGTTTATATTTTAAATAGTGTTCATACTAATATGCTTATACGTTCTAATCTTTCGACGGTTCGTTGCCCAGGTTGTTCACTGGCAACTTCAAAACTCGTCATATTAATCGTTTTAGCAAACTCAATACCCTCTTCTCCCAGGAGTTCTCATGAGATATGGAATGAGGTATCCAACAAAGATGTTTCTCACCACTTTAAGTCGATATAGAACATTTCCAGACCAGTATGCACACATACATCCTCTTTTCAATCAAGTCTCAGATGTAGAAGCAACTTCAGCTTCACTGATCAAATCACAATAAGCGATAGTAGAACCTATAATAGGACTACCAATCAGTTTTATACTTTGTCTTTAACGACTAAGATGTCCTACTTACTATACATGAAGATATCTCTCACTGCCTAATTTGGATATATCAGTATTGATGTTGATGTTGGCATATGAGCTCATAGGGACTTTTCGTTGCTGGTGGGTCTCATGCTAAAGGCCATTACCACTTCTTGTGCATACGTAATGGCTTTGCCAATATTAAAGTATAGCGCACTGTCTAGAGTATTTCTAACATCTCAGTCATAGAAATGGTTGATCCATATCTCTACCAGGAAAACATTGGATCGGAAAGAGGTTTCAAGCGCTCAAGATGTCTTTGGTATAACCGAAACCGGGCGGAAAACCCCGACGCAAGGACTTCAGTATACTCGTTGCCGCCATGCTGGCTTGTAAATACGACGCTCGGTTAGCCGAATAGTACTCCGTACACTGGTCGACATAATTAATGTCCATGTAGAACTCATTCCTTCAAAGCTAAGTGATGACCGTATCTACTCGTTCAAACTCACAATGCTATGAAATTGGAGATTTCTAGAAGTACGAGTCTGGTACAATTCTAGGGAACTGTATCCCAGCCCGAACTTGATCCAATCCTCATAGTTGGACTTGAGTGATGAAGGGATTACAAAATATTTACAGTTGGACCCTATGCAGATACGTTTATGCATGTTTTAGTATAGCATAGAATCGACATTGACATTGCGTTTTGAGGCCAGTGGAGGAATATTGATTCACATATGCTCTGATGTGGCGAGATAAATACGAATCTACAGCCAGGATCTCGCTCCAGAGAGTAAACGGGAGTATCTGTATCCACATATCCCATTTGAACCTTCAACACGCAAACAATATGTTCTTGCTCACATCGCATGAACATCACATGGCTCAGAAAGTTTCTCGTCAGACAATCCTTCAAGCAAGTCGAATCCCCTTGCAGCAAAAGTACAAATTTGGATTTTGAGGCTGCCACTTGTCATACCTTGAAATCAGACGAGGTTCCTTCATTTGGCCAGTAGCCAAGACATATTTTACCTCGTATTCCCCCAGATTGGCGTACGCCATTTCGCAATTGTAACACTGCACATTTTCTGCCTGAAGATCAGTTGGGGTATCATTTACCCCGCAATATTGCTCGTGTGAGAGGACTGAGTTAAGGTATACTGGGCTACGGGATGAGGGGTGAAGGGACTCTTATAAAGCTATGAGATACTCTTGTTATGGGGTTTTGTTTTTGCATAACTGAAGAGGCACTGGTGTATAAGAATCTTTATCTATGAAGTCTCAGTTACCATGGCAAGAACCCATTTATCAAATACTTTGGTCTTTTTCCTTTTATTCTCGTAGGTTTTCTTACTTATTCTCTCTAACTTTATCCTTTCCCTCCTTTACCATTCTCCGAATTCAAACCACTAATTGACTCTCTCATCAAGTATCCCTCATCTAAGTCAAGCATCAAAACCTATAAAAACCATCACAGTCAACCCATGCACCCTCACCCCCACAATTCCTACAGTCATCTCTCCTTCACCCTGCCCAACCGTCACCATCTCCACTTCCCATACCTCTTTTCCACCAGTACGTTCATCTCCTACCACTCCACTCGTCCAATTCAATCTTCACAACCATTCTCACTAAACCTCTCTTACTCACAAAACCACCTTCAGACAACCCCCAACATCTTGCTCCCAAAATTTTGCATCTCCGACGCTTTCATATCAGTCCCCTGTACCTGTCCCTATTCCGTCCCTACTACTACTATCTACACCCCATGCCCCTCCACTTGTTCTCAAACCTGCTTTATAGGCCACCAAATCTACCATGAACCTTCTTGTTCCACTACCATTGATACCTACACCATTCCCAGCACTGGGTACCAGCACCACCACCACAACATCAAATAACCTCGTAACATGGTTCCGTGTCCTTAATTATCCCCCCTATCCAACAAATTGCATATTCTCATTTCCGGAACACCACACCTACGACCGTTATACGGTACGCGACACTATTACATCGATATCAGCGTCGGAGTGGTGATAGTAATACGGTTACGACAGGGAATTTCGTGTCCCGTTGATTACCGGAGAGTCCCGTGTAAGGAGTGCTGATGTGAGTTTTCTTTTTTCTTTGAGTTTATTCCATCTTTTCTTGCTTCTCCCAATCTCCCTTACTTCCATCTTCCATCTTTCATTTTCCCTTTCCCATCCCCGTATAAACCAAATTCCCCCTACCTAAACATGGACAGAACCAATAACCCCCCTTCATCCCCCAACAAGTCGCCAAACTCACTCCCCAAACCCTTTCCCCTCTCCTCCCCCCCCCCCCCCCCCAAAAGCCACACCTTCCCCCAAAACAAATTTCTCTCTTAAAAACCAAACCCAAAACAAAACAAAATAAAAACTAACCCCCACCCTCCCCCTTCCCCCCAAAAAACAGTGTACCTACCTCTCCACCATCACCATAAAATGCAATTGTGGCGGTTCTATACGAACAGTTACGAGTTGTAAGACGAGTTGTAATAAAGATGGGGCTTGTGCTACGGTGTGGAGGACAATGGGGGTAGTTGAATGAGGTGGGGAGGTAGGGGGAGGGGGAGGTGATATAGGGAAAGGAGGTGGAGGAGGAGGAGGGAAGGTAATTAGAGATAGGAAGAGAGAGGTGTTTTGGAGAAGATGAATTGGAATTAGAATTGGATTTTGAATCCTTAGTCTAGTCTTGCTAGTGGATGCATTATCTCATTTACACTCCTGTCATGATTGATTTTGGGGCTTTGGAGATACGTTTCTGAGACTTATATATATGTCTTTTTGATTCTAATAAGTTTTTATCATACAATGCGTATTATGCTCATTCGATATCTCTAATTTAATTTTTATTAACCACAATTTGTGCGCTTAAAGATAGAACGATATCTGGTATCATGACTCCTCTTCATCTTCCGAACTAACCTCCTCACCATTTGCAATCGCTTCCTCCCTAATCTTTCTCGCTCTCTCCCTCTTCTTCTCCAATATCTTCTTCAATCCCTTTGCCACATTGAAAACACCATTTGTTCCTGCCCCACAAGCCGCACAACTTGGATCCTTCCTATATCTCTTTAACGCACAACTCTCACAGAAATAATGCCCACACTTCGTAATAATTGGATCCTTATATTTCTCCCTACACAATATACACGCAAATGGTATATTCTCCAAAAGCGCATCATCATCATCATCCTCCTCTTCCCCCTTGCGATCCGCACTAGCAATTTTCGTTCCCCCTAAAGTTTTCTTTCCTTTTGTAACATTTTCCCACTCTTTATCGAGTTGCCAACCTGCTTTATAATCTTCACGCGCATGTAGATATTTGCAATTATCTCCGAATCCGCAAAATCCCGTGGTTTTATAATCCTTGCAAACATCGGGCGCAAAATCAGTTACAGTGATTGTGCGAATATTTGTTGGTGCTTTAATAGGTCCTACGACGCGATTTGGGGCGTCGGGATTCTTTTGTATGAATTTGGTACTATTTGCTAATCCTTTGTAAGTGCCATCCGGCGCATCTCCACTTGTAGGTTTGGAACGTGTGGTGCCTAAGAGATTTTTGCTGGATAGAGCATCTGTTGCATTCTCATCGTACCAATTGCTCGCTCTGGTAGCATCATCAGAAGCGCGGATGGTGGTGTTATGAGAAGCGATATATTTTGTTGCAGAAAGATCGTTTGAGTTGGACGAGTTATTATTAATTGTAGATGATGCCGTTATTGCACCTGTATTTTTCTTTCTTCGTTTGATCCGGCGACCACTTTCATCTTCCGATGAAGAATATCCTGATGTATCATCATCGCTGTCTACAGGTGGTGGCGTTGCAGCTCTTTTGCGAAAATTGGATTTTCCCTTTGCAGATCTCTTTTTAAATATAGCTACTGGTTGTATAGTATCCGGATGAATTGAAGCAGACTCAGGAGTATCCATTGTATGTTTTCTGAATCGTGATGGTGATGAATTGATTGTTGACGTTGAAGTTTTATCCAGGAGTTGTTTATTTACGAAAGGCTGAGGAAGAAGCTGGAGCTTATCAAGCTCAAATGTTAGGTAATCAGCCTTATCTGCAGGAAGACCTCAGGCATGATTTGTAAGAATTTCCACATGGTAGGAATTTCTTCAGTGCCAGCCACCCTTGAATTTTGGTAGAAGTGAAGTGTCGGGCCGTGGCTAGGATACACCTAGTCAATTATGATTTGGTAACCATTCTTTGAGTGGTACAAGGAAATAGCTTGCACATTGGGAATTTACCTACTGTACTCCGAGCTTCTTTTCATCCCAAGTATTTGAGTCCAGGAATATCACTACGAACAATAATACCTACTACCTAGTACTTATCGTCCCGTCATATTTGTTTATTTATGCAAACTGATGCAAGCCGTAGTTTATATTTCCCCTCTTTGAGATACTGTATTAGGTAAATACTAAATTCCAACTAAGCCTTTGACAGCGATTAGGTTTTAAACTTTTTCCTTTTACCGTTGCTATTTTGATCCTGTACGCGTTGCAGCTCTTTCAACCAATCAATTTGGTTCTAGTGATTCGATGATTTGTTGATTTGTTGATTTGTTGTTCTTGATGTTTTGTTGTTGTCATCTGTTATGAATCAGCATAAATGAAAACACATATAAAAAGAATCCATTCTTTTGATTAGGTAGGAAACTTCATCATCCACCTGGTTCATGAGGCTGTTGACAGCAATCAATTGGCAATCCCTATAAGTAATTGGTCGAATGAACTGATGAGTGATTATACTTTAGCTAGATAGGTAGGTAGATAGATGAATGAACGAACAACTTGGATAAAATCAACATATCTAGCTAGTTATTCGATATTAGATAGATAATCAAAAGATAGAAAAGATAAACAATTGCATAAATATAAAACCACGCTAGAATTGTTCTTCTAGCTAAATTCATTTAAGACTTGGTTGACTGACTTCACTTTACTCTTGATCCTTGACTGTCGTGAGTTTTGACTCTTGAATAAAGTGAAGCGAGAACTTGCGAACTACGAATTGAGAACTGCGATCCCTCCTCTCCCTCATCCTCACCCTCACCCTCGCCCTCACTCTCACTCTCTCCCTCTCCCTCCTCTTGTACCACCACATTCGAGCGAGCTTATTATTCACCCCCCTCTCTCTCTGTTGTGATCTTTCGTGTTCATCAACACAGTCCACTCATTTTTCTCCTTATCTCGTCTTCCCCTTCTTTTCGTTTCTCTTCCACCAAGGATACCTTTAAACCGCTTTAACCGATCCTTTTAACTATCTATTTCCTTCGCCCGTTACTGTTACAGTACCATTAATCCAAGGAAACCAGTAAAAGATCGAAAATTATTGCATATTTACTATGTGGTCGCGTCAAGATAGGCAAAATAAAACCCGACATTCTGTACCCAGGCGGTTCAAATCCGTACGGCACCGATAGATCAACACGCGAACCTCCTCTTTCCCCCCTGGCTACCCCAAGATCTGCTTGAAGTTCCCCGATCATCTAAGATCAGACTAAACTTGGTTCAACATACAACATACAACTTCTACAAATACAACCACAACTCTCCTACCTGTAGTAACACCTCATTTTATTCTCGTCGGACAGATTAATCTTGACACCGCATTTGTTTACTCCGATCTACGAATACGAATTAGTCCGGCACTTTTCGAGGAACCCCAAGTCCTACCTGGGCGCAGAGGGTTTCTCAATCTACAAGACTTGTCTTTAATTCAAAATTATCCTATCCTTTCTTACACATTAAATTGCGGTCACCACAATGTCAACCTCTTTGGCCATGGATCACCCGTCAATCCTGTCCGACGCTGGAGACAGTAGCAGCAGCAGCAATGATCCATTCTTGTCCCCTCCATCTGTTTTGAGCGGCCACCGATTCTCTCATTTCGATAAACAACTATTTGCGCTCGGCCCCTCAACATCTCCAGAACAAGCAAAACGGGCACTAGAAGCACATCTTGCGGAGACGGAACGAAGAATTCAGGAGGCTTCGAACCTCGGTACAACCCTTCTACAACAGAGGAAGGATTTGGGCGAGCGGCTGAAGGAAGTTGAGAAACAACAGAGTGAAGGAGATATAACGCCTGAATTGCGACAGAAACTGGTTGATATTGAGAAGGAATACAATGAAGTTGGGAGGGAGACAGCGAGAGCTTTCCTGCCAAAGTCGAGAGTGCCTAGCAGCGAGATGGGGGCGTCACCTTTTACTGATAAGGTACAGATTGATAGTTACATCAAATTTACCATCACTAACACAGTGTAGCGTTCCGCAAGCCCATCCAAATTCGAAAGTCAAACTACGGCTACCGCTTCCCCATCCAAATTTAACGTTCCCAATCGAAAGCAGCGAAATCAACCTGCAAATAGGGTACATGATATCGAATTTGCGACGGAAATTAGCACCTCCTTGTTAGCACAAGTACGGCATCTACAAGCACTCTTGGCGGAGAAGGAGGAAACACTCAAGACTGTTGCGCTCGAAAAGTCGAGGTTGGAAATAGAGGCTGAAGGTTTTACTCAGCGATTGAGGAGTCTTGATGAAAGTGAAAATAGGTATAAGGACGAGAATTGGAACCTAGAGACTCAAATCCATGAACATTTGGCCGCGCAGAAAGAAGCCTCAGAACGTGAAAAGAGGTTGATGCAGAGTCTAAGTCTTTTACAAGCCGAGAAAGGTGCTGCGCAAAAGGAACTGGATGAGATTAAGTTAAACCATGCGAAGCTCCAAGATCAACACACATCCGAAGTAAAGCATCTCGATGTGGACTTAGGAACGGCTAAGCGAAGCATGACGATCTTAGAAACCGAAAAGATGGCGCTTCAGAAGAAGGTTGAAGAGTTGATGGGCCAAAATCAAGAGCTTGCGCAAGCAGTTGCCCACCACCGAGCACGAATCGAAGAGCGTGAAGCATCCCAGGGTAGTGGCGAGGAAGAGCCTCAGTCAACAACTGACAACAATACTCCTGAACATTCTCCACCTCCGTCACCAGTTAAAATGACCCCTAGACATAGCATGCTTGAATCGGAAACCTTGAAGAGCTCTCTTCATCACGCCCACAGAATGATCCAAAACTTGAAGGGCAATATTCACCGCGAGAAGACCGAAAAGTTAGAGCTAAAGCGCATGCTGCAGGAGGCTAGAGATGAGATCGAGGTTGCACGTCGCGGTGAACCACAAGTAGACTCACCCGGACCGAGGAGAGCCCGAAAGACTGCCCCTATTCAGGCCAAAAAGCCTTTCAAGGTGGGTCAACTTGGTGGTATTAGGAACAGCAGGAGCGAAGTCTTGATTGAGGAGGATCAAGAAGATCACTTTGAGGACATTAACTGGGAGGATGATCATGAACAACCGAGCCCCAGCCGTGGTTCCCGTTCTCTAGGCACCGCCTCTGGTGCCGCTCTTGCAGCCTCGATGGCAGCTGGCGTTGCTAAATCTTCACATAGCGTTTTCGGTAGTTCCACTGACCAAAGTGATGCATTCGAGACGGCAAATGAGCGTTCCACGGAGACGGAAGATTTTCAGACTGGTGTAGAAGATATGGCTGGCTCGGATGATACGGACACGGAAACAGAGAAAGCCGCTACTATTCGCGCAAAGGCTTCACGTCAATCCATGGCTTTGTCGAAGGCTGGCAATCGTGATTCTTTCCTGAGTACTGCTTCAACATCCGAGGATGAGTATATGTATGAAGATGCGAAAACACCGGGTACTCATCCACAACGACTACGGCTCAAAGTCAGTCGTAATGGCAACCGACGTTCACGCGTTGCTAATGAGGATACTGAAGGAGAAAGCCCAATTGATTTTGCCGATAGTAGCAAGCATACTCCTCAACCAGCCAGACAAAGCTTGTTTGCAGAATTGGGCGACTTGGGAAGTGATGATGAATCCGTTGCTTCGGGTCCTCCTAGTCGCTATGCATCAAGAGGCAATACTCCACAGTCATCAAGGCCAAGTACGGCCAGGAATGTTCCTGCTTCAGTCATACCGCCGTTGCCAAGAATACCAATGATCGATTCTGCTATGATGACTGAACCTTGGGAGCCTGAGTCTCGTGCGCCAACGACAACTGTTCCATTATTGTCAGGCCTGGCTGGTGCTACACTTGGTGCTGCTAGTGGTGTTGCCGCTGCCTTAGGCTTCAAAGCAGAGCATGATCGAGCTGTGTCACCAACTCCTGGATCTGAAGCTCAACCACAAGCTCCTCTATCCGCAGTCAATGCTATAAACAGTGATTCTCTGATGGAGGAAAGCCAGCCAATAGTTTCACTTTCACATAGTGAGCCCCAGGCATTTGGCATTGCACCGGAAACTGAGGCAACCAGGTCTATTTCAAGACAGGAAGCTGACCCCGTTTCTTTACAATATTCCGGTAGACCTGCAATGTCTGAAGCCGCTAGCCAATGGCACGAAGAGCAAATGAAGCAGCAAATGGAGGGCTTATTAAAGGTTCAACCGCAGCATGATTTAACGCGACCAGTGTCTACAACATACAGTGACATGAGTTCACAATATGATAGTGAACTCATTGATGAGAAATTGGAAAAATTTCCATCGCCCCCGGTCTCGCAGACTAATACACCAATGACAAGTCTGGCGGTGGTGGAAGGAGCAGCTCCAGATGTTCCATTGACAATGTCCACAATTCGATCTGAACATATCGAAGCCGAACCAGTCTCAGAAGTTGAGCCAACACCAGCTGCTCCACTAACATTGTCTACAATTAATTCCGAGCAAATCGAGCAAGTTGATGCCGATCCAGCCCCAATTGAGCCATTAACGATGTCTACCATCCGTTCTGAACACGTTGAGCCAATTGTTGAGGAAGTCCGCTCAGAACCATCTGTTCTGCCAGCTATCCTACCGTCCACTCCACAACGCTCATCAAGACCTGATTACTTTTCTGTGTCTCCAGGCTTAGGCTTCTCTGCCATTAAATCGGTGGATACAGAACCTATTGCGCCTTCTACACCGAGAAGTCCAAAAAGAGATGGTGTTTTGCTCTCTAGATTCCCAGCTTCGGAAAGTAAATCTGTGAACGAGGATGGATTAGAGGCCAAATCCCCAGTTGCAGAGAGTATATCCCTGGAGGAAGGGAAACCAGAGGGGTCTAAGTCAAAAGAAGAGCCTCATACACCAAAGGCTGGCTTTATCAGCTCCGTCTTCGGTGGTTGGAATAGAAAGCAAACACATGCGCCAATTATTGCTGAAGACGAAACGAGTCAATCACAAATTCAATCACCAGTGGTAGAGACACCAGAGTCTCAACGACCATTTAAGGTAATATCAGGTAACACTACTGAACGATCTCCTAAGAAGCCGCGTGTCGAGATGGCAGATGAAAGTTCCCAAACCGCTTTGACTGCAGAACAAATTGATGATATGCTCAACAAAAGCAAGAGACAGGAAGCCATCACCGCTCAGGACGGACCTAAATCTGTCCTTCCTTCCTCACCACTTTTGACCAATATCCCACCAGCTCTTAAGACCCGCAAGTCACAAGAAAGTATCGGTAGTGTTGGTCGTCCAAAGTCGAAGGGTCTCGACATTGAATCTCCCGTGGATATTATCACTGGAAGGAGACCCACAAGCTCTGGAAGTGGTAGAAATGCATCCATCTCAACCATTCATCCACCTCTACCATCAGATCATAAGCAAGTTATTGCTGCTGCGGCTCAACGCACAGGTTCTGCAGGTGGATCTGGTGATCATAGACATCTTACTACCCTTGCCGAGGACCAACAACAGCAGCCACAGCCACAGCCACAACGCACAGGTTCATCCACTAGCGCTGGGACAGGTACTATGGGCCCTCCACCAATACCATCTACCAACAAAAATCGACCTAAGACCCCAAGCTCTCAGACTCATGGGTCTTCGAAGGTAATCTCAACTTCAAAATACAGAAATCCATCAACTGAGCGTGATGTAAACTCCCCGAGTGGCACTGGACGGTCAAGACATTCCTCAGTATCTTCATTCGCATCTGAGGTTGATACTCGCTTCAATCTGCGCGCTGGAGTTCCAATGCCAGAAGGTGTAGAACCAAATACTGATCCAAGAATGATTAATGCTATCACTCAAACTATGATTGGTGAATATCTTTGGAAATACACTCGCAAAGCCGGCCGTGGCGGAATGTCAGAAAATCGTCATCGACGTTATTTCTGGGTTCACCCGTACACGAGAACGTTGTATTGGAGTGATAGAGATCCTTCAACTGCCGGCCGTTCGGAGCTAAAGGCAAAGAGTGTCGCTATTGAAGCTGTTCGAGTTGTAACTGATGATAATCCCATGCCACCTGGATTACATCGCAAGAGCTTGGTTATCTTGACACCTGGTCGAACTGTTCAATTTACTGCTAGCACAGGACAACGTCATGAAACCTGGTTCAATGCTTTGTCCTACTTACTTCTGCGTACAGGAGAGGATGCTGTTACCGATACTGTTGAAGTTTCCGGTGCGCTGACAAGCGAGGATGTTAATGAATTCAATCCAGGATATGGTCACGCACATCTTGGTAGCAGACGAGCGCCTCCATCTCTTTCATCATACAATAGCCGAACTACTCGTAACGACTCACCGATAAGCAAGGATAGAAGATACTCTACCATGCATCCGCGTTTAAGCTCAAGGCCGTCAAGGCCATCATTAGGTTCGGCTACTTTCTCTCGACTTAGCAGTTACCTCTTGCCTGGCGATGGAAACAGATCTTTCTCTGTTAGACGAAGCCGAAGTGTCAATGGAGCTAAAAGCATTTACGAAGCTAGTGAGGTCCAAGATAGTGCTGAGGATTTGAGAGAGCAAATCGAAAGACAAGACCGAGAATCGGATAGACTAGAGAATGTGCGAGCATGCTGCGATGGTTAGTCTCCGGTGTAGTTCTGGTTCTAAAAATTTATCTAATTTGTGTAATAGGAAAACATGATGTCGGGCATCTCCATCATGAAACTCCAAAGGGCCGCCAAACGATGAGTGTAGCATCAGGATCTTATCGACAGACACATCGTGCTTCAAGCCGAACCAGTCAGAGACCCAGCGAGCCAAGTCAACAGACATAATTCTTCAATCATAATTAATCCACTAAATCCAATTACAATCTTAAATAATCTTTACGAATTCATGCCTCTCCTTGAATTTTACTTTCGCCCAACTCGACCAAAAGAATCATATTTGGTTTTCCCTCATTTACGGCAAAGAATGTTTAACGGCTGCCAGCACAACTATCAAATCTATCTCATTTGTTCATGCCTTCCTTCATCCGTCCATCCATCCATTCATCCATAAATTTTCTTAATTCCTTCCTTTTTTCTTTGCGTCGCCATCGTTCATCGTCCTTTTTGAGTTTTAAGTCAATGATACCTTTTCAGGCGAAGGAGTTCTTTCAATTCTTTTTCGATGACTTTCGGGGAGTAGTATTAGTACACTATGATTGTGGACAGACAGGGTTACGCGCAACTTTTTTGGTCTTTTGGGATGTATTTGATCATTTATTTTCTCTCCCCAAAAATGCATGGAGAGGAGGTGAAGCACAAATTGATGGGATAGATGGATGGATGGATGAAGGATTTTTTTTTTCTTCTACCTTTTCTTGTGTTGTGTATGGCGAGTTTTATTATGTATTTGAGGGGAAATAAATACAATCAACTGAATATCGAGGATGAGAATATGCATGCCTGACTTGATCTGGGCAGATGTGACTAGCTTGAGTTAGGTTTGGCCCAAACTTTCTGTAGTGTGATTTGAGACGAGAGTGTAACATTAATTTCCCTGGTTATCTACAATAAGCTATTGGCGCCTAGGTATCTGGGATGGAAACCTTATGTTATGTGTGTAGATTTGAAAAGTGGAATTTTATATTTTATACTCGTCTGTTTATGGGGGATGAGAATAAGGGTAAGAGAAAGGCGATGATTTTGAGGGATAAGAGGGAAATGAAGATGGAAATGAGTTTGATAAGTGGTAAGTGGAGAATGAAGAGGTGGAGGGAGTAAGAGTATTACTGGTGTTTTAGTTTACTCTAGCTGCCTATTAAGTTATTTATTTAGCTATCTAGGTAGTTATTGCTATGTGAGTTGTAGTGTATTATGGAGGGATGTAGATAGGTATGTAGATAATTAATAAGTATATTATAAGCTGAACAGCTGTATTTTACCCGGGATATCTGATCTTTATAAGACAATAAATTAGTCTGTAAAGAGAGGTTTTATAAAATGATTATTTGATTACGTCGTATATTGATGGATATTATAACGTGGTTTATTAGTATGTGCACCATATCAGCATGTGCACCACTTTTACCTCAATTATTATCTTTCCACTTCAATACGCGATTTATCAACAATCTATAATGCAATCGAATAATAAAGAAGCTCAAATACTCTTAGTTATTGAAGCTATTCAAAAAGATAAAAAATTAAGCATTCAGAAGGTTGCAAAGCTATATAATATATCGTATACAACACTTATCCGCAGAATGAATAGTTTAACCCTTCATATGGAATTTCGATCAAAAAGCCATAATTTGATTGATTTGGAAGAGGAAGTACTTATTCAATATATACTCGATATGGATGAGAGAGGATTTAGTCCTCGAATAAATGATGTAGAAGATATAGCGAATTATATACTCGAAATGTAGAGTGTAAAGAAGGTTGGAAAGCTCTAGGCTTATTGCTTTATGAAACGATATATAGAATTAAAAACATGTTTTAATCGTATTTATAGCTTTCAAAAAGCTTTTTGCAAAGATTCAGAGCTTATTAAAAGATGATTTTGATTAATATCGAATATACGGGTCAAATATGGTATTCTGGACTGCGATTTCTATAATTTCGATGAGACAGGTGTTACGAGGTTTGCCGTCTAGATCACGTGGAAGTGCTCTAGGCTCTCGAAGTAGGTTTATAACTAGGCGTCAAGCAGGGACTTGAAGTAATGACAATAATGATATGCAATTCGTAACTAATAGTAGAGTATACTAAATGATTGATCTTGAGCACGAAGCTCTATACAAAAGAAATCCATCTTGATTATATAGTCCTTCGTGCCTATGGTTAACTAGGAATCGTCGTTCCTGGTTGTTCCTAGGAACGTTCGTTCCTCACCGTTCCATCACATGTTTTATGGTCATGTGACATACTAATCGTTTTGGACGTAACAACAGGTTTTATGATAGGACAAATATCATTATATATAGTAATTACTAAAGTTGATCGATGTGGAAGAAGCAAAGCTATACAATTAGGTAATCGGGAATGGGCTACAGCAATTATTTGTGTTGATGAAGAAGATTATAATATACCTCTGTTTTTGATAGTAAAAGATGAATACCATCTCTCAAATTGATATACCGAAGGTGATTTACTATATGGTTGGCTTATTAAACCTATTATCAATAGATGAATAGATAATGAGACAGGTCTTGAATAAATTAAGCACTTCAATAAATATACTGAAAGTAGGAAAATAAATAGATATCGAATGCTAGTGTTTGATAGACATGAAAGTCATAAATCGCCAGCATTTCAGGAATACTGCAAGGAACACAATATTATATTATGTTAAAAGGAATGACCTCACACAGGGAATAGTGGGAAGCTGATAGGGCAGAACTGAGGTAATATTGGTCTTGTAGATTAATCTCTCTTTTAAGTTCTACGGAAGTGCGAAGCTCTCTGTAAGAGAGCTTCTCAATCTAGTCCTAATAGGACTAGTGCCCTGTGCACGTGCTACACAGGAACCATTCACTTTAACATATTACTTAGTTTACCATCTCACTCTTTGTATTTAATTCAATCATTTGATATCGATTGTTTTGGTCCTTTAAAACGTTCATATAATCGACAAATCAAGAACTTTATCAAAGTGTATATCATTTATATTACCAAAACCAAGTTTTTTCAAACCTTCAAAATTATATATATCAAAGCAATATCTATATCAAATAGTAAAGCTGGGTTCTGCGGAACTAGACTAATCTTATTTAATCCAGAAATTGTACTTTCAAAGCTAGATATTCGAATAAAAACTCTATCAAATAGATCAATATCAATTGATTCTAATATATAACAATCTCAAACACCTTACAATTCAATTGAAGCTCTTTCTCAATCTACTTTAATGAAAAGTCATATTACTCAATATCAAAAAAGCTCATTTACTCTAATATTTGAAACAATTGCAGCTTTAGCTAAGAGTATAGAACTCCTAGCTTATACAAATATACTTTTAATTGTTGAGATTCATAATCTCTATGTTACGCCGGGTAACAAGAAGACGCTCACGTGTTACCAATATCATGTGACTGACTCAGTGAGGATCAGCAAGCTCAGTACTGAGCCATACTGATCCTATTGATCAGTTAGAACACGAAGGTCTATATAATCAAGATGGATTTCCTTTGTATAGAGCTTCGTGCTCAAGATCAATCATTTAGTATACTCTACTATTAGTTACGAATTGTATATCATTATTGTCATTACTTAAGTCCCTGCTTGACGCCTAGTTATAAACCACCTCGAGAGCCTGGAGCGACGTGTCCACGTGATCTAGACGGCAAACCTCGTAACACTCTATAAAGCAAATGAAGCATTTAGTAAACGTCGAAGAGTTAAAAAAGCTTTAATATGAAAAGGAGTACTTTCAATAGGGAATAGGTATAATATATTAGAGCAAGAGAATGTAGATGATCAGATATAATACAACGAATATATAAATGATAATTCTTCAACAAGAAGACAAGTGTTACGAGGTTTGCCGTCTAGATCACGTGGAAGTGCTCTAGGCTCTCGAGGTGGTTTATAACTAGGCGTCAAGCAGGGACTTAAGTAATGACAATAATGATATACAATTCGTAACTAATAGTAGGATATACTAAATGATTGATCTTGAGCACGAAGCTCTATACAAAGGAAATCCATCTTGATTATATAGTCCTTCATGCTTCCATGATTACTAGTGATCCTACATGATCATTAGTGATCATCTATATCGTGATCCTTAGTGATCCTTAATGATCACCAGTGATCACCTATACCATGATCCTTAGTGATCCTTAATGATCACTACTGATCATTAGTGATCATCTATATCGTGATCCTTAGTGATCCTTAATGATCACTACTGATCATTTGTGATCACGTGCCTTGGTAGTTGTGTAGCCCGTCGTAACAACAAGCTACTATACAACGATATAGCAAATGCGGTAGTACTTCATATAATACACGAATTTGTCAATTAGATCCAGCATTAATTGATCTTTAGATTATATATAATTTAATTGTATTTTATAATGTTGTTGTAATTTTATTTTAATTGAAAGATAATAATTGAGATAAAAGTGGTGTACATTGTAACGATACTGTACTAAAGGCAGCGGCTGCCTAAGGTTCGTCGGTTGGTAGTTATAGGTTAAGGCTTTATCACTGGTATTCACTTGAAAGTGAATTCGTTACTAGATCAAATAGAATGTAGGTAAACTAATTGATAACTAAGTTGAGCACGAAGCTCCTAAACTATGAAACTACTCTGACTATATAATGAACGAAGAAGGGAGCCCCCAGGAGCTTTCTGGCTCCTAGGGCTCCTTATCACGTGATTTCTGATGGTGCGTGCATACACGATCTCCAGGTGACCAAGATCACATACTAATTCGATGAAATCTGACCGTGTTTGCACAAGGCCTAAGCTTTCCTAATTAATCAGTTTGCTACCATCGTAACACCATCAATCCTAATGGTGAATCGTGACATACATGCTGATATGATACACATACTAATAAACCACGTTAGTAATAATATTAATTATTTAAAGTTGAGATTATTTTTATTTTTTATATTAATAAATCTAAGTATAGAAACCCAAGCCAAGTTTATAGAATGGGTTTTTTACTCTGTAGATAGTGTAATACCGACGGGGTTGACCCCAGGTTACCCCGGATATTTGATGTCGTTTCTACTAGGTATATATGAATATGCCAAGTGTCACGGTGTCACGGTATCTTCGTTTCCATCCTTCAACCATAATTTTCGCTTCTCTTGTGACTCTTATCTTATAGTTTTTTTTTCAAGAAAATAAAGAGTTGAAAAAATGAACATCTTGTTTCTTAATTGATATTTACTTTATACTTGTGCTTCTTTTATATATGCAAGTGTCTTTTTCGTTATATCTGCTTATCACTGTGGGTTGGTTATATAGGGTGGGCGTATTAATTAGATTTATAAGGCGAGATCATTAGGATGTTTTGTGGGGGAGTGAAGTGAAAATGTATGTTAGTGAGTACGTGTATTTACCCATGAGCGGGGGAATTAGGAGAGTTTCTCGAGTTATGGTTTTAAACTTCGTCCTCTCTTATCTAAGTGGGTTTTCTTTTTGGAGATATATTATTGATTACTGCCAAGTTTACTATTCTGGGTTGTGCCACTATAGCAGTAATGTTGTAGTATTATGTCCACTTTGTTTCTAGAGATTCTTGATCATGTCCACATCGACATTGGTAAACTTCATGTGGCTTGTAGCTTGTGTTATGCATAGGTAGGAGTCCAATATACCGATACGGATGGGATAGGCGGTGGGGAAAGCAGAGGAGGGTGGAGATTAATGGATGATGAAGAGTAAAGTCTAGGAGATGTTTTAAAATCCATCATAGATGACGTCACAAACCCAATTTCAGAATATCAAGCTTGAAGACTAGATATCAGAGTCGGCTTTCAACGAACTCCGAGAGTCTACCATTCTGAATACAAATAAGATTACGACTAACTACTCAAATTACTGTACTACACAACCAAAGTTGTCGTGGAAAAATAGTTTCTAGAATGCATTTATTTCTAGAATCATGGTTTCCCTATGCTCTTGGAATACCTCCGTACCAGGAATTAGGAGTCCGGTGGTCCCCACTCAATATCAAATGACGCACTTTCTCTGTATTCTGCCATCTGATCTCTCGTCATATGGTGCACACCACACCATACCATGTACACCATAAAGTTCCGCCGGGTGGAAAGCATCCTAAAGGCTAAAACTATGCTTTAGCTCTTTTGGAAAAGTATATCAACCGCTAGGAAGATACGCGGAATAGATTAGATAAGAACAAAAAAGACAAACCTTGTAATTGCAGTCCACAATGAAGCCTCACACAGGGACGACATATAATGGAAAGGAGAGGAAAAGCATGTATATGTCACGGTAATGAAGCCAGCAAATTTTACTTAAAGGTGCCCGTAGAAATTGAGAGATAGAGAACATTCAAAAATTATAAATCCCATATTTTTATATGTAATCATTGTCGGCTTTAACGATTAAGTATACGGAGTAGATACATCTTTACGAGGGGGGCAGCCGCGAGTTATGTTTCATCAGCTTCGCTAGAGGCTAAATTGCAGGGGTAGAATGAATAGTTTACATGACTCCCGGCTTCTCCCTCCGGACCTCCCGCGGTTCGAAGATCTAATCAACCTCTTTCGATAATGCGGCAATGCGGCATTTGATTCAGATAACTAAAGCATGTTTTACAAAGCTAACGGGTTTGATTGGTCATTGATCTTCATCCATGTGTAGCAGCAAGGTTCATTGCCGAGGTCCGATCGGTAGACATGATTTGTGTAACCATTTTCAACATGGATTCTATGGAGTTTAAACTTGATCCGATGATCTACAACATTATTGGATGTTGGAAGTGATATAATACCTCACATAAATTCTGATTAATTCTGGTTGAAATATTTCAACTTCCGAAGATTTCTCAGCACGGTTTGAGAGGAAATAGTCTTCTTTGGACTGCCAAGACGTTCTCATCTTGTGTTGCATGCATATCTTTGATCAAAGGCATTATTATTATCGACTTTGCTGCCCTGAAGATAAAGTCCTTTCGTGCGGACCAGCGTCGATTCGACGTACTTGCTTCAAAGTTCAAGTTTACATCATCATTTCACCATGGATCAATTACTGACAAAATATTCCCTCACAACCACCATCCTCATCATCCTAAGCATCTCCTACGTCATCTATAGCCTCATCCAAAAAGTCCTCTTATATCAACGACAACGCACCTTCGCCAAACAAAACAACTGTCTTCCCTGTGTCTCTCACCCGCGAAAAGATCCTTTTTATGGCCTCGATTTCTTTGCCGACACTGTTCGCGCGGCTCGCAATGGAAAATTCCTCGAGACGACTCAAAAACGATTCGAGTCACTCGGCGTTTACACATATGTCTCTAACCCCCTTGGTATCACAACTATCAATACGGCCGATCCAGAAAACATCAAGACCGTTTTAGCAACCGCATTCAAAGACTATGAATTATTTTCTAGGAGGAAAGTTAGTTTGATGCCAATTTTTGGACCGGGAATCTTTGCGGTAGATGGAGAGGAATGGGAACATTCAAGGGCGATGTTGAGGCCGAATTTTGTGAGGAGTCAGGTGGCCGATTTGCATGTTTTCGAGAAACACTTTGGGAAGTTGATCAAGAGGATACCTAGGAATGGGGCCACATTTGATTTGTCAAAGTTATTTTTCATGTTGACTATTGATTCTGGTGAGTTTTTTGGAGTGAAGATCAGTGAAGCGTTGGATGGCTTGAGATATGAGAATATGGTGTGCTAACTTTCCATGGTATAGCTACGGAATTTCTTTTTGGTGAAAGTACGGATACATTGGACGAAGAGAAATTGAATTCACCCGGCCATAAATACTCGGAAGCTTATGACTACGTGAGTATTGGGCCTGATACATCTTGAAAGCACATTTACTAACTTTCACAGATGGCTGAAAAGGTTGGCTCACAAATCCGCTGTAAGTAAAGCAAAAGGCTCATGCCGCACTCTGTTCTGCTTCACGAAAAAAAGAATCATACTAATAAACAAACAGTGGGTAAACCGGCCAACTTCCCCCGCGACAAAAAATACACAGATTCCATAAAATACGTGCACTCGTACGTCCGCACCTACGTAGACAAAGCCCTCGCGCTTCAAGTAACCAATCCATCGCAAAAACCGCAGGAATCTGATTCAGATCGCTATATCTTCCTCGAAGAACTCGCAAAATCCGGCTACAGCGCGCAGAAAATCCAAGCAGAATTGCTTAACATTCTACTTGCGGGTCGTGATACAACCGCCAGTTTACTTACTCTTCTCTTTATGGTACTTTCTCATGAAAAAGATGTGCTTGAGAAATTGAGAAAAGAGGTAATGGGATTGGAAGGAAGAATACCGACTTTTGAGGAAGTCAAGGATATGAAATACCTAAGATGGTGCATTAATGAGAGTAAGTTTTTACCTTTCGTGCTCTTTTAATCTTCACATCACCTACAAAGAACCGCAAATTACAGACATATGAAACTAACAGATCCCAAGCAATGCGACTTTACCCTATCGTCTCAACCACATCTCGCGTTGCAGCCCGCGACACAGTCCTTCCTCGCGGTGGCGGACCTGACGGAAAATCCCCGACGATGGTCACAAAAGGAAGCGTGGTACTATATAGCTCTTATGTGATGCATCGAAGAAAGGACATTTATGGAGAAGATGCCGATGTATTTCGACCTGAGAGATGGGAGAAATTGAGAGTTGGGTAAGTGATTCAACACTTAATCTCTGTTTGAAGGACAAAATAATGTACTAACTTGTGACACAAAAGCTGGGAATACATCCCCTTCAGTGGAGGTCCTCGTATTTGTATTGGACAGCAATTTGCCCTGACCGGTTAGTTTGCCTTTCTTATATTTACATGCCCTCATGAGGGCCTGTAGTAGCTGCGCAAGAAAAGACTGACACAGAGAACAGAGGCATCGTACACTACAATTCGTCTCTTGCAAACTTTCTCCAGAATTGAATCGAGAGATGCTGAGCCCTTTACCGAATGGTTGACATTGACTTTGTCAAACAAAGGGGGTTGTAAGGTCGCGATGTTTGAATAGACGAGTAGTTAGGGAGTAGAAAGGAAGGAGGTAGGAGTGGAGATGTAAATAAGAGGAGATGTAAATAAAAGTAAGGGACGAAAGAAACCTATGGAATGAGGGATAAATGCCTGTACAAATATCCTAGCATCATTGTAGAAAGTATCACGAATGATTTATTTCCTGCTTACAATTTGCATCCAACTTGTGTATGTTATTACTAATATTCCTTTGGCATGATGCTGTGATATGATACCCTATCCATAAACCCTAAGACCTACCCCGTAGAATAGGACAAGCATTTAAAAACATAAATTGAGTACTACCCAATATGAAACACTGAAACCTATCCCACCACTTAGATAAGCTAGAAAACCTAGCGATAGAAACAAAAATCTCACCCCAAAACACTAAAAATCCAATTCCCTATCCAGCCATACCATTTACGCACCTCATCTCTGAATATCGAACTGGATGACGTCACGCCATACCCATATAGCAAATATGTCGACTTATTTCGTTTCAGAAAACGAGCAATTACTTATCAAAACCTTATACCAGATATAATCTTACAAATTGTCCACTTTAGTTACTAATGACTGATCCATCATCACGCCACTACATTACTACAATAGTACATAACCAAAACCAACGAAACAATAATATCTGTAACACAACAGAGCACTTTAATAAATAAACCCAAGCCAAGAACTCGAGACACACGCGCAAAACTCGATGAAACTTACATACAATAAAATAGAACAGAATAGATATGTGGCACGCCAAATTAAAACGATCTAGACCATACATACAAAATCTTTGCATCTCGATATTTTATCCCAAAAAAAAAAAAAAAATACTGCTCGCCGAAGTAAAATCGGGATCTATTCTATTCTATTGATTGATTGATAGATATTTAAAGTCCTCAGCGAGAAAAAGTAAATATGAAATATACAGTATTCATGTGTATTAAATATATTGAGCCAGGCAGAACGCCATTCTCTTGATCCATTAACGAATCCGCACTTGCCACATCGGAAGAGCGTTAACCTTACCCGCGTTTGCATGAGATGGATGATCGGTATGTCATTGCTATTTCAGCTTGTATTTCTTCATGGATTATGGGGTTGGGTTTTGCGATTGGTGTTTAGAGGGTTGGTATATTCGATGTATGGATGGATCTTGTGTAACCGGGAATTCGAAAGACTACTTGCGGTTGGTTTTAAGAGACAATTAGATTTCATAGTGAGATTTCTGCATGTAGTAGGGACTACCTACCTGGCGGTGGATTATTGGTAGAGCATATCAGAAATGGAAATTTGTTCGCGTGGCTGAACGTAGATTTGAAATATGCGATAATGATGGAGGCGCTGATAGTTTGGACCATTTGACTGATATCATGGCTTGATACAAGACTAAGAGAAACACGAAGGACTGATTTAGGTACCACCATGTAAAGTTCAGCCTTATCAATCGTAAATCATGAATAGACATCATTCTCTGCATGATTGAAGTGTTAGTGGCACAGTCCATGCTGTACCATTTCAGTGCCCGGCTCCTTGAAGACAGATTGAAAAGAGATAACAACGAGAAGATAGCTGAAAGGTATTGAGTCCCAGCAAAGACTTCCAAAAATTCATCCCGTCCAATATCAATCAGAGACAATCTGCCCGAGGTATGCAACTCGTAAATTCAGATAGAAAATGATTTGATTTGGATACAGATATCTATCATTTTTCGAATGTGTTAGAATTTAACGTAAACCATGCGTTATCTCGTGAAAACCCCAAGGATCAGCCAGGTCTTTGGCTCACATTGTTTGGTTCTCCAGCGCGGATCAATGCATTTGTACAACATAGCATGTTGTTCCCCACAATGGATCATGATATGTGTTTCAGCGCCCGACGCAAGCGGTATGATGGTGAAATAGAAAATGCACAACTGTTGTCAGACTTACTACCAACTGATTAAAGATTGAACCCGGTGTTATAGTGGTTGAATCCATTGGCTAAAGGAGATATCTCGGCAGAGGACGTGAATGGTTCAGTATTGAGAAGATATGCGGGGTAAATTATGGCCTCGCACAGAGCTACCTCCTACTGTCAACATTAAGCGCATTTGTCGAACGATGATGTGCATTTTCCTGTTTGCAATCGATATTTAACATAGTCCTGATGGCGCCTGCAGTGTATCCAGCGATCAAAGCCTTTAGAGACTTCTGGTGCATACGTACAGCACTTCGTTGCATCTGGACGATTATTGATGAATGCCTTCATAACGCCACAATCCTTCGAAGTGGGGGCTGAGCATTATGTCTGGCCGTGTCGAATATCATGCTTAAAGCTATGAGGCGGTCAACGATATGGCGGCATATAAGCTTTCTGTATAACATACACGCCATACCTACTCATGGCTTCTAAAAAGATGATGTAGTAATTGACCGCATATGCATCTGCAACAAGAGGACGGAGGGCTATCACCGAAAGATAGCTTAATTCCAGTCCAAAGCAAGTTTGAGTTGCGTGGATTTCAACAAATCGTTCTCTTGTGTGGTATATTGCGACGATTTGTTAATTAAATCTTCACTATCAACTCTCGACTTACTTCTTTCATGCTGTAACCAATTCGAAGCTGGCTTAAGAAATCCGTCCTGTCATCTTAATTCGACCCTTCACCAAATAGCTACGCGGCTGGGGCCAGAAAAAAAGCCAAGTGACTCAATCCCTTGTGTGGCCTCTCGTGGTTTGTTCATGAAAAGAAGGCAGAAGGTCTGCAAAGTGGTTTGCATCTTGCCTTGCTAAAACATGCGAAGAAATTCATCAATCCACGGTCCCCACTTCTTGAACAGAGAAAAATCCAACCAGGCTATCCTTGATAGCTTGATATCTCTTCTGGTCAGCCGTGTCTCGATTTTTAGTTTTTTTAGTATTTCATACTTTTGCAGAAATCGCATGATGTATCAAATGGGTGCGAGGGCGTATTGTGGTGTATTTGCGGATGTAACACTCGGTGACACGCCAAATTTATCGATTGGTCCATGTTACTATGGGCATATCAATTCTTCTAAAATATGCCTATCAATTCCGCCCTGTAGCTGAGAGTGATAGTTGTTGAGCCTCAGACACCGGGCGGCACAGCCTTCTTCAATGACCTTGAAAATATGCATAAGCCAAAGCCTTATCGCATGACAAAGTCAACCCGGGCGTTGAAAACGGCACATGCCTTCTTGATAGAATAGTTCTTCACTAAACTAAAATGCGTAATTGAATTGGGGATTATTTGCACGGTCTTGCTGTTTCGTTGTTTTGTAATACAACTACTCGGTGACTGTTCGTCGGTTGTGTAACACTACCACATCTTTTTATTGTACCCCTCCATTCCTACAAATCAACCTAGAGGATAATAAAAGAGTTTAATGTAAAACTCCTAGCATCTTTTTGTTAATAAGGTTTTCGCCGAAGCTTCGCTTTACAAGCTACTTTTATGGTGTCCAGAAGGAATTGCGGCCCAAACCCGAGTTTTGGCTTCTACTTATAATCGCACCATCGCCCCTATTTTCTTCTGTAGCTCGTTTATCGAGTTCGATGTCAGTAATATTTCCACCAACGTCCCACCTTACCACTCACATCTAATATCAACACGATACAGTTACTCCCACCTTTCAAGATGAACCATCCACAGCCTAGAGACCATCCGCCTCCACCTCTCGGTAAGCTCTTTGGTAGATTTATTCCCGATTTTTGACACTACTAACATGATAGCCAGGCGCAATGGGGCGGGGTGCTCCTGGTCTAGCTCCTCCACCTCCAGGGTTTCAGGGTCCTCCTCCAGGTTTTCAAGGCCCTCCAGGGTTTCAGGGTCCTCCTCCAGGTTTCCAAGGGCCTCCTCAGGGTCACCAAGGTCCTTCAGGTCAGGGTGGTCGTGGTCCACCTCCGCCACAAATGCAAATGCCTATGCGTCCACGACATGAATCTTCTTCCCACATAGTTGACCTCAACGCCACAGAGAAACGACCACTTGACGATGCAGCGTGCAGAAAGTTGTTGACGACATATACGGTCCATTCGATCAGGAAAGTTGTACCGACTGGAAAGGAGAAATCCACCTGGGCAAAGGCTGTGGTAACCGAAGAGCCTTTATCACAAGAGGATATTGCTGCGCAAATAAAAAAATTGAGAGACTCCCTACAAACGATAGCAGATAAAAAGGCAGCATTGTTTCCTAACCAGCAGGCTCAAGTCAATAGGCTCTTGGATCGATTGAAAGGCGAGGAACCGGATCAACACTTTGATTGGTCCCTTGTCCAGCTTGACAGAAGAGAGAGATACCACAAGAAAGTGAGAGAAACTGTTGTAATCACAGTGATAGTAAAACGTGCGGTCAGGGATCAATTCAATGCCATGGCCATTTATCAACTCATCGAGAAGAACAAACAAGAAAGATTGGCGGAATTAATGAGACCTCCAATGCCGCCACCCCAGCCTCAAAATCCGCCACCGATTCCGCTACCAAATCCACCACCAAATCCAAATGACCAACCTCCAGCTGTCGTAGGAGTTCTTCGTACGCCTGGACACAATGGTAGTAACCGCGGCAGATCTAGAAGTAGAAGCAGGCAGAGGCCAGCTCGTTATGAGTCAGACTCGAACTCTGATTCCGAATCTGACAGCGACACAGACTCAACCGGAGCCTCAACAATCAGCAGTTCCCTGGCCACTAGCATTAGTTCTCGGTCAGATGAACGCTCAAGAAAGAATAGCTCGCGGAGCAGACGAGGACATAGCCATAGAGGACATAGCCATAGCAGACACCGTGCACGGGAGCACCATAAGAAATACTATACCCACAAAAGCGAGTCGCCTGAGCCTATATTTCAAGAGTTTCGACGAAGCGGCGAACCAAGGCCTCCTTCTGCTGGAGAATTTGCCCCACTTACTGCTCCTGATGCCATTGCTCAAGCATTTCAACAGGGCAGAGAGGAAGAAAGGGCAGCTGCCCAGTACTATCTATCACAGTCACAGCGACCAATCATTATCGATGATCCTTCAAGAGCTGTGGTTCCGGCTGGCCCTCGTGAACTTGAGCATAACACCGCGGCGCCCCGTTATCCACCTCGTCAACGTGTGGAGGCCACGATGGTGGAAGGGCCCCAATATGTAGAGCCTCAATATTTAAGGGCCGTACCTAGACGTCGAGAACCACTATACAGTGATCGACACCCTGATGATCTGTATGAAGATGACGTTGCGCCTAGTATCATACGGAATGTGAGGCCAGTTCCAAGAGAGGCCGCTTATAGACGCCGACTCTCTGACGTCGAGAATTATATTGCCCGAGATTCAATCCCCCGTAGAATCCCATTTACAGGCCTTCGCCCTCAGATTCCTCAAGTTCGTCATCACCATCCGTTCGCACCAAGAAGTCCACCACGACCTCGGTATGCTTCTAGTTACAGCAGTAATAGTGCGTACACATAGGTCGAGGTTTCGTTGAATCGAGTTGTATGCTTTTGGATGCCTTACTTTTCTTAAAGTTTGACACGATGTGTTATTGTTTCAGCGTTCTCAGTCTTGGAGACTGAATCCCTATGGATGGATTAGTAGCACTTACTGTGTATCAATTGGTGTCGGGAACTGGTGTTGATTTATGGTAAATGGATGGACCAATGGCGCAGGAAGTTATACCTCCAGCGTGGAAGCAATGGACGATTGACGACTTGTGGTCGTAAAGTGCCTAGTACTCCTCCTATGCAGTAGATACATGTAGCACTAAAAGCTGTGGTAATAGCAATTCTTCGTTTTTTTATAAAAATAAAACTTTCCGGTATGAAAAGTAAGAAATATGTGTGCCAATTGCAGGTTTTAAATCCATAAGGGAAGCAAACTTCTTAAGGTGGGCGACATTTCTGTGAGATGAATATTCCATGGCGTGAGATAAGTTAAGCACATTGATGCCCAAGAATGAATTGTACAATCAGAAGTCCCGAGACAATGCATCTCGGTTCATTGATACATCACAACAGCTCAATTCGTTGGCAGTTTTGGTAGGATCAATCTTGGCCTTTGTGCATATTTGAGCTTGCAATTGGACATTGACAAATACACCCTTGATGGCACTTGGACCTTTGAGATGATAATGTCAGTATTACATTTGGTTCCGGATTAATGAATTATTAGTCCTATATGTCGATGCAGAAGAGGCAGAGTGAAGTAGAAGATGTACACAAGAGTAGCTGATCCTTTTTCTTGAATGCAACGGTGATATGATGGGATTCAATGTAGTTAGTTCTATGCATTGCATTGATACGACAAAGAGGTCTCCGTACAAAATTTGGACCGAATGACGATTTTTGGCGGGGTTTGGACTCTTGTAGAGTGTCAGGTCCCGCCGAGAGCACCCCACTCCTAATACTGCCGATTCAAGAGAAGTTTGATATCATTTATACCATCTTCCTCGAGAATCATATTAAAAGATACATTCATTTTCATCCATATCAGCTTACCCCCAAAATCAATCAAATCATTTTTCGAATTACCAGAAAACTCGGAATCATGCCTCGTCAATTTTTCGTTGGAGGTAACTTCAAGATGTGAGAGCTTTTGTTTACTTTCCCCTTCCCCCGCCAAGTAAAAAAGATTTCAGCTAATTTTTACTCTTGTTGTCAGGAATGGATCTGTTGAATCCATCAAGAAGATTGTTGGATACTTGAACGATGCAAAGTTGGACCCAAATACCGGTATGTATTGACTCCTCGTTGACGTCCTCTGTTGAGGATGTATGAAGGATTCCCTGACTTACATATTCCTCTCCAAGCTCATAGGCTCCAGATCAGAGTTATGCTAACATTTCTTCCAAATAGAGGTTGTCATTGCTCCACCCGCTCTTTACCTTCTCCTTACCCGCGAGCACTTGAGACCCGGACTTGAGGTCGCAGCTCAAAACGTTTTTGATAAGCCAAATGGAGCTTTCACTGGTGAAATCTCCGTTGAGCAACTCAAGGATAGCAACATTACCTGGACGCTTCTCGGACACTCTGAGCGTCGTGTCGTCCTCCAAGAAGATGATTCATTTGTAGCGTCTAAGACCAAGGCTGCCCTCGATGGAGGAATCAATGTTATTTTCTGCTGCGGAGAGTCACTCGAGCAGAGAGAGTCTGGCAAGACAATTGAGGTTGTTACTGCACAATTGAAGGCCGTTAAGGATAAGGTTCAAGACTGGTCAAAGATCGTCATTGCATATGAGCCAATCTGGGCTATCGGTACCGGAAAGGTCGCTTCCACGGAACAAGCACAAGAGGTACACGCCGCTATTCGCTCCTGGTTGAAGAAGGAGGTTAGCGAGAAGGCCGCAGAAGAGACAAGAATCATCTATGGTGGCAGTGTCAGTGAGAAGAACTGCAAGGATTTGAGCAAGCAAGAAGATATTGATGGTTTCTTGGTTGGAGGTGCTTCATTGAAGCCAGCTTTCGTTGATATCATCAACAGCCACCTGTAAGTGGTTTTAGGATTTGATGAATTACGACTTTTAGTTGGGCATTGGACCCTAGTAGACAGCAAAAAAAGTTTTCGGGACTATCTATATTGAAGCCAAGTTGGAATGCCGTGCTTGTTGTGCGTAAAAATTCTAATGTGTCGATAGATCTTTGAATAGTCATGACCATTGTAATAGCAAAATTTGAAGCATGGTACGGACAAATATTCTGGGTTGCAATAGACAAATCTTGTGAAGGAATCAAGCTCCACTATACCAAGCTGACATGTAATCTCTATGCTTCCTCGGACAGCTTTGAATCTTTGATCCTATCAAGCACTGATGGTCCTGTTCATTTTTTATGTTCATTTTCATGATATAGGTCCGGAGTATTTCCACGGCCCCTGTTTCCCTGACACGACGTGACTTCCTTAATGAGGCAATGGACCGGAGATATGGCTTATGAGACTGCAAATAGGTAGACCAGATGCTAACATCGACAAAAACGGGGGAAAAGTGTGAAGAACATGGATTCCATACATCCAAACTGTTCGACATAGGACCATCGGAACCCACGATTTCCTATCCTTAACGCCAGTAATGCTGTTATGTATAATACAACAACCCTTTCTCATTCCTCCCTCAAACCTTAATTCCACCACTATGGTAAGGACTCCATATACCTCTAACACTCTCATTGATACTTCGCACAGGTTTCTTGACCCTCTTCAACTTCTCTCCACTCGCATCCCTTAGCAGCTCTGCCTTTTTTAATATCTGCCCCGGTTCTAAATTTCTGACGCAAATAGCTTTCTCACGACCATTGATATAATGTCCAATGATAACTGGGTGTTTGGAGGGCCGAGGAGAAATGGTCATTTCGATTTGAGGATTGGCTTTGGCGAAGCCGGCGAGGGTGTTTTTAACGAAGGAACTATGTCATCATAAGTATTGGAGCAGATTTGAAGTTTGAGGATACAACTCACTTCATGCCCTTGGAACTGCCAGCCCAATCGCAGTAATGAAAATCCATTCGTGTGCATTGAAGGATGAAGGCGCCGACACCATTCTAAATTCATTGTTAGCTAACATAACTGCGTGCATAAACTGATGATATACATACCTGGCTAACGGTAGTTTTCCTTAATCCTGTAATCCTCATATTGACTGTTGTGCTGACGTCAAAATGTAAATTCCAGAATTCAGATACATTCTACATATCGAGGTTCGAAATTGATAATTTTAGAATCACGTGAGTAAGATATTTTAAGCTTCGGAGCTCAAATCTCAGGTCTCCATCAGGCCTGATCACATTTGCGACGCGACACAGTTTCTCCAAACTGTATCATCATTTAATTTAACACAATTATTTGGTAGTTATCCCGAAAGCTGCAGATTCATCAATCTGAAAAATTTGGGAATCGCTCATAAGTCACAATGACCGATAAACTTCCACCAAATCTCCTCGCGCTTTTCGCGCCTCGACCCCCTTTGCGATGGGTTCCGCCTTCAGACCATGCTCCGGAAAATCGCAAAACTCCTGCTGTGAGCGGTCTTGCTGCGTATCTCCCGGCTCTTAAGGAATATAAGGAGACCGATCAATATACACCCACAGAGAGCTGGCTTCAGAGAAAGGACCGTGTCACACAGGAGAAGAAGGCCGCACACGAAAAGATCATTCAGGAAGCCCCAAAAACATGTGAGGGCCTTCATTCATGTTCTACATCAACATTTTATCTCCAAATCTTCTAGTTTTGAAATTGTTGAACTATTGCTAATGTTTTGGTTATACAGTCAAACCATCAGAGGACCCTAACATTCGTGGTGATGCCTTCAAAACACTTATTGTTAGTCGACTAGATTATGAAGCTACTGAGAAGGACTTGGAGCGCGAGTTCGGTCGATTCGGACCTATTGAAAGAGTGCGCTTCCTAAAAATATACTGCTTAATGCAATATGCTAATATCGGGATCTTGCAGATTCGCATAGTTGTCGATACCCACCAACATGAAAAGCCTGGAAAGAAGGTCAAAAAGCATCGCGGTTACGCATTTGTTGTTTTCGAGCGAGAGAAGGACATGAGAGGTAAAGCCGAGCACACCCTATACCCCCCATACACCAATGGCATTGTTGCGCAATTGGCACACAGATTTGGTGTTTCCACTTTCTTGTCTTTGTTTTTCTTTACTCCTTTATGCCCAGATTAAGGTATATGAATATGGGTAAATGACTAACAATCGCGCCTTGCTCGCGCTTCGTGAATAGCTGGTTTAGAAAACTGTGACGGTATCAGAATCAAGGATCGTCGAATCAAGGTAGACGTCGAGAGAGGTCGAACTGTGAAAGGCTGGCTACCACGCCGTCTCGGAGGAGGACTTGGAGGTCGTGGATACACGAAGACTGCCAGTTCACGACCCATGGGTCCTGGTGGGTTCAATGGCCCTCCTGGAGGCCCCGGTGGCTTCCGAGGCGGCTTCCGAGGCGGTTTCGAGGGTGGTAGAGGTCGTGGCGGCTTCAGAGGAGGTTTCGATCGAGGTGGATTTGGCGGTGGTGGTGGTGGTGGTGGACGAGGAGGAATTGGCTACCAAGGCCGCGGAAGCTTTGGTGACAGAGGTGACCGTGGTGGGTATGGAGGCTCTAATGGCTATGCTCCCCCAAATGCACCAGCTGGCCCAGGAGGTGGTGGTCGGGGAGGTTTTGGTGGTGGCGGCGGTTATGGTGGAAGAGGAGGTGGAGGCTTCGGTGCAGGATCTCCAGATCGTAATGGCCCCGGGGGACCAAGTGGTGGGTATGAATCTCGTGGAGGCCGCTCATATGATGACAGATCTGGAGGATATCGTGGCAACAGCAACCGTGGTTATGGTGATCGAGATGGAGGTCCTCCTCGCGGAGGCAGTGGCAGCAATATGGAGCCGGTAAGACCCCGAGACGGTAGTGGATACCGTGATAGAGATGGACCCAGAGACGGACCCAGAGATGGAGGATACGGCGGTCGACCACGCGAAGACGATTCACGAAAGAGACCTTATGACAGTAATGGCTATGAGGAGGATCCTCGCAAATTACGAAGGTATTAGGTACAACAGGACTGGCCCGTGGGTTCAACAGTCTTGTGGTGGGTTTTTCCGAATCTCCCATCTTTTCTCCCTTTCTCACCAGGGGTAAGCGGTTCTTCGATATAAAAGTTTTCACTCAAGGTAGTGTTGTCGCCTAATCTACTTGCATACTTGTCGACAGCATCTTCATAGCACGGTCAAAAGTAGTTTCCGCTTACGATCAACCTTCTCTCACCATGATAACTTGATCTCACAAATGCTTTTCCCGCATTCTCGACATGCAGAAATTCGACCTTTATCTCAATGGTTTGGTATGAGATGGCTGGTTTCTCTTACGCATTGGAGGCTTACTTTGATCATGGGAGGTACGATCAGAGGTAAGGAATAGGTACCACCTGACCATCCTCATCTAGTGCTTTAGCAAATTTGTCACCTAGCTAGATATATGGCTCTTTATATGTACGATCAAAGAGGAAAAAGATGAAGCTCCTGTGGTAAGATGGATAGCTCAGGCATAGCACTCAGGAAATTGCTGTTTTAATTTTTGAAGTACACATATTCCATAACAAAAACATGGCGCCGGTAAACGCCTCATAGTCTAGTCTTCTTTGACTGTATGATAGTTTAGAACAGAAACGACGATCCCAATATGATTTTTGCTCTCTTCCCTGCTTTTACTCGCTCATTTCCGTAGCCTCTATCTCTGTTACCTCTTGGTTGGCTGCGCTCCAGTACCTATTTCGGAGTTAGATTTTTAGATTACAAGAAATCCGGCAGCGCAAAGGCTTGAAGGAGAAAAGGAAGGGAAACTTACGCAAGTAATTGAACAGTGAACTCTGCAGTAGCAACTCCAAATAATTTCAACAATCTAGTCTGTCTACTATCCAAAACATCCCCTTCATTACAAACACAATAAGGATTCTCCAACGTAATCTTTCCCTTGGTCAACGTCGTCGGTACGTTCAACCTTCTCAATTCCGGTTCCAAACTATGTGCCATTGGGATATCATTCTCAGCGTCAATTTCTCCTCCCATACTGTATACGATCCCGGCGGGGATGGTGAAGTTTCTGCTAGCTTCGGTTCCAGCTCTAGCAAAATCTGTCTTAGATAGTTCTTGGAAGTAGGTGATGATGGAGGAGGGTTCGCGGTTGGTGAAGAGGAGTCCAACATTGCCGACTAGGTGAGGGGAGAGTAAAGATGTGTTGAGTTGATATTCGGAAGCGGGGTCGCTGCCGAGCGCTTTGGACATTACTTTTGTCTTTCCGAAGAAGAGTCTGTGATGGAGAGTAGGTTAGCATTTATTCCCACAATTGAGCATTCCAAAATGGTTGTCAATATCTCAGATCATTCAGCGTCTCCGATTCTTTCTTGCACTCCTTTTCATTGCCACTCCGCTTGCCAATATTTAACTCTTCACCATCTAATCTTTCCTGAAAAGCTGCGCAAATATCAAACTTCAATGATGAAATTCACCAATCCTAATTTCCACATCGCAAATGTCAAACGCTCAAATAGAAAGTACAGCATACCGGCAATCAGTCAACTCATTCCTCACATCCTTCAAATAAGTATTCCTCATATTCTCCACACTAAACACAAAACAATGCTGATAAGTATCGAGCGATTCGCGCACATTTGCAAAGAGTTTGAGCGACAGCTCCTTGCCCTTTTTGTCGACTTTGGTAAGGTGAACGACGCGCGCGCGCTTGGATTTAGGCATTGTGCTTATTGGGAATTGTGGTGGTGGTTGTGGTTAATTGAGGAAAGAAGTGGGCGAGAGATGGTAGATGGATGGAGAAATGCGGTTTTTGATATTCGAGGTAATTTTTTATTTTTCACGAGCTTGCGATAGGTAGTGATAAGATTTGGAGCTAGGCTTATCAGGGGATAGTGGGGTGGGAATTTTGTAAGGGTCGGCGTGAGGTAAATGTTGTTCCGGTTTTTGTGCTGTGGATGGGATGGAATTGGTGTGAAATGTTTACTTTGTTTGTGAATTGGGTTTTGGCAAATGCAGGAGATTGATGTGTTGATTCTCGAGTCTATATTGTTTGGAGATGTTGGAGTTTATGGATTATGTGCAGTTTGCATTCTACAATGCGACGAAATGGAACTATGAGAATTCATACTCGCAGTTGACGGCTACTGCAAAAGGTACCTCTCCTTTTATCTACCCTCAAGTCTTCCTGCGCAGCTTTTAGAAGGCCACTTCACTGATGATTCTGGAATACAGGATTACTTGACTTCGAAACTCCAGGCGGTCTACGATTCAATCTCTCCTCCCTTAGTTCTCCCAATTTTGCGACTTCGTATGCGCTAGGTAGCGTGGGTCTTGTGGATGGGTCTCTCTCCTACCTCTATTCTTCATTACCCCTTCGCACCACCGCGCAAAGTGCAAAGATTGACTTGCATGAGATAATACGCGGGTATCGACAAATCCAAGAACTTAGAAGAGTCGACGAACCATGGATGTTGGAACAATGGCACGGAGGTAGACGAATTGACAAACGGGATACGTTACTATATGGACGACTTTATTTACCGCAGAGCACGCTTGAAGCGTTGTATCTGAGAAGAATTACTCCGACACAACAGGTGAGGATTACGGCTGTCAGTGATAGCAGATTGAGGAATGGAGGGACGATATTGGCGCTGCATCAGTATGACACCGGGAAATATAGTACGGAGACGTTGTATTCGACCGATGGAGGGTTATTGGGATTGAGGGGGTTATACAATTTTGGGCCGGATCCCAGGAAGGAGGTTACGGAGCCGCCGAAACAGATGCCGAGGATCGATGATAAGTTTTATGGACGATTTAGTGCTGGGGCGGAGCTATATTATGGAACGTTGAATAAATCGGGAGGTGTCAGTGTTGGGGGAAGATTTGCGACATTACCGGCGCATAGAGGAATTCCATTGACAGCGACGTTGACGCTCAATCCGTTGATGGGAAACATTAGTTCGACGTATGCTGTGAGAGCAGGCAAAAACTTGTCTCTATGTTCAAGGCTAGATTTTAATGTCTATAGTTATGAGAGCGACCTAGTCCTTGGATGCGAATTATGGAAGATGAGAGCACCGGTTGAGGAACGCAGAGAAAGGAGTATGGAAGCAAAGCTTGCATGGAGACTTGACGAGGTAGACCTAGAGAAAGAAAAGAAACCTGAGGAGGTCGCAGGGGTATTGAAAGCGAGGGTTGATCAAAATTTGAAGGTGGGATTGGTGTGGGAGGGGAGAGTCAAGGAGTTGCTGTTCACATTAGGAACTTCGATTGACATGAAGAGAAGAGATCAACCGTTCAGAGCCCTGGGACTGGAATTGCAATACTCTTCGTGAACGATGAGGCTTTTCAAAATGGCGACAGCCACGTTCTACAGGACTGCACTTTGTTGGCCGAGATCGTATGATCAGGTATCACTTGAGAGCTTGAAAGACCTTTCGACGAGGCTAAAGTAGCTGAGTACAGTAATATGTCGGTCTGGGCGCTAAGGGCATATCAATGCAGCACATTGATAGTGGGAGCTATATTTGAGGGCTATATTGGTGATATCGGATTCATAGTATCGCCAAGTGTGCATTCATTTCTTGGCATAAATCGAGTTTCGAATGAGAAGCTCTCTCAGACTCACCTTGACGGATAGCATGGGCTAAAAAAGCTACACCGCAATCAGAAATTGTGAGAGCAACCTGGTAGTAGTACGACAGGTCACACACGGGACGATAGGTCAACTAAGATGATCTAAGGATCCCGCGCTACAGAATCAGCAGATTGTCTAGGTAGTCAGTAAAAAGGCAAAGCATGTACTCCGTAGGATAAGATCTTTGGACCCGATCATGGAATCGGATTGAGGAGGTAGGCATCCGCGACGAGATAAAACGCCAAAAGAATCACGACTCGAATGGAGATTCGGACAAATATTCCGAAGATGCTGATCCCGTGATATTTAAATATTTCCCTTTGTTGTCTCCCCGAAGTCGGACACCCCTTCCGATTGGCTGCAAAATACCAAAATAAAATATCATAGAGTTGAAGCTAATGATGATCGACATAATGCAATGCACAATGGATTGCTTCGTGCACAAGCCAAAGAAATATTATGTGCGCAGCCGCTGCTGCACCGGTCAAATGATCTCATAGTAAACACCTGCAGTCCCTCCAGTAGTACGTCCCGCAGCGGGAGGTAATGTTATACAAGTCGATACCATACTACCTATCTATTTTCACCCTATATTATTTGATACCTACTAAGTACTTAGTGTATAAGAAGAATTTATTAGTCTCGATAATCAGCCACACAGATTCTCGGTATTGATATTAATAAACGTGACGTAGTAATCTGTAAAGCACTTGGAAAGTCTAGAAAAGGATTTCGAGGAGTTTAAGGCTTTTTTCGGCTGATGAGGTATCTACAAGAATTACATTGTATATCTAATCAAAAAAAGCAGATTCGATGACTTCCGGTTGATCACAAGGCTTGTTTGGGACAATAATAAATATGAATCTTATTTGGCCGTTGTATTGATCGTATGAGCCAATGAGGTGCTTAGTATCCTTCATTCGGCTTAGCTAATCTACCCATCAAGGTTCTCAGTTTAATCTTTCACCGGTCTGTTTTTCCCCCTCCACTTTCTTTTTAGATTTTACTAGTAGGTTACCAAGTCCGGTAGTCTTGATGCAAGCTATAATAGAATGGATGCAATTGATATCTTTAGATCCCTTCATCAGTGATCATACCATACAAACATACAAACATACAACATACGACATCTCAGGTATCAGATATCAGATATCTCCGTCCCTCATCCTTCTTGGCGATACTAGCTACAAACTTCCTTTTCCCATCTTTCCTTCTATTTTCATATATACTTTGGTGAAATTTATAAGCAGAGACATAACTGTATATAAGATTTTTACTTTATATGTATTGATTTTCTTCCTCCTTGAAGATCCAGTCGTGATATAACAACATAAATTGGTTGATTGTTCGAGCTTTTCACAAACATTTCATTCACCTACATAACTAAATAGGTACTTACTCCGTATTTACTTTCCATTACCAATCATATCTCTTAAACACTCGACCGTTTCCCCCAGCTAAAATAACTTGCTTCCTGCTAATAAACTTTCTTCTGACTAGCTACGCAAATCCTAGGATGATGATACAACCTTTGAATTTTTCAAACTAAGCTTGGGCTAAATTGATATCCTTAATCGTTTCCTCCGGTCAATATATACTTGACGACGTTCGATATTGCTGAAGCTTTTTCCAACGGTTTCACAAGGCTTTTAAAGGCAAAAAGTTGCAGGGCTCATAGCAATTGCCCCAGATATTCAACAAGAATATCTGCAAGACGGCAGACACAAGTCAGACATCAGTTGGGGTAGTTAGGATACCCACGGGTTGCAAACAGAGCGGCAGTCAGTAAATATGTCGGAATATACAGTCGAGGTTGTATGTGGCAGTGGAAATGATTATGATGGCCGAATGGGAGTGCGGATATCTTCGATATTCGTTATTGGATTTGGGTCTATGATGGGTATGTTTCTCATGATTGGCACACATGGGCTATCATCTTCAAGGATACCTTCGGCTAACACAAATTATAGGTGCTCTTTTACCAATAGCTGCAGCAAGAACAAAAAGAATGAGTGTTCCGCCTCTGGCATTCTTTATCACTAAATATTTCGGATCGGGTGTGATTATAGCTACCGCTTTTATACATGTAAGTCTTGTGATTCCAGCTGTCATTCCCGAACCAATGTGAAATGGTTACATATCCTTGAGATTTTTGCTAATCACGTTACAGTTGTTGGCACCCGCTACGGAAAACCTGTCCTCACCCTGTTTAACGGGTCCAATTACAGATTACAGTTGGGCAGAAGGAATTGCCCTTATGACAATTTTCAGCATGTTCTTCATTGAGCTCATGGCTTCACGATACGATGTATTCGGACAGGATAGTCATGATTTGGAAGCCGCCGATCCTGCAAGGGATCTTATCAAACAAAATACCCGGAATGAGAAGCATAGCACATTAAGAACGCCTTTACCGTCAGAAGCTGCGAATAGCCCTCAAGCATCCAGTGCAGTATTAGAAAATGATCATGCAAGCTCGATTACTCAAAGGCAGTCAACTGGAGAAGGACCATCTGAAGTCAGATCCAGCATTCCAGGAAGACCTGATGATTTATCATACCCTCCTGGAGGTGAGGATCATCTTGGGCATCAACGAGAACACCATGAAGATGACGATCATTTCGCTGCTCAAATGACCGCAATCTTCATTCTGGAATTTGGTGTCATATTTCATTCCATATTTATAGGTCTCACACTTGCCGTCACAGGTGATGATTTCAATATTCTTTACATTGTCCTCGTCTTTCATCAAACATTTGAAGGTCTTGGTCTTGGGGCTAGACTTGCTACTGCTCATTGGCCGAAAACGAAGAGCTGGATGCCTTGGGCTTTGGGAACAGCTTATGGTCTTACAACACCCATTGCGATTGCCATTGGCTTAGGTGTTCGTACAACATTTGCTCCAGGTAGTCAAAAGACTATGATTATTAATGGTGTGTTTGATTCTATCAGTGCAGGAATCCTCATATATACAGGATTGGTGGAGTTAATGGCACATGAATTTATGTTCAATCAGGAGATGCGTAAAAGTTCAATGAAGATGATGCTTTTTGCTTTTGGATGTATGGTTGCTGGAGCGGGTCTAATGGCGTTACTAGGAAAGTGGGCTTGAAAGAGTATATATCTTTATGACTTTTTATAAAGGGTATCGCATAAAAATTGCGCGGGACTGGGTATATTCGGGATATCAAGGTCTATCCAAGGTGATTGGAGCTTGATCTGGGAGTATAAGGAAGGTTTGGCGTTCAAAAATAATCACTTGAACTTGAATGATTAACTATTATGTATAGCATTGATGATGGGAATGGATGGAATGGGCATGCCTGGGTTTTGATATAAGGATGGAACACTGGAATTGACGATGAGGGGATGGAACAATGGAAGTCAACATACCTACCTATAATTAACTTTTAAAGGTAGATGAATGGGATGCAGGAGTAGAGAGAGCGTGTATTTGTAGATAGAAGGATAAGGGTCAATTTTCAAATTTCAAAATGAGGTGCTAGACTATTCTTTTTGTGATGTGAAGCGATTATTTCACGTTTTGTGGTTCTGTGGTTCTGTGGTTCGGGAGAATCTGTTTTGATTTTTGATTTTTGATTTTTGATTTTTGATTTTTGATTTTTGATTTTTGATTTTTGATTTTTGATTTTTGATTTTTGATTTTTGATTTTTGATTTTTGATTTTTGATTTTTGATTTTTGATTTTTGATTTTTGATTTTTGATTTTTGATTTTTGATTTTTGATTTTTGATTTTTGATTTTTGATTTTTGATTTTTGAAATCTGAGATCTGAGATCTGAAGTTAGTTTGGTTAACTTCGGTCTTGTGGGTGGGAGAGGGGAGGAGGAGAGGAGAGGAGAGGGAAAAGAGAAGGTGATAAGAAAAGAGATAGGAGATGGAAGATAGTGGGTATAGTGTATTTGGAACCGGAATTGGATTTCAAACTCGAATTGAATGTCAAATCAAAATTGGGAAGAGAACAACAGAGTGAGATGTGTTTGGTTTTTGGGATGTTGGTGGTGGGTATAGGGTTTTTTGGAGCGAAGGGAGGTGGTTGGGTGGTTGTGGGGAAGAAGGTAATGAGGAATTGGAGATTGGGATTTAGGATTTGAGATTTGAATTTGGGATTTGAATAGATAGGGTAGGTAAAGAGATAGATGTGAATTGGAGTTGAGGTTGCTTTTGGTGGTGGGAATTGTATTCTTCTCTTTTTTCTCAGCATTCTAAGCTGCGAGTTGAAATAGGTGGATAGGGGAGTTGGAATAAGGTTGTGATGTTCATGATGATTGGGTACTGTATTGGGTTGGATATTTAGTACTGATATTGGCAAAAGACCAAACTCACCCAAGGACAAAAATTCCGCTTTTCTGTTGGTAAGAGGTGATATCATATCGAGTGATGAGATGTTTGTTTATTTGGGAAGTAGAGTGGTGGGGATAGGGATAGGGGAGGATAATCTAATTCGTACCTAGGTGGTGGTGATGAAGGGAGAAGTACGAGGTTGAATGTATATCCTAAATCTAAATCTTAAAATCTCTCTGATTTGGAGGAAAACTCTAATGTGGTATCTCGAAGTGATGGAATTGGGGTGGAATTGGAAGGGAATCATTTATAAGAGATTGGGTTGGTTCTCTTGTGGGGGATTCTGGGATGTAGGAGAGATTGTTTGCTAGTATGATTCTTGATCATTCCATTCTTAAAGAATTTTCAGTAAATCTGCCAAGCTAGTCCAATGATTGAAGTCAAGACGCGTTAGTGATAGTCATCTAGTGAAGAAGTGAAGCCTATCTATGTTCTGGCAGCTCCAGTGAGCTTTAGGATCGTTCTACGAGATGGTCCACTCATAGCTCTTGAAGGGGGGTTTTATAATATGTTGCATATCTATATTTGCACATTACGAGGCTCATCCTCACAAGTATAAACTAGATTGTGATAGTTTATAATTAAGAGATGATCGCAACTTATAGTAGCTTTTGAAGTGTTATACAAGTGTTCTATTTGTTCTCTTGAAGAGAAATTATATAAATATGTTGCACATCTGTATTCGCACATTACGAGGCTCATCATTACAAGTTTATGATTAGTTTGTGAGTTTATGGATGAGAGGTGATCGCTAGTTACGTTAGTTTTAGGATGTTCTTCAAGCTCTTTCAATCGCCATCCTCAAAAGGGAAATTGTTCAAATATTATGTTGTACATCTGTATTCGTACATTATGAGGCTCATTCTTTATAAGTTTATGATTAATTTATTAGTTTATGAATGAAAGATAATCACTAATTATATTAGTTTTAGGATATTCTACAAGCTCTTTCAATCACCATCCTCAACAGGGGAATTATTCAAATATTATGTTGTATATCTGTATTAGTATATTAGGAGGCTCATCCTCACATGTATCGAATTAGTTTACAATAGAGGAATCCAGAGAGTCATTAAACTAATTATCTCTTGACAGCCTTTCCTAATATGGTTTTAGTGTAGTCTTTGAGTGGTCAGAATAGCTTCACTTGAGCCCAATGGAACCTGTCGATTTTATCGAGATTCCAAAGTGGAAGCGAGTTTCGGTGAATTTTATTCATACTCATGCTTAAAGTTGCTTACTGATAGATGTAAGAAATGTAATTTTTCGTTATCGAGTCCATTTCTTGCGGAATGGGGCTGGCTAACTTCAAAAAGGGTAAAGATTCTCTAGGGACAGGCCTTTCCTAGTAGAGCAAGAGATAGCTAGTCATTGACTCTCTAAATTCATCTAACGGTTTAAGATTGAGAGGTGATCACTAGTTACGGCTGCTCTCGAAGTGTTCCACAAAATCTTCAATAAGTAGGAATTGCTCAAATATGTTGCATATCTACAATCGTATATACGAGGCTCATCCTGACAAGTGTATAAATAAGTAAGTAGTTAGCCCCCGACTAACTTTTGAGCGGTTTTCGCGGTCTTCACACTTATTAGATATTGCCCAATATGTTGCGTATCTGTACTTGTAAATGATAAGACTCATCCTGACAGTTTTTAAGATAGCGCGAAGGCGGATGGCCAACATCGTTCACGCTGGCCTAGTAGTAGTCGAAGCTAGGTTGGATGAAGTTTTGAAAATTACATCTGATAATTTTCCGATGGCGAATTATCTGCCTAGACACTCTAATTTCATGATCAAGGATGGAACTGGGGCTTCAGAGAATATTGGGGGTTTTGTTTGGAGATATGAATATTTAAGATAGATGTCAAGGGAACTGTCAGATTCATCTCCTGTTCGTCGGTGTATGTAATTTCAAGTAAGACCCACGAACTGAGAAATATGGAATCATCTCAAATTCTACCTTAACGATAGATGAAATAAGTTTAGACCATATGATTTGCGCAATAATCATCTGGAAGTTTGAGGTAGATCTTCTTTCATTTTAAGTTTCACCAATCTTTGAAACCAGATTGAGCTAGAAGTATCCTGAACCTTCCCCCCCACCAACTTAAAACTTTCAAGCTTGTTGCTTAAATAAATACTAATAATCTAGCGAAGCCCGATACATACTGTTTAGAGTCATTTGATTGTCATGCACATGGAAGCCGCGACGTGTGTTCGACCAGCCCAAACTAGATACTATCGAAGCCCAAATGCCGATCATCAAAAGCCTACTATTGAAGTTGTCCGCAAAGAAAGACTTTTTATGAATTTTGGAATTACTGATGAGAGTAGTATGAACTAGTATTGTAATGGTCGATGTTGAAATATTCGATATTATTTCAATATATTTGAATTATCTTAATATATATAATTGATTCCATGTAAAAATATGAAAATTAAATTGTATATTATATTACTTCGATTACTATTAGTGTGTGAACGAAGTGAATGACTTCAATTCAATTACTACTGTAATAAAGAACTAAGCGAACGCGAAAGAGACTAGCTCTTTTAGTAAGTCTATATAAGACTTACTACTTTCAATATGTAGCTAGCTCTTTAGACAGAATACAATTAGACATACAGGACCTACGTAATCCGTGGGTGCTACGTCTTCCGTATCCTTCTCGTACCAACAATTAGAAACTTGTATAAAGATAATAAAATACAAAACATCATGATGAACTACAGCTAGATTTTCTCCTTCGCCGCTTCTGGCGTGGATGATATAAGTTATAGTTCAAAGCTAAAATTAAAGGTTAAGGTTTAGGGCTGTACTAATTTCATAGTCGGCTGATGTGGCCAATGAAAGTGAGCCTATGGCTCGCTTGTGGAGATATAACCGGCAACAACGATCTGATCTTCCTAGATTCAACCACCTTCGATACGAAACGCAAGATAAGATGTTGTCAACGTTTGGTTTTCTGCTTTTTCATGATGATTTGTAATAGCTGGTATTAGAAATTTTGAGGAGACACCCTATGGTGGCACTAACATTAGCCATCAGCCATCAAGTTTTCCTGTCTTCATGTTCAAACGCCGGTAGGAAATATGTTGTGCCGGAACCCGGGATTAGATATCACCAATACCGCTAAATCTATCTGATTCCTATACTCTATATAAAATCTCTCCTGTCATGTCACAATTTGGTTGAATCAATTCGGCTAATGAAACGCAGATCCTGGCACCAGAAAGTAGTTTTAGACACAGTGTATCCAAGCCGTCTAGAGTCTGGTCCAAAGTCCGGTCGAAAATCTATCCGCTAATTATTGGGTTTCTTGAGACCAGAAAGAGCATCAGATTGAATTGATTGATTCTCTAGCTAAGCAGTTAAGCTGTGAGTATATATTCAAAAAATGAAGGAATAGGGTTAGGTATTCAGCCTTCGGAATTAAAGTGCTTTGAAATCAAAATATTGAAAGCAAACAAACAGTATACCGAAAAGGAAAGAATGAATTAAAAGTTGAGTTTTGTTTGCTCCTTATATGCATATGCTGCCAAGATCCCAGGAGGTCAACACTAATTCACGATTAATTTAGACTATAAAGAATTTTTTAAGGTAAAAAGGAAATGAATAGATCGAATTAATAAATCTAGATTTTAATATTTACTACACTAACAACAATAAAGACTGGCATGTACCATACCCCTCGCTATACCAATACCACATTTCCAGTCCTGACTATGATCCTGCATAGGACATAGACAATAATATGATTATTAATAATTTTAACAATTCACACATAACTTGATAGTTCTTAGCATCATGCTGTGAAGACAGGCCAGCTACACATAACTGTTAGAATTACTACCATCTTGATAGATTAAATGCTCAAGACTTTCCACCCTCCCCCCAAAAATTAGATTTTACACTAACATATGACGGAGGCAGGGGCGTTTGCAATAGCTCGCTTCACTAGTCACGAACGACCTCATATACTCATGAGGGGTACACTAGTGATCGAAACATATAAACTCTCTTAAATCTCATTCCACAAAAATATTCTTCTTCTCTAAAAAATCCATCATAATTGAAAAATTTCACATATTAAAACATTTCCATCTTACAAAAGATATTCTCAAGTTCGATCAACCAGCAAACTCGCATCCTTATACCACCTTAACGACGTCCCACCATTTACCACAAATCACCTACATTACTTTGCAGAATCATCATCCAATACACAAAATGAGCCTGTACAGACTAGTTCGTAAATATGTAATCTGCCGAAAATGCTTCCAAGATGTCGAAGCACATGAAAAGTGCTTCCTGGACGAAAATACGGCATTCAAGCTCCTTCTGCACCAGGATAAGTCATGGAGAATCCAAAGGATACGAGTGAAGATCATTGAAACAAGCAATGCGCTTCATGGTTTTAGAGTTCAAGCCCTGCCAAACCAAGAAATTTGTAAGTAAACAGATTCCTTTCTTAGCGAATAATATATTCCCACTCCTGATTTTGTTCTTGAGCATTAGGAATAGATATTAACACCCTAATCTTGATGTTTGGTCTCAATATATGAAAGTTTTGAGTAATTGTGCAAAGAAACATCCTATACTAACCCAGACTACCTGGGGAGTTTGTAGGGTATATCGTATAAAACAAACTTATCGAGAGGTCTTTCTAACATTCTCTTAGCTCCTGATGTCCCTCCATGTACTATCACTGGTGAATGGGAAGAAAGAAATAGGGGATGCGCTTTGTGGCTTCAATCAGTAGAAGCCCAACCAAAAGCCCCATCGGAATTAGAAGCAGCCGAACAACTCGAAGCACAGGAATTTTCCGAAGAAGCACGTCAAGCTGTGATGAATTACAGAAACGAGGTTGCAGCTGCGATCCCAGAACCGAAAAGAAAACCATTCCAATATTCAAATAACATTCAAAAACTACCCGAACCCTCCAAAACGGATGTGAAACTGGGAGCTCAAAAGCTTTCCGGAGAAGTACTTTCGGGATCAAATAAATCAGCCGAGCAAAACGCGAGTTCTTCAAAACGTACTTCGCACAATGATAAGTTTAGCAAGGCGAAAGAAACACCAGGTAGCTCTTACACGAAAATTCTTTCCAGGGGAGAGAAATTAGACGAGTGTTCTAAAGATATTCCGGAGAATCGTGACGTCCCCAAGGAAGAAATAAAGCAGGGAGTTGGAAAGACTTACGCGGAAGTACTTATGGAAGCGAAGAAGTCAGCGGAATAGGCTGGGACTAGTCGAAATATACTACAAAGGTATCTTTTTAGGGATTCTCAAGTCTCTTAGCGTCGATATCGGCGACAGCGTGACCAGCTGCACACTCTCCGAAACCAAAAAAGATAAAGCATTTCGAAGGACTTACATGTTCTTCAAGGAAGAGATTATGACGTCCAGCCACAACAGCATCTCAAATTCGGAAAAAAATCCGAATTGACCAGCGATCGACCTTTACAAACGTATTTAGAATAAGTTTTCAGTTCTCACCTAATGGAAGGAAGTATGAAATTAGTAAATTACCATTCAGCGATTAATAAACTTTATTATTCTTTAATTAGTAAATAATTAATTATTGAATAATAAAGAATATTATTTTTGAGATTGTGATTTTTTAAATTAAGAATTGAGATTTTAATTTATAAGTCTAGTAATTGTTCAACTTTCTGTTACGAGGTTTGCCGTCTAGATCACGTGGAAGTGCTCTAGGCTCTCGAGGTGGTTTATAACTAGGCGTCAAGCAGGGACTTAAGTAATGACAATGATGCAATTCGTAACTAATAGTAGAGTATACTAAATGATTGATCTTGAGCACGAAGCTCTATACAAAGGAAATCCATCTTGATTATATAGACCTTCATGCTTCGTGGCTCGAAGGGAGCCAGGGGATCGAGCTTCGATCCTTTCGCTCTCTTCGAGTCCCCGCATCACGTGTTATTACTAATCCCGTGACCTAATTGTTACCTGTCGTAACATCCTCTCACCTTACTACCAAATCCAGATATCACAGTCTACCTACCTAGGCTGAGTTCAGATATTATAATTAGTTATTAGAATATATCTACTTATTTAATTTATTTTGAATACATATACACTTAGAAATACGTATATACATACATATATCCAACCATCCTATAATTCTAATTCTATCACTCATCCATCACTCATTTCCATCCGCACCACACAACATCAACCTCCCCCTCCACACCACCAGCTCAAACCTTAAACCTCAAACCTCACTCTCACAAATATCTCACAAACCAACTCTCCACACTTCACAAAACCAAAAGAGAGGGGGGAAAAAATCAGAAAATTCAATCAGACCAGGAACCAATTTTGTGTTTCTCATCATGAATAATGAACAGTTAAAAAAAGATAATATGCAACATCACATCCTTTACAATCCCAACCAATTCTTTCCATTTTCCATTTCCATTTCCCCTGCCACCAATTCCTCATTTCGTCATCCGCCATTCATTCCCGTTTCAATCCTCAAGGTTCTTCCGGAGCCCTTTCACTTCCTACATCAATCGTGGCATGACATAGCATCCTTCAATATATCTTATCCTAACGCTCATTGTTCAATTGATCCTCTCAAGGACTAGCCCAACCTCCTGCAACATCTACCCATTCCGCCAAGCAACTTCCCTGTTTGCCCTCTACATCCACAATATCCGTGTCGCATCTACATCTACATCCCACTCCATTCTCCTTTACAGGATCCCAACTATCCCAGTACTCATCTTCTTCCTTTCGTTTCTTTTCGTCCAGTGTAGTCTTTTCTAGAAAAGGTTCGCGCGCTCTCTGGCGTGCGGGTGCGTTTGCTGGACAATGCTGAATCGTTGTATGCCTGTAGCCAAAATCACGGAAGTAATGGATATCGCGAGGGGCGAGAAGAGCGCCAGCGGCCAAAGAATGGATGGGTGCGTCACCCCACTATGTTGTTAGTCCGAATCAAATATACCCTCAAGATTAACTTACTCTTTCCATCCAAAATCCACCACTGCGATCCATCATTTGGAAGAAATCCTCATATTCCTTACTTCTGAACCAACTAAGTCGAGCGATTTCGAAATTCGACCAGAAATGACACATATTGTACTTCTCTCCTTCCATAGCTTCCGGATCGATTTCTGGTAAAGATGCGCGGGATGGATCACCTCGTAGAATTTCCTCGGGCAATGGTCTTTTATAAGCTGGATCATCTTCAGGGACCTCCTTTGGCTCTTCAGGTGGAGGTTCGATAAACATTTCCCATAAACCTTGAGATGTAATGTTGTTAACTCGTTTGTATGCAGATGCGTAACGGAAGATATTTGGAACAGTCTCCTTCAGTTCCTTAACGGCAATGGTGAAACCATAAGTCTTATTCGCATCAATCATCTTGAGGAAAGGATCGCTAAAAATTCGTCAGCTTCATTTCAATACTGGCCTGAGAAAACAAAACATACTATGTAATATCACAGAAGTACTTAATTTCTGGCTCTAAACGCCAGTACCACTCATACTTAGCCAGAAGCTCATGTTTGTAAAAGAATCTAGTACCATCAGCATTCTCTCATTCTCCTCAAGCCCAAGCTACTGGATAAATGCATACCCTGAATAAAATCTGCACATAGAATGATAACTCTCCATACCACCATACATAATGGCAGCATCACCTTGTTTTGCAATACCCTCTTTGGCGACTTTAGGGTCGATCCAATCTGGGAATCCCCAATGCTTAGGGTCGATAGTTCCAAACTCGCACGGCGCACTGGTATAGTTTTGAATAACTTCTTTGAATGTCGAGTTGAATTCTTGGTCGTTAAGGAAAACGTATGGGTAATGATACCACCGATTGAAATGTCTTTCGATAGATTTCACTGATTGAATAACTCCCTCCAACTCCTTATTTCTTGCCAGCACAACGAATGCTGCATTGGCTCTTGGTTGACTCGTATCAGGTTCTGCGCATCCCGTCACGAATACCTTATCATGTTGTTCACTGATCCTCCTGTAATCACACATCAAGTTAGTGGTCATGGCATTCCAAGAGTAAGAATGAACGAGAAGAAGAGTACATACCTGATAGCTGGTGGTGCTCCAGCTGGCATTAAAATTCCCACACCTGATTTAGGATGTCGGACGAAAAGCACCAAAATCAAAACAACGACAATACATGGAAATAATAAAACTACACCGAGAGGTATCGAGATACTGGAATTGCCCTTTAATCGGAGCGGCCGCCTGAAAAATGCCAATCTAGATGTGACTTTTGACTTCTCCTTCCCATCATCCAATGGTAATTGTGTCGATGAAGGCATGCGCTTCATGACCCTCTGTACAAACCCCATTGTGATTGTTGATAATTGAGGATCGTTTCGAGGACAAAATATTGAGATAGGGGGATTTATTTCGACCCCAGATCGTTAGAAAAGGACACTATCCACTGCGTGCCGTAGATCGATTAATGGTAATTATTACAAAAAGTAATTTGAAAAGATGTATGTATAGTTGAAGGTCGAGTCGAAACTGATCCTAAGCCGTTTTTCCGTTTGGCACAGCCTCTATTGCTTCCTAATAAGAACCGACAATGCTTTTGTAACGAGCGGCTGGACGTTGAGTTGTCCTCGAAGATAGAAACACTTTTGCGATGACGCGTCCGTCTACTGTATTGAGGAGGTTTCTGCCGCCAACATAGAAGAAATAAATCCGATATGTTGATGGGAGAAAGGAATTCGAAGATATTATGACACGAAATTTCAAAGAGGAATTCGTTATTGTAAATTGTCGTGTGCTGGATGGTGGGCTAGAACGACTTGAGGGTAGGAAAAGGGAATTGAGATGGGGTGGATTGTGGTTTGTGGTTATTTGGGGTTGTGGAGTCTAGAAGGGTTTGTCAGGGCAGAGAGGTGTTAACTTTTAACTTCTTGGGATGTTTGGTGTTTCGTGTGTGGTGTGTGGGTGGGATTATTTTTTTATAGATTAAAGTTAGGGATCCTTAAAAGTGGAGAGAGGAAAGTCTTGAGATGAACGAGAACGATAGGAGGAGAATCCTATACGAAACAATATTGACAAACTGATTTTATCTGAAAAATTACTGCATGACAATTATGCCTTCACCCGTTTTTTGGTAACAGAGAATGCTTTCAATTGGCTGATTTCTCCATGCAATAGCAATGAGCATTTGATACGAATAGATGGCAAACAATCACGGAGAAAATAGAATCTTGGCTAGAAAGTAACCCTTGTTATTGCCTCTTCCAAACCTCGTTTCGATAATCCATATGGACAGAATAAGTAAAGGTTGCTTGTTGCTATTAACTACGTACTAGATAGGATATGATATGCCCCTGAATGAATTGAGGAAGTCTGAATGTCTACTCGGGCAGATGGGTGGAGGATGGGATATAGTAGGCCCATTTCCCCCAGGAAAGAATCCTCTTTCAATTATCAATTAACCTCTTTGATCATTGAAGATAAGTGACAAGTGATGCTACCTATTATCTGGACATCTGGTATGACTGATGATAAGCTCATTGATACCTAGTTGTGAGCTTCAAAATCCACATACATGTTTGATATCATCTCACCATCCCACCTGTCGAACCGTCGAACTCACATAAGGTTATTCTAGAAACCCGTTCTACTCCCAAAGCACATCCACCGAATCGGAGAATTCCTATAACATAGCATTTCACTCATCCATCCTTTTGGAAGAAAGAAAAGCCAGTCTCCTTTTCCATCCAATGTACGGATGATATATGTACATATATGCGCACTCTCATTGGACAATCCCTACATTTTCTTACTAATAAATCTATTTTCATCTCAGCCATCCGCAAATAATCTAATCTCGAACATCCACACAAACCACCATCCAAGCTATCTCCGCCCCGCCGTATATTTTCCATAGCTCCCGAGGTCTCATTCCCATCACATATCAAAATCCAATATCGACATCAAGACTCAAACATTTTAACCTCCTCCAATCACCAAAAATCCATCCACAATCCCAAAACACCTTAAAAACACAAAGAAAACCACACCCACATCCCATCACTTCCCCACCACCAGTGCCCAAAACCCACACCCCAAATGTCCAAAATAACTCCCAAAAACCTCTCCTACAACAACACACTCCCGCCCTTCCTCCAACGCCTCCAAGCCAACTCCTCCTCCTCCAACGGCCGCCACGAATTCAGCATCTCCCGTCCCTCAAAACCCCGAGACGAAGACGAAGAGAAGGAAAGTGAACCCGTGGTATTCGACGAGGTAAGCGGAGAGACGCTTAGTAAAGAGGAGTGGGAAAGACGGGAGAAGGAAAGGGAAGAAAAAGAAGAAGGGGAGGGGAAAGATGGAGAGGGAGATGCAGAAGGGGAGGAAAAGGGAAAAGAGGGGAAAGAGACTGCTGTAAATGGGAAAATAGGAGGAGTGGGAACTGGAATTGGAAGTGGAATTGGAATTGGAGCGGGGAAGAAGAGGAAGGTGGGAAAGATTATTGGGGGTTCTGAGGGGGAGGAGGAGGAGAGAACTGATAATGGCTCTGAGAAACAGAAGGAAGAGAGTACCAAAACTGGGGCTGGAGAAAAGAAGAAACCTAAGGCTGCTGCGAAGAAGGGGAAGAAGATTAAGTTGAGCTTTGGGGACGATGAGTAAGCTCTCGAATCGGGTTTTGGGTGAAGAGGTGGTGGAAGGTTGTTTATAGAGCATTGCATGAACGGGACATCGGGAATGGCGTTTGGATATGGGATGATACCCGGCTGCTATTAATTAGCCACGTCTGCATTGGTACAGAAAGTATTGACAAAATCACAAATAAATATCACAAATCTATAATAACATAAATCCGTGTTTTAAAAGAGTTTCCATTTTATTCCTATCGTCGTCCATCAATACATTCAATTTTTTAATCTTTACCAGTCATATATCCCAAGCACCATCAAGATCTTAATCTGGTCCGTACGTTCCAGTCATTATGCTTACTAGATAGATGCCGACCAAAAGCAAGCCATGCAACGCAACGCAACGCAATGTTTCTGCAGATGAAGTTGAAGGAATACGCCCACCCCGCTCACGCCCTATCCTATCACCTTTCTTCGTTGAAGACAAGAAAAGGAGAAAAAAAAAGGCAATCGGAATGCCATCCTATGCCCTATGATGAAAAATGAAAAATGGAACGCCATAGAAGTTAGATTTGACAATGACGAATGTGCATCAAAAGAGAAACCCTTCCTTTGCCTGCATAATTTTGCGTGAAAAGCAATTTTCGGCATACTTGCCATAAATGCACGCATGGGTCAAATATCCATGGTCCAATACCAAAACCAATATATTCCCTTCTTTCGAATTTGCGTACTATCACTAGCTTCCCCATATCAATCAAAGTGTCGTCTCCGGTCTAATAAGCTTTTGTTGTCGGGGCATTAACAAAGTCCCAAAGCATCTTGACCAGCGAGTCTGGTAACGTATACAAGTCGACATGGAACTCCCCCTCTGCAATAATCCAATTAGCATTATCCTTACCTTCCCAACCTCCAGACTCCAACTTACGGTCAATATCATTCTTCGTATACGTATCTTCACTCTTGTTATCATGAATCATCTGCACCACATGCAAAAGATCATCTTCCTGCAATTTCACCAGCCCCTCAGCCAATTTTTCCATATCAACCTGCCCAGTCCTCTTCCTCTTTTTACCATCAGAATCCTTCTTTCTGCTCATGCCTCCATTTTCATCTCCTGGCACTGGTCCCGTCTCTCTTAATGCATTAATCAACTCTCGACTAGGATTTTTGAATGTGATAGGATGTTTAGCTTCGTAGCGGGTCTTGCCAAAATTGAGATCATGTGCAATGCTATGCTTGCCGCCTGTCGGAGTAGTGAATAAATCAATCGTCATGTCGAATTCTCCCCATCCCTCATTCTCGCAGCGGAAGGGAGGCTCAGTGAAGGCTATTTTAGTGGCAATTGTTAGATGGGGGACTCTTCAAGCTTCGCGCGCGGTATTAGAATATGAATGAACGTACTTTGAGTTGGGTTAGGGAAAGTAGGGTGTAGATTGTAAACTGCCTTGGTGAAGCAGGTAGCTGGCTTCTCATTGCCAGCCTCATCCAACATGTATATCTCGATGTTCCATGATTTCATCGGAAACCCTTCTTGAAGAGCAGGTTTGTCGCTATGTAATAACTCTTAGCATATATCCTCAACCCCAATGTAAAATATTCGTGACGGGAATCTAGATCGCGACCTACATGTTGCGCTGCTCGGTAATGAGCTTAATTACTCTCTTGACCTGCAATGCAGTTAGTATAGTTGCCAACTTGAGGTATTTCGTGAGAAAAAGGCTTAAGCATTTCAGGTTACTCACATCTGCGACCATCTTGACGGTATAGTAAGGGTTGAAGACTTTGTCTGATTTTCGAATTCCTAATGATGTCGCTCTGAATTGCGACGCGCCTGCAGTTGGCTGATCGTGAGTTGAGTGGGGTTATGGATATCCTAGCTTAATAGCTCAAACTCAAGGATTCTTGAGAAACACAGAATCACGTGGGTTTGGAGGAAGTAATTAAATCGATCAAAATCTGAGTTGGGAAGTAGAGCTAGGTATCCAAGTATTCTGGATCGTTGTTGTAAATTGGAGGCTGGAGTCGACAAATCTGCAGCTTTCGTTGTTTTGACGGGAAGAAGTTTAGTGCTAACCTCACTCAACTTATTATTTTCACCTTAGGACGTTCTCTTGAATGGCCAATTGGACTGATATAAAGTTTTTATACATGCTTCCAAAAATCATGAGATTTGTATTTATCAAGTCGCGATATTCACATTGCAAATTACATTTCAGATCAGGAGCTTGGGGACGAACGAGGGACTAGTATTTTTAGTCTAACTACAATCTCATGTCATAGTCTCAAAACTGAGTACTAATCAAGCCTTCCTTTCCTACATCATTATCATATTCATGATATAATCTTTGAGAAAGACCTGGACCGCCAGAATGTTCAGGTATCGAATCGTCGATGCTTACAAAAGAGGTTTCGGCAACATGCGCGTAGATTGTTAAAGGGGTATGGAGGAAATGCGTTTCAATGCAACTGTGATCATAAATTCATTCCTTCGGAATACGTGCTGTGCTGTATTATGCTGTTTGTCGATTTGGGGGCCGTGATGGGAAGTAGAAGTAAATACGAGGACGAATTTGTCGTTTAAGCCTTGAAAAAGACTTCGTTCTCTTGTTGAGCCTTGATGAAAGCCTCCTTGAAAAGGTTTGCGTCTAGAAATGTCAGATCCCATACTGTATGTTATTTGCGACGTGGAAGCTTACTCTCAGAGTTGGCAAAACGGATGGCCAAAGTTTGTGCTTCTGGCTCGCCCTCACTGACATCTGCTGCGGCATTCCAGACCCAACTTCTATCACTACCAACGTTGGGGGACAACTTCATGTCAGGAACAACTTTTAACTATTAGCAAAAGTTCCACGTAATGCTTTCCGGCATCGTAAACATACCATAGTGGTTGGCGCAGACCTTCAAAGTCTTGTCTCTTCGCATGACCAATCTAGTCTTGCCATTCTCTTTGTGTTTCAAGAATCGAACATCACCGGTACCACGCTCCTTCCACTCTTGGGTATCCTTGACGAATTTGAAGAGCTTAGCGCGCATCTTAAAGGTTTGTTCCTCGAGTTCTTCGTTGGTCTTAACATCGACTTTCTCGGTCAAACGAATGACTGGCTCGAAGTGAACGTCCTCAGATTCTGGGGCTTCATCCTGAACAATTATCAGCCCTGCTTGCATATATAAACGTTGTCCAACAATACCTCTGGGTTCTCTTCAGCAGCGGCGGCCTTTTGTGCCTTGGCAGATCCTGAGTTATCTCCTCGGTCCTCTTCCTCTTTCTTCTCCTTCTTAGCTCCACCACCGAACATAGAGAAAACATTATCAGTAATACCGGTAGCGGCAGAGGTAACAGTTGCGGCGGCGGTAGATGCGACTTCAGTAGCTTTTTCGGTCAAGGTCTTATCAAAATCAGTAAGGTGTAATCACATCAACGAAATCGCTGTGAAAGAAAACAAGAAGAGTCATCAACATACAGTTCCCTCAGCTGGAGTTTCCTTGGCAGATTCTTCCTTTAATGCCGCTGGCTCAGTGGCAAGCTTGGTCTCTGACTCTACAAGCTTAGGCTCATTGCTGGTGTTGACCTCTTGATGTGCTGGTTCAGCCATTGTGAAAGATTTATTTGATAACTCAAAGGGAATATGTAGAAGAAATCTGCAGGTTATTTTGATGCAGCTCTAGTTGAAAAGTGCTGTGGTTGGAAGGTACTTATGGAGTGAATAGTAGAAGTGGGAGAATGGAGGGGTCGAAAATCTGAGTTGTCAGGCAAAAATATAGAACTAAAAGAGCCAAAATCAAAACAAAACAGGTGTGACTAAGCGATTTAGTAGAACTAGTGTCATTTTTACAACAGCCGGGTTCTCTTTTTTGCTTCTTATGGTTGCGATCAACAATACTAGGTATTCATACTGCCCCTGAATGAATGAACTCTTGATGAGTATTTCATTGTATGAGCAACTGGGTGATTAAAAAGTCTACATTCTTATCATACAAGGTAAAGAATTGTTGACCTGTTATCTAAGGCGAGAAAGAAGATAGGAAGAAATACATCAAGACAACAATAAGGTAAGGGTTAATTAGATGATTGAATTATCAATTATTTGAGACATCATTTGTTTCAAAATATATCCACGGGATCTAGACTTATTTACATACCTACCTAGTGTCTTAAGTTTACCACAAGCGGCTCAATCCGGATGAACTGTCGGGCCGAATCATCATTCAACCATCCACTCTTGGTGTTGTGAATATCTGATAACAACATTGTCCCAAAGCTGGGGATTCTCGTATATTGAATATCATGAAGATCGTGTGTTTTTAACAATTGTTTCTCTGTTTATGGTTGTAAATTATGATTTCCGGAATATTGTCCATCATGTATAGTTGCTGGTGCTCACCAATGTTAGCTATATGAAGGCTAGAAACATAGTTACACAATGCTCTGGAGTTACCGAAATAATACTATGGGAGTATTTTATGTCAAGGGAGATCATTCAACTCATGCATAGAGCCAAGTCATTGTAATAGTCTTACACTGTGGCCTGGACAGCAATGCATGACTAAATACTGTTGATCTTGAGCCAGCCAGATGTAGTTATCACTGGAGGTCACGCTCAAATGCAAGGTGCTTTTGAAATTGTGTTCTAGTGGCTGTAGTGGTCTTAATTTCCTCTACTATTGATAGCTTTAGAGCTTTACATAATGCTGTTATTCATGTCCCGTGTCCGCTGTAAGAAAGCTACGTGCCAACCAGGGAGGAGATGCTCTCGAAACGAAACATCAAACCAGCCATTAGAGCGCTGAATTCCCCCTACCATCCTTGGAAACCATTCTTTATTTTCCAAGCTTCCTCTCGACATGGATGTGGCTTGTAGCAGCTGTTTGGATAGAAATTAAGTATGACAACAATGCTGACGAGGTGTTGATAGTTGAAATTGGTATAAAGCTATCGGCAAAGATAGAGATGTTCATTGTCTTCAATGCTGAAGCCAAAATAAGTGTCTATTCTAGCAATACAATGATAGGGTCAAATAGGAAGACGATAGTAGATTTTATTTACTATGGTAAAGGTGGTTGACTAGGGAGTCAGGGGATGGTTTCTGAGATATACTAGAATGTGAGGGAAAATCTACGTTGTGTGAATTACAAATTATTATTGCTGCTATGAGTGTCAACAAAGCGGGTGTGAAGAGCCTCAAAAGTTTGCTGAATGTCATGCCGATCATCGTTTCACCACGCATTTTATAGTACCAATTAGCAATTAGATAAGAGACACAGGCTAAGCAGGCGAGTAAACTTCTTAATTCACTACTTGCTTTGATGTGTAAGACCATGGGAGGATCGCAGTACCTCTCGTTCATTCTTTCTTTACGTGTCAAACCTTCCGAAACGCCAGCAAAGGCCCCGACGACCATGTTCAAAAGAGTAACCTACTCAATTATCTAGGCCATAGATTGAGCGCCACTTCCCTTGCTTCGGCCTCAAGATATCTAGTCATCCTTCACTTTCATCATCTTCCACACTATCTTGGACTTCTTCAACGAATTTTTCGGCTTCCTCACACGTGCATCCCGCTAGCTTTGGCGCAGATCATCGTACAAGTCATTGCTAGGACGTCAATATTCTTACACTCCGAAGCCCGCAAAGCCAACTTCATCGCGCGATTCAATTTCTCCTTCAAATCACGAACCATCACATCCTTCACATGTCGAGTTCGGTGGCGGGCCGTCGTAGAAATTCTCTGCTGAATGGTATGAATTGGCGCGCCGTCCTTCTGCACTAACCCCTCGTATTGGTTCATAACAGCTTTCCTACGACTAGGGCTGCTGTAAGTTTTGCCCAATTTCCCAAGAATCTCCTCTGCTGCTCCGTATTTATTCCCAACACGTTCCAAAAGTCGACTACCCAAATGGAATTCAATATATGCAGTGTGGGAAGCTCTGGGAACTTCATCTCCAAAGAGGAAAGCCTGCATACTGTCCAACCAGTCATCAAATGCAATTAGAGGCTTTCCGTAATCATCAATTTCCAAAATAGGAATATTAGGTAGAAATCTATTAGGCTTCGTAACAATATCCCGTCCTGTGCGTCGTGCAATATCCAGCTTTATTTCGAGATATGCAATAAGAGCGTTCTTCTTGAGAAGTTCCCTATGTCTCCTTGCGGCTTCATGCTCGAGCGTTCTAACTTTAGCCTGCAAAGCAGCGATGGTATTTTTGTTGTCCATTTTGATTCTTTTCGCTCGATGCTCCATTTACTTGTCCGTTGATTTGTGTTTTGGCATAATCAGATCTAGTGCTGTTGAAGTTGAAGTCTCCGAAGTAGGCAGAAAATTCCTTTTTGTCTGATCCCTCCCTATTCACTTGTGCGGGGTCTCGTGCCGCATAAGGTTCTCAGTACTAGATTCCCGCGACTGACAGCCGAAAAGGTGAGATTTCCAACTATGAATACACTAAAAGTGAAGGATGAAGGATATGTGTTTAGGTACTGCATTAGGAACTTCTCCAGCCTATTAACAGCTCTCTCAATCAAGTACAAAGATGATTCCTCTAGAATCATGGCTCAACCCTTCCGGCAACACGGTGGAGTTTTCTAACCTCACTCACAACTCAAATCAGAAAGCTGTTCATAACTAAAAGATTCTTGTTCATCTACCATCTCAAAGTGACCTACCATGAGTTCCAGAACACAACAAGATAACATATCTATAAAAAAAAAGAGCCATCCTATTTCCTGGGCTATTGCTACTCAAGACAAGCCAAGCACCAACCTAAACCATTTATAAGGCAAAATTTCGCCCTTCTCAGTCTAGTCGATCCAACATTTTCCTTCACCATTTCAGTGCATAGCAGAGTATCCATTCCAAGAAATATATTTTCATCCTTGCACCCTCGGACCCTCTTCAGCACGCCCCCTGGATTACGCGATATCAGCAACTACTCCGCTATTCACTACCCGCCACTTTATGAAAGCTGTGATGGTTTCAATGAATTAAAGCTGAGTAATATGAATAAATTTTTAGAGATTATATGATACAGCACAACATGAAGGGGCATAACTTCATCAGCTCAATATCACTAGCCAAGCGACCGAGATCCTGATAAAATCGACCATTCAGGATTTTCATAGACGAAAAAATTCCCTAAAAATTAGTTACAATTATAGGTAACATTTCTTTTTTTGCAATTTCTTCATCTGCTGGTTGTTATTCTAGTCAGGGCAAGAAGAAACAGTGGCAAAATAGGGCGGAGAAAGATGGTTCAGCAAAAATATGCCACGTTGATAAGTCTGATTGTTTGAAAAATTGAATTGCTGACCCTGTTGTTCGTTGTAATTTGGGATATACTACATTTTGAATGTGGTGCCCATGAGGAGTCCAGCTTGTCCAATTATAGAGCATCGTTTTATAAAAACTGATATATCCATTACCACAAGTAACTATAGCCAAATCATGTACCCAAATCATGTACCCAAACCATATACCCAACCATATACCCAAACCATGTACCTAAATCATGTACCACCCATCCATTACACCGCTTATACCCCGGACTAACCAAAAAGTCATGAGCTTCCAATATTCGGAAAAGATTCAACATGCCAAATGATCTGAATGTCCTAATTGGATTCAAATATCAAGAGCCGCTGATGTTGGACTGCCGTCCGGAGTATTGAAAACCATACGCCGGGATCTCTCAGTGTCGTATAAGGGTACGAAGGCTCAAACGACCCCTCGGACCACGTTTCATAGCTTCTTAATTAGCAGCTCCATTTGAACGTGGCCGGATGACTGCCATTATGTGGTTTACCCGCGTCTGAGTCCACATGCAATATCCAAAAGATGAAAGGAAATCCCGCTGTGGAATCGGGGTTCGGCTGAGGAATTCATTTATTTTGGTTCAGGTCGCACGTGAGCTAGGAAGGTTGAGTGCTTGTAAAGAAACATCCCAGCAATCCAGGACGGAGTAATCGATCGATTTAAATTCGCGATAGCTGCATTTTGGAGGTAGGCCTGATTGTATATGAAGGGACTCGCGTTCTATATAGGCATAAAATACCATTACCTTATTTATTGCCGGCGGTTTCCGCATAAGTCTTTGTATAACTCTATCTAGAATAGGTATTGATGTCGTGGGTCCATACTGCCTGCAAACGTTCCAGAAGTATCCAATACCCATAGGGATGAGCATCTGATCAAATACGTTAAAACGATTTGTAAGAATGTTCCACCTGCGGGTCCTGACATGCTCCCCCCGGCGGATGTGTGCCAATGTTGATGGGGATCCATATAGTTGAGCTTGAGAACTTGTTGCCAGAAAGCTCCTGCAGTCTCGAAGAATGTAGTTATACTCTCTTTCCATGTAAGTTAATATGGAGACCATCTCTTTGGTTTCCCAAAAGCTGAAATGTTCAAGAAACGCACTTTGGAGTCTTCGTGCGGGCATGAATTCTGTGCGCCAGTAAAGCCGCTCGCTTAAGATACGATGTTTTCTTAGATACCCCTCGGCATATTGGAGACAACGAAAATATAGCTCAAAATTATACAGAGCGCGTTGGATTCGAAGGGTCTCGATTCTCTCTAATTCCTTCTTTTTGTACTTCTGGTGCGTCCACGGATGTAACTTTAAACATGACTCAAAGTAGTCCTGGGTAACCGCCTTTATTCTCAAATGGAATTTAGCGACACGAATCAGGGTTCTGAGGTCATAAATTCTTGTATTGAAGGTTGTGGCTCTTAGTTCTTTCGAATACTCATGCATGAATTCGTTTAAGTTTTCAAAACCATCAAGCGAATCGCCGCTCTCCCATTTAATCTCACGTACAGATTTGCTGGATATGGCGATGGCTTGAAGAAAGATAGGCAGGGTCATTTCATTGACCAGTACTCTGCAAAATACTTCGCATCTGTATCGATATTGATTATAGCAGATGTAGAAGGTTCGAGAGGAGGAAATCAACGAATGTCTGGCAAGCTGTTGAGTATCTGTAGCTTTATTTCGACGGGGAGCAGTTCAATCGTTAAGACATGGCCTTGTGTTGATACATTTTGAATGAATCCATGAAAAGAAGCGCAATTTTTTATACTGTAAGAACGATAAGTTAGTAACTGCTGTCAAAAATAGCGCATGGAATGAATTCTTTTTAGACACTAAGATCCATTAAAAATTGGTATGACTTGAGCTTTGAATTGAATCATTTTAACTGTTCAGTATATTTGAAAGAGTGAATTTATCGAAGTGATTGAAGCCCTTTCGAAGATCCACAGCTTGAAATATCTCAAGTCAAATTGCGATCTGTACTAATGAGAATATACATGAAGGGGAGATTTTTGGAGGGCAATGATAAGCTCAATTCATATGCTAGATTGTGGATTAAAAGTGGTGTAGATTTTGAGGTTGTTTCACTCAATTAGAAATTGAAATCAAAGGATTTGCTGAACGGATTAGGCTTACCTCTGTTGCTTCTTCGGTGGCCGACAAAGCACGCATCTGAGTTGTCTCCTGCCTAGCTGCGAGAATATTGATCTTCAGGCGTCGCAATCTCCTCTGCTGGGACCTCTCAAGAGCATCTTTAGAAGACAACGCATGATCACTATTGCTTCGCTTAACCATGTTGTGGGTTCAGTCGAAGAAGAATTTGGTATTTTAAAGTAAGGAAGGATAGCTTTCGTCGAAAAAACGAAAGTAATACGAGACTCCCGATGACAATTTTGTTCAGGATGGAACAATCAGAAATGAATTCTTTAATAAACTGTGAACCGAGAATCAAAAATTACACTTCTTGTTGTGTGAAAGGAAAGCGTGACCCTAGTAGTAGCTTCTATCGATTTAAGCAAACTAGTTGAAGCTTAAATTGATTAGAGGTGTAGATCTTGGGCAGACTTGTGCATGTGATTTTCGTCATCGACGAGATTGACGTCGTAGCAATTTGAGCGGACCGTTATTATAAATTTTGCGGGTGAGGCAATTGCCTAAGATAGTAATAGTGAAGTTATATTGATATTTATTCTTCAAGCATTATTTCTTTCTTTCTTTAATTTTTTCAATATATCAACATCTCCGTTTCTTTTTTTTTTTTGATAGATTCTTCAATATCTGCAATTAAATTCTTCATTTCTATCAATTATACCTTTGATAATTGATCGGTTGACGGAATAGATTCGAATTGATAGATACAAATTGATAGGCAACTTGAAAAGACGGTCCACTTGCAACCCTAAACATGATCAACAACTAGAAGATATGTGGATCCTCCAGATATCGCAATGAGACGAGAATTTTTGGAGTAAAGTTTCTACATCAGCTAAGACGTCATGAAGGACATGTCAATGATAAATCCTCTCAAATTCCGTATATTTTAGGATACACTAAGTCTAGTTTGACTCGGTGATGCAAATAACCATGGACTATCCTCAAGCTACATGGCTATAGTGCACTGTAGCTAGGAGCTAGGATTCTAAAATCTGTCCTTTACCTTTTTTTTTCCCAGTGAATTCGAATGACTTCCGCAACGTGTAATGCCAATTCGAACATCTCGCCCACACCGAAGATCTTTACATCAAGTTACAGCTAAATCTACCGAACTCCTCGACAATTCGTTTCCTAAAAAGTACGATCGATAAGCTCAAGCTCACGCGCAATTCTAAAGAAAGTTTCTCAAGTTCCTACATCGAAATTTAAGACAACCATGACTTGCCAGTTTAGTCCCACTAGTGCTATTGTCCGACGTTACCATCGTGGGCAAAATATCGTCTTAAATGGACTTGATGGTCACTGGTATATCGACGGCTGGGAGTTCGATGCTGCACCAAATCCAAACCTATGGGAAGAGAAATATGCCCTTCAATCATATTGGGCAGCACAACTGAGTTTCCGAAGCGAACATGCGCCAAACATGAGTTTTATAAGAATTATACAGCTGTTTCAAAAGGGCAAAGTTTCGAATACAATCCACCCCGATATAATGGATTTGAAGTTCGATATGGTAAACGAGTTCTTACGAAACTTAGAGGCACAGGCAAGAAGAAACGTGGAAAGCCGCGAGATGGAGCTTTGCGAAGAAATCAGAAACAACGAATATACTACTGTCGAAGATATTGATATGATTGACGGAATTAAAATAAACAACGAAAGAACGCCAACGGGCCCAATCATATCAACGGACGCAGAGGAGATTATGGCATCAGTGATCCGGCAATTATACAACGTTCAGCTTGGATGAAATGTATCAGTATTTTAATGAAATGCTGATGTAGAGAGCTGGAAGCAAATTTGATCTACGTCGGGAAAAGCAAAGCATTTAAGCGAGGTTCAGATTTCAGACACCCAAGCAGCGCCTTGTCGACATCTTACACCATCTTTTAAGCCAGAAATGTGCATACAGACCATACCTTGTACAAACCTCAGACGACACCAATTAACGGATGATCTACATTGAGAGCAAAGGAAAAGCTAGTATTGGAGTAGGGACAACTGTGGAGATAGATATATGTATCATAGCCAATTTGGCGACAGTCTTATGAAATAATTAGCGACGTAACAAATCGACATTTAAAAGCCATTCGATTAATAATTAGAGGTCATATTTATTCATATTGAATAATAGTAGAGCGAATTTTGAAAGATTTGAGATAATAACAGCAAGTTATGAGAGACCTTTAGACTTGAACAACAGTAGAGGTCGAAGCGGAGGTGAAAAAAACAGCACCTCACTGCATTTTTTCGCACACAACTGCCGGAACCTTCGAAGCCTCGATGCCAATAATCACCTCACAGCCGAAAATTTGACTTAACTGCAACTACCCCAAGAATACTTAGCGACGCCGCATACTGTGGAAGTCTCAATACGTTTCGAGAAAAAGTGCGACAGTCGACCACATTAAACTTTCAGATATGTCCTGCAGATACGCACCTTCCCAACAACAACACTTGTCTTGCTGCCTAATAAGACGCACTGTTATGATAAAAATACAAAATCTTTATTTTGAATGCTTGTCCAAAGTATCTACCTAGTCCACACGGTGGGTTACGCGACCTCTTCATCAAGCTTCTTGAGAATCGTCTATTTTGTTCCCCGGATGATAGATGGCCTTGCCAACCCACACGGTAAAAATTTTACTCGAATATTGGTTAAATCAGAGAATTTTGTTGATTATGGAAGCGATTTTGCCTTTTAATGGCAGGAGAGCGGCTATTATGTTGCCTTTTGTGAAGAGCATAATTCATGGTCCAATTCGAGGCCGGCAGGCAGGTTTTGATTGCGACAATGGTGCTAGAGCACTGTGCGAATGAAACATGTTCTAGGTGGTCTTTGATGCAATGTAAAATGCCATCTCGTGTTGAAAGCTTTCAAACTGTCGGATCGTGGGGGACGTTCTTGCTTGAAACGTTGTTGTGCGTTCTTGTTGATGTTGTCATAGCAGAGGGCAACAATAAACAATCCCAAGCACCCCACCTTTTAACCACATCTCGTGTTACACCCATTTGGACTTGTATCAAACAACCAGTGCCTGATATCTTGCAGTATCTATCCCTACATGAGATTGCTCCAAAAAATCCAACATCCAATTCATACACTCTTAACATGGCATCCTCAAACACATTATCTCCTACTCTGACAGTGTCTCTGCCCATCCTTGCCAAAATGATCGACCACTCTCTCCTGCACCCAACCATGACCGATGCCAAGATTTCAATAGGACTCTCCATAGCAGCCAAATATAAGTCGCAACTGCATGCGTCAAGCCATACTCCATAGAACAAGCTGTCCCCGCTCTAAAGAATACTAGTGTCGAAGTATGTCCTGTGATCGGATTTCCTGCTGGAAACAACACGAAGGAAATGAAGGTCTTCGAAGCAAGCAAAGCCGTGGAAGCTGGTGGAAAAGAAATCGATATGGTTATTAATATCAGTAATGCTTTAGGCGGGGACTGGGGTTATGTGCAGAAAGAAACACAAGCGGTCAACCACGCTGTGGTTTCCAAAGGGTCAATTTTAAAAGTTATTTTCGAGAATGATTATCTTACCGATTTGGAGATTGTGAAGTTATGCCATATTTGTAGTGATATCGGGGTGACATTTGTGAAGACTAGCACGGGTTATGAATTTGTGAAACAGAGCAATTCGATGTACGGTTAAGAAGGCGCCACGTTATCGCATCTGGATCTAATGCGGAAAAGTGTGAAGGAAATATTGCAGATTGAGGCTGCTAGAGGAGTGAGAACTTTAGATGATTTATTAAGAGTGAGGGCGTTAGGTGTCAAAAGAGTGGGTGCTACTGCCACTGAGGCAATTCTTGAAGAGGCTATGAGAAGAGGAATCGAAGCAGAATTAGTCGTAGTCAATGTGCTTCCGCTTAAATCTACCTGAAATAATTGTCGAGCTGAAAAAACGCCGATGCAATGTGATGGAATTATTTTTATTTTGTATGAGTGAATTGGTACATGATAAGTATCTATTATTTCAAATAAAGGAGGGTGTCCGTTTCCGCATATCAATTAATTTTCTCCAATCGATTCTCTTACTTACGACATTACCTTCCGCCAAATCCATTTGCTTCCACACAGTTTCTATAATCCCTCTCACTATTTCTAGATTTCCTATTCTCCTTTCACTCTGCATATCTTCCAAAGCATCTAGGATTTGGATCCTTTGCTCGTCAGACAGTATCTCGCATGCTGTGATGAATAATGGCCAAGGACTTGTGCAGACACCGTTTCTAGTAAGAATGGCCAAAGCCTTGCTCACCAGGTCTTGTATCACATCGGAGTCGGAAGGTATAGAAAGCACCGAATGGAGATATATGAGCGCCCCCAGCCGGTAAAGTTCGGCTGTATTTTCTATTTTGATTTGATCAATCTTGCCGGTAGTGTCGTCTTCCATGATTGCGGAGATTTGTTGGGCGCTTTCGAGTTGTTTCACCAACCCTTGCGCAAAGTCCCGATATTCTCCTTGTTCTTCAGGAATTTTCGAAAGCTCATTGATGCACGATATGCATTCAAGGACTTCTAGCGAGCACCCCAAAGATCCAATGATCTGCTGATGTTAGCTAAATGTTTTTGTTTTCTGCGTGTAACCTACAATTTTGTTCTCAGGATTCGCGCTCGGAGCCCCGAGAAATGTATTACTTATAGATTTTCTCTGCCCCGTTCCCTGACTGAAATCTGCTAGAACATCATGGTACAAGAGCCAAGTATTCAAGAAGTGATCTTTCGTCATTGTCAATCCGATGGCTCTTGCAGCTTTTAAATGTGTAAGCCAGCTTCCATCAAGGCCGTCAAAAACCTGTCCATAAATTAGCAAGCTTAAGTTTTCAGTGATGGCAGCTTAGATGCAAGATCTTACTTACATCACCCACACAGAGCATCATACATGTGGCAAATTGCCCTCGACGTCCGCCTCCCCCTGTTTGAATAGATTGCGAGAGAAGCCGTATTGCAGAAATCTTGTATTGTACTGCAGCTTCAGTTCCCCATAAATGATATGCGGACACAGCAAGGATTGCATATCTTAGGCTCAGACAGGAAAGGTAGCGGTCCGCAAGTGCGTTTGGGAGCAAGTAATTTCGGAAACCGTTCAAACAATCATCAATAGTTGTTATCATACGAGAGAGGACTTCCGTGTCTGCATAGCCTTGTCAATATGCTTTATCTTTAGAGGGCAAACTCTCATCTTACAATAAGACAACAGTGTTGCATCCCGTGACTCAAGAGTAGTTTCATATCCAAACTTCAAACTTCTCTGAGGGCTCGACATATACTGATTTGTGGAATAGCATCTTTGCTTAAACTCTGAGGCAACTTCTAAATCAATAAAGGTCGAATTGAGAAACAGATATCTTTCACGTGTTGGAGGCGCCGGAGATCTTTGCGCAGGACGATGAGATTCGTTTTCCCAAAAATGAATCGGCCTCCGCCCATCACCCGATTCTGGCCAATGAAGTTTGACACCATAACCTTCACAGACCCGACCGGTTCTCGTGCAATTATTGCAGTGAGGTATGCCTTTGTCGCATCCAATTTTCCTGCCTTCATGAATTGTTAGGTTGAAAACATCAATGTGGGGTTGACATTAGATGGCGGGGCAATTGTGGATTTGGAAAACAATTGAAAATGGGTGTTTACTCTTACACGTCCAGCAGCCTTTGCCAGACTTCTTCTCTTTCGGTCTTTTGACGAGAGACATTATTCCGAACTTGGGGAAAAATTGACTTGATTAAAAGAGGGTGGATGTTTCCGAGGTTTGTGAGTCACGACTTATAAATTGTCACGTGGATTATTGTTGGAGCCATCAGCGGTATCGCATGAATGATGGTAAATGAGAAACTTGCTATAGCGAGTATGATTTAATGAAAACAACAGCTGTTTTGTAAGTGTCATTTCTGCCGGTGAGATCAACAAAATGTGTGATGATCGCTCATCTAAAAGCATATTCTTTGTTAAACAAAGTCACACTAACCTGTTACTAAAGTACCATGAATATTTCACCCCATCAACAAAATATGTTTCAATTGAAAAAGCCATGCAAATATCAATCATTTATATGTATCTCGACGCCCTCCTAGACAACAGCCAGGGGACTCTCTGCCTCACCGATGGCTTCATTATCTAATATTCGGTATGCATCGAGCACATTTAAAATGGCCACATGTTAGACACCTCCAATGGCTCGCAGGAAGCCACTGGTCTCCGCACTAAAAATGATATCATTAGTAATTCTAGCAACTTGACGAAGGCATTGTACTAGTGTTGGCAGAACGGCAAGGGAATACTCATTCGACACTCACTTGGCAGCATAGCCAGCTGATGAAAATGTACTGGTTTATGAACTTGCGTAGGGAATGGAAATGCATCCTTGTGGTGGGTGGGTTGATCGTGGCTGAAGTTAACTTGGCGAAGATGGTTTCTGCCGTGAACTATTGTAGATTTTGATCTCTAGTTGGGGTTCAGGCTCTTATGTTTACATTAGCCTTGAGATTATTTGGTTGAAGTTGTTGACTGAAGAGAGGGAGGGGAAGAGGTCCAGGAAGTCGCAGTTATATACTTTCTGAGAGGTTTTCGATATTGCGGAAAATGATTCATGATTCCGATACAAGCTTTGAAGTTGGGTTATTCACAGAGACGTGTGTATGAATAATTATTGAGCGGAGACTAATTGTTGATTCAAGAACATATCACTTAGGCATGGAACAACCTCATGATTGTTTGTATTAGCACTGAATTCGTAGACTAATAGTAGTAAAATTGGATAGACGCAGAATAACGATGAATGATTAGTCTTGTGGTATAAAAGCAGACTACGAATACAGTATGTGTAGAATGAATACGCTGCATAGAAAATGTAATGAAAAATATGACACTAAACAAAACAGCTTCGCCCTCTAGTGAAAGTTTGGGATGGCGATTTGGCCTCTTTCAGAAGCGCGATGCCAATTTTTATGTTTTCCGGGTTATTCTAATTTTGCGAAAAGAGCTGCTGAAGCGTAGCTGTTGATCATTAAGATGAAACTCATCTAACATCTGTGTTCGTTTTTTTCAGATGTATTAAGGTGACTAGCAACACTTGGTGACGTGAATCTAGAGGGAAGGGGACTGTCTGAATGCGGCACTTGACTCAAAAAGCGCCGAAATGACACTCAAAATCAGTCTTGCAAGCCACGTAGGGAGCAAAAGTGGAAGAAAACTTTCAAAACAATGCCTGGCGCAAAATCGAATGTCAGGAGTGAAGGAAACTCAAGAGTGAGCAAATAGGCCAAATAATTATCATATCTCGAGTAAAAATTAGTGGGCTGATTGTATTGTAATGATCAAACATTGAGCTCACTGGCAGCTAATGTCCAGTGAAGTCCTTAAGAACCTTTTAGCCAGAACTTGCAGGAAGATAACCAACCCGTGGGAAGGTAAGTAGGTCAAGTGAGGTTAAAAAATAGAAGAGCGGCGGAGAGTTTCTGGACGAAATAATTCAAGCATCAGCATTTCTGCTGATGACCTTGTGATTATGAATCAAAGTCTGCATTGTTATTTGTTTGTCTTTTTGGTTCCGTTAGGACATGCAAGCATCTATGATTCACTGAATGGATTAATGTAAAACTTTGTAGTTGTAGTCGAAATATATGTGAGTGAAATGGTACTACGCTTGTTGAAAAGCTTAGGAGAGTTTCTCCTTGTAACATGTCATGTGACCTAAAATTTAAGATTGTCCCGGTGTCTATTTTCCACATAGCGAAATATTCCCTGTCCACTTGAAGTCTGGAGGGCTAGTGCTCAATTCTGAAATGATGGAGATGGAATCTTCGAGGATAGCCCCGGATATCATGGCAGATAGAGATGCACCATTGCAAATAAATCTTCCACCCGATGCAGAATCCATGACTAAAGATGAAATAAATACGCACATATTCTTTATGGGTGAAGCTCTTGCCATGGTATTTCTTCCGTTCCTCCTTTTTTACAACCTCAATTTTTGATTCAGTTATAGGCAAATCTGGCTCTCAACACCAATGAGACACCTGTGGGCTGTGTACTCGTCGATCCAGTCCTCAAGAAAGTAGTAGCTAGAGGAATGAATGCTACTAATAGGAGCTACAATGGAACAAGACATGCAGAATTTATTGCTATTGATGAGTTGTTGTCCTCGAGTTTAAGATCGGATTGCGGGAGTGCAGATGAAACTAGGGAAGCGAAAAGGAAGAGAGAAGAAAATGGAAGTGAGGCCGACCATGGGCAAGGAGGTGGTTCTGAAATTTCGGGACGTGGGTATGGGCCGGAGAATATGAAGAACTTGGATTTGTACGTGACGATAGAACCGTGTATAATGTGCGCGTCATTACTACAACAGTTTGGAATACGAAAAGTGTGGTATGGAGCGGTTAATGATAAATTTGGGGGGAATGGTGGAGTTTTAAATATTCATATTAGTAATGGGAAGTTCGATAGTAATGAAACTGCCGAGGATAGAGAGGGAGATATTATGGAGGAGACTGGTGGCGGCAAAAGAACACAGAAACAGGAGGGTGATTATGAGGTTAGTGGCGGATGGTTGCGAGAAGAAGCAATTGTTATCCTAAGGAGATTCTATGTGCAGGAGAATGGAAGGGGTGGGTGACTCTGGTTAACTTTTTTCTACATATCGATGAAGCTAATGTGCTACAGCGCCCGAACCCAGAAATAAAAAAGAAAGAATATTGAAGCTAGAGGTGGAGCCAATGATAGATCCAAGAATAAAGGGTGACGAGCCTGGTTAAAAATTGATATATTTTCCAGCTACTGAGTGCTTTTCAAAAGACCAGAGGTGGGTGGCGTATGGTTTGGGTGGAGTAGACAGTCAACAGATATCCCGGGCAGGATACCAAAAAGAGTACTTCATTTATGCTTCATAGAGATGCCAATGTATGGACATCATAAACACTACTCACAAGGTCGTCATAACTCATACTGTAGCCAAAAATTCAAGCGCATGATTCCAGTCTCCCTATTTACAATTGTCCTCTTCGATCTCTTGGATTTCCCCATCCCACAGGTTTTCCCTAGGAGCCCTTCATCACTCTTCGTTCATCTAGTTCGTCAAACTCTTTCCCGACCTCTCAGCCTCCAACTCTCTCTCGGCCTGTTGGTAATACTTGGATGTATCTACTCCGTGCTGGTTGTGATTTACCAAGTTGAACCAAGGCATCACATGCATCCAGACTCCTGCGTATCTCGAGTTCCTCGATGCGACACCCTGAATGTATGGTGTAGTGGTGCTTTCACCGTACAAAGACTCTCCCTTCTTAACCTTGCTAACCATTTCTCTCATGTCCATTTCTTGCTCACGCTTGTTTTCCGTGAAACCGTAGAAGCGCACTAACATGCTGAATTAGCACATATCGCAAAGCATCTAGGGAAAGGTGGGGAATGGGGCGGGGACGAGAAATTAATCCAAAGACATACGTATAGAACGTTGATAAAACATGAAGAACCCAGCCCCAACACCAATAACCCCCGACAGCCGCATGATAGGAGCAAATCCTCCCTTTCCAACCAGTGAAGGGGAAATTCGTTCCCATAATAACATCAAACCTGGTCCTGCGGTAGCCGTTGCTGCTCCGACCGCATAGTCCGATGGTCGTGCATAGCCAAGTACTCGTTTGATATGTCTGTAAAATACGTATCAGCATTTTGCCCCTCCTCTCACTACCGCGGGCGGGGTCCAGAAACGTACGGGTCACTGTCGATGAGCTGAGGAGCTGTTAGCTGGTGGATTTCTTGCCTAAAACGCTGGTAGTGGTGTGCTGAGAACTTACAGGGTACTCGGTATTGATTTTCTTTGAAGGCACAAATGGCCTTTGCTCGGTGTTCGACATTCTGAGTTGTGCCAATTGCTTACAATTGGGGTTCAGCGCACTGGTGAGGTCAATTTCGTGATAGAGGTTCGATACAGAAGCGCTAATTCGGATTGTTCGCGCACGGGCCATGAGAATTGAGAGTATTCTTGCCTGACTTAAATTGATTTGTGCCTTAGAGTTTGTCGCGTCTTCCCTTGTCCCAGACGCGTCTCCTACAACAATTTTTCAGATCACAGGGAAATTAGAGTTATATTTCGATTTTAATAGTTCCAAGTCTGCTGCGAGTTGGTAATTTCTTCCTCCGGCAAGATGGATTCTCCAGCATCAAGGCTACTTCCAACTGAAACGCCCAATGTTGGCGGAAATGAATTTGGTGATCTTGATGACCTTTTCGATTATGATGCTGGAGATACGAATGATCCATTCAGCGAAAATTACGTCGTTCCCGGAAGTAAAGATAAAGAAAAGGGCAAGGAATCAGCAAGCAATAAAAAAACTGGTGCAGGATTGGGTATTGATGAGGAGATCGAAGTCACCAAAAAGCCTAGAGTCCCTCGAGTGAAACTTGATGAGCACAAGTACGTTTAATTGTCAAAAATCCAGACCTTGGGATACTGATATGGATCTTAAGACTTCTATCTTCTGCAGGAATACCAAAATTACGAAAAAAGGCCGCAGATCATTTGAAGTTCAAGGGCAAAGGCCATGAGGTGTGTATAATAAAGGTCTTATCATGAACATCGGCTTCATACTCACAAGATAATAGTACTCCGATGCGGCCCGACTCCTTGCATTTTACCAACTCTGGCTCGACGACCTATTCCCAAAGGCTAAGTTTTCTGACGCATTAGCCATGGTTGAAAAGCTAGGTCACAAAAAAATGATACAATCTGCGAGAATGGACTGGATTAATGAGGGGAAACCCAAATATTCGGAGCATGAAGAATCCCTGTTTGACGAACCAGGACTTCCTCCACGGAGTGATAATGAGCGGGGAAGAACGGCATCAAGGATAGCACCGATTTTTGAAAATGCAGTGCCTACACGCCCCAGAACACCGGTCCTAAATCAAGATCCGGACTTCGATGATATGTATGATGCTACTCCAAGGATCTTGCGACAACAACCAGTCGCACAGTCGGCTTCGGTGTTTGGTGGAGGTGATAATAGTTTATTGGGTCCTCAGAAGGTCACCGCAACTGAAGAAGATGCGCCGCCAGACGATGACCTGGAAGCATTACTAGCAGAAGCAGAACAGGAAGGTGGCAACGAAGAAATGCTAGACGATGATCTTGAAGCGCTGCTGGCAGTGGAGAACGACATGAATGCCCCTGCTCGCCTTGCAAAACATCACACAGAGAAATCCGCACAAGCGGACGTCGATGATATGGATGCTATAGAAGCTATGGCTGATATGGATTTTGACATGGACATGGACGGAGGATGGTAAATAGGTTTTGGCTGGCGTTACGTTGTACAATCACAGTATTATGGGGCGTTGTGGTTAACATGATAATCTAAGCATTTTGCAAGAAAGTTATTACTCACGACAATCAAACGGCAAGAGGTTGTTTGTGTTCCATACTCAAACTAGCCCGCTAAATAATATGACATTGAATGATTAATGGCGGGTCTGATATCTTCAAGTACTAGGTATTTTCTAGCCGTCAATCCAAGTTAAATTCAATGAATGATGAATGTTTATATATGGAAAAACCAAGAAATTAGTTTTCATTTTTTATCTTTGAATTAATTTTTGTAAATAACTTTTTATAGTTCTCAATGAAAACAAACATTGACATCACTCAACCAACCTTTTTCGGTGATGGAGCCTATAACCCCACCCCCACCATATTTTGTACAGCACGTACCTGAATAGCTGCAGCTCCTAGAGCTACCTACGAAACATTTCTCAGTTTGCGCAAGAACTCTCCAAGCAACCATGGCAGAAGGTCTGGTCGCAGCTCTTGCAGAGCTCAATCTCAAATCGCACGATGATGACTGGATTGACAGCATTCTCGACGAGCAGCGTCCACCCAAACGCATCAAGAAAAACCATGAAGAGCTCAAACGGGAGCTAGAGCAGAAGTATCTGACGCCATCAACCACGTTTTCTACAGAATGGCTCAATAAGCTTCAACAGTAAGTCTTTTTCTGCTTGAACATCTCCATCATTAGCGTTTGAACACATTTGATTGTTCAAAAGGTGTGAATGAGCGAAAAGTAGGGATAGCCTTTCTGCAAAACTAATACCTATTTCTATTTAGGCGATGGGACTCACCACCAAATTATACTGACCTTTTTCAACTCGCCCCAACGCAAACACGTACAATTACACGGTTCACAAGAGAAGGTTTGGAAGGCCGAGTCACAGGTTACAAGGAAGTTACAGTACCAGCAAACAGTGCAACCGCCAAGAATTCCACATCTTTCCTGAGAAAGCCGGCAAATAGGGCAGATTTTGTAAGAGGTGCAGCAGGCTTCTTTCCGTTCGCACCGGGTGGATTGGATGCTGTGGAAGCTGCGGCTGCTCTGGAGGAACAAGTTGGAAGAGTTGACAACACAGTGCCACAGAAAAAGAGCTTAGAAAGAATCATAAATTTTGGTGGTGAGGATGGTTTGTTGAGTATACCACCAGGATTTACTAGGGGCTTGAAGTTTGAAAAGAAGGAGGAGGTTGACGAGAAAGAGGCAGAAGACGTGAAAAATGTCTTAGAGGAAGAACCGGCGGAAGAAGTGTCCACAAATGGAGCAGATGGTGCTATGAAAGACGAAGCTTCTTCGGAAAGCTCTGATGACGATGAAGAAGATGATATTGATTCTATGTTACCAGTCGAATTCCCCGCCTTAGAGCCCCATGGCGCCCTCGCAACGTCAAGCACGAAGAGAGGAGGAAGAGAATGGGCACATATGGTTGATGTCAAGAGAGATATTCCAAATTTCAGAGAATTGGTACCTGATATGGCAAGAGACTGGCCATTCGAGTTGGACACATTCCAAAAAGAAGCCGTATATCACCTGGAAAGCGGCGACTCGGTATTTGTTGCTGCACATACATCGGCAGGAAAGACAGTAGTAGCAGAGTATGCTATTGCTCTTGCCGCTAAACATATGACCAAGGCAATTTATACTTCTCCGATCAAGGCATTAAGTAATCAAAAGTTCCGAGACTTTCGACAAGTTTTCGATGAGGTTGGAATTCTTACTGGGGACGTACAGATTAACGCCGAGGCTAGCTGTCTTATCATGACCACGGAGATCTTGAGGAGTATGCTTTACAGAGGAGCTGATCTAATTCGAGACGTGGAGTTTGTAATTTTTGATGAAGTACATTACGTGAACGATTTAGAGAGGGGAGTCGTTTGGGAAGAAGTCATTATCATGTTGCCAGAACATGTAACGTTAATTTTGTTGTCTGCAACCGTTCCGAATACCTACGAATTTGCGTCTTGGGTTGGAAGGACTAAAAAGAAAGACATTTATGTTATCTCGACCCCGAAGAGACCAGTGCCACTAGAACATTATCTTTGGGCTGATAAAGGCGTTCACAAGATCGTGGATGCAGACAAGAAATTCATCGAAAAGGGCTGGAAATCCGCAAACGATGTACTATCTGGCAGAGATAAGACAAAGGCTCTACCTGCACCAGAGCCCACGAATGCTCGTGGAGGAGGAAACCAAAGAGGCAGAGGCCAGAATGGGCGTGGTGGCGCACAACGAGGGGGTGGTCCTCAACAACGTGGAGGAACGCAACAACGAGGTGGTCGTGGTGGTAGCGGACCTCCTCGTGCTAGCCATAATCCAGGACACATGGGACGCGGCGGTAGACCTGGAGGTCGAACAACAGCTGCTCAAGATAAGACATTGTGGGTACATCTAGTTCAGTATCTCAAAAAGGAGAACTTACTCCCAGCCTGTATTTTCGTCTTTTCCAAGAAGAGATGCGAGGAGAACGCGGATGCTCTAAGCAATCAAGATTTCTGTACGGCTACTGAAAAGAGTGCCATACATATGACTATTGAGAAGTCCATTGCTCGACTTAAGCCAGAGGACCGACTATTACCACAAATCGTTCGATTACGAGATTTACTCGGAAGAGGTATTGCTGTTCACCATGGTGGTCTTCTGCCTATAGTGAAGGAAATCGTTGAGATGTTATTCGCACAGACCTTGGTTAAAGTGCTTTTCGCCACAGAAACATTTGCTATGGGTTTGAATCTGCCAACTAGAACGGTTGTCTTTTCCGGCTATCGTAAGCACGATGGACAATCCTTTCGAAACCTGTTACCCGGTGAATATACTCAAATGGCTGGTAGAGCAGGTCGCCGTGGTTTAGATACCGTTGGTTCGGTCATAATCGTGGCTCCAGGAGGTGGTGAAGCTCCACCTGTCACTGAACTTCGTCAAATGATACTCGGTGAACCCTCAAAGCTTCGCTCGCAATTCCGACTGACGTATAACATGATACTCAATCTACTGCGAGTTGAGGCTTTGAAGATTGAAGAAATGATTAAAAGAAGTTTTAGTGAACATGCTACTCAACAACTTCTACCAGAACATGAAAAAGCGGTCAAGGTATCCGAGGCAGACCTGGCTAAAATCCAGAGAGAGCCTTGCAATATTTGTGAACAGGATCTGGATGCTTGCCATGAAGCAATTCAAGCCTACAAGCAAATTACTCTTGATATCCATATTGGGTCACTGGCAACTGCTATTGGTCGCCGGATGTTCGTTAAAGGTCGTTTGGTGGTTTACCACAAAGACGGTGTTCGCACACCTGGTATCCTTCTTCGTGATGGAGCCATAGACATAAATGGCCTATCTCTCCATGTTCTAGAAATCAGAACAAGACGAGATCAGTGGGATACGACTGATTTGTTACCATTCGTGCCAAAGTTCAGGGGGATGTTCACCAAGCTTCCACTTTTTAAGAAACATATTACTACCAAGACTTGTTATGTTTTTGTCAATGATCTGGAGTGTGTCACGGATACGATTGTAAAGGGAGTAATTCCTGATATATTTCAAAGCGGTGAAGTTTATGAGAACGCTAAACAGAAAGTTTTTGGTTTGTGTTCATCTTGGGAGAGCGATGTATGGGATGAATTAGACTGGTCTAAGATAAAGGTTCTCCAATTGAGGGAAAATCTTGTGAAGCGCGTACAACAAGCTACCATTGCCCAAAACGCTATTTGCTTGAGTTGTCCCTCATTCTTGAAACATGTAAGAGTTCCTCCAATTTTTTATCTGCATCATTGCGATATATATATATATATACTAACAGACTCATTTTTAGTTCGCAATGTGTCACGATCAATGGCTAATTCAAGCCAATATCATTCAACTACGTCAGCTAATGTCCGACAATAATCTTCAACTTTTACCGGACTACGAGCAAAGAATTCAAGTCCTCAAAGACCTCGACTTCATTGACGACTCATCCCGTGTGCAACTTAAGGGGAAAGTCGCTTGCGAGATACACTCCGCAGACGAATTAATCCTCACAGAACTCATTCTTGATAATGTACTCTCCGCCTATACCCCCGAGGAAATTGTTTCCCTCCTCAGCGCTTTTATTTTCCAAGAAAAAACAACTGTCGTCCCAACTCTTCCTAGTTCCCTAGAATTGGGCAAGGTCAAAATCCTCGAGCTGTCGAAAAAAATAACAGACATGCAACTCTTACACCAAGTCATCCAACCATCATCCGAATCCAATGATTTTGAAGCTCATCCTGAACGTTTTGGCCTGATGGAAGTTGTGTATGAATGGGCACGAGGAATGAGTTTTAAGAATATTACAGAGTTGACAGATGTACTTGAAGGAACTATCGTGAGAGTCATCACGAGATTAGACGAGACGTGCAGAGAGGTGAGAAATGCAGCAAGAATCATTGGTGATCCGGAGTTATTTCAAAAGATGCAAACTTGTCAGGAGATTATCAAAAGAGATGTCACGGCCGTGGCAAGTTTATATCCCTTGTAGATGTGTATGGTTTTAGGGGGAAATGGTTAAATGGGGTTTAACGATTCGAGAGGGAAAATACCAAGAAGCATTCCCTATATACTAGTCGCACATGGAGTTATGAAGTAATGAAGAAACGAATTTTGATGAAGTGCCAGCTGCATGACCTTACGTTTCATTTTAGGACTTGACGTTAGGACCGTTTTAATGAAATTTTGTATCGGGCTGGAGTGAATTATGTGCATCAGAATGGTGTTGCTGCAGATCTCACTAGATATCCAAAGCTTTAGGTTTTTTTTCTTAATTTTTGATAGCTTCTGAGTACTGATTCATAACTACCTGCAGCATTTTTGATTCTTCCACTTTGATCTATGATCTAGATTGGTGACTACGATTTGGGTCTATGATTTATGTCACGTTCTGTCGACGTCTAGAAATAGTATCCTCCCTAGCTGTCGGAATGTCATCATATTGTAAGTCATAAATAACGTTCACCCTTTTAAGCAAATCTCGCAATAATATGTAAGTAGATTTTAATATATTAATCAGATGAGAAAAGCAAAATGGAGCAAGATTTGTACATGTAGAGTGCTTATTTGCGAAGAAGAATCTCCCGTAATTCTGCACATTCGGCCGTGTTAAGTTCACCAGCTAATTTCTTAGCGATGATCCATTTTTTGAGCTTGGTGAATTCGTCGTCGTCTTCTGTGATTAGACGGTTTGCCGTCTCTTTTACATCAATATCGCCGTCATAAGCATGATCGGCAAAATTGGCGGGAAGAGCACTTTTTTGTGCACATAGAATACGGTCTTCGGGACTCGGTAGCTCAGGCTTGACGTATCGGCAAGTAAGTGCAAATCTTAGGAGTCTATAAGGTGTGACGGCGTGCTTGGAAGATTGGTTAATATCATATGTTGTGTGATTTTGAATGGAGTTTACTTCGTAGTACTTGTGAATACCAGATCCATGTATAATAATAATATCGCCATGGTTTAAAGTGACTTTGACGTAATCTTTCTTGGAAGCTTTGGAGCCCTTGTTTGCTTTGAGAATACCACCAATTGTGCTCTTGTTCTTTGGTCGAAAACACATAGTTGAGGAAGCTCCTAATGATAAGGTAGCAACAGTCTCACCAAGTGTGTCTTCTCCATCATCGTGATACTATAATATGTCAGTACATCTGTCAAAATAAGAAAAGGAGAGAACATACACCAATGTGCATATTTTCGAAATATCCAAGACACAAGATTTCATTAAAAGGAGTGAATTCGGCATTATCCTTTCCTACAAATGCTTGTTTTCCAGCCCATGTCATTCTTTGCATGGCCTTAAGGATAGGTGCTGGTGCATCCTCAAAGGAATTGGCTTCATGTGCAATCAAACACTTGTATGGAGCACCCTATATTACCCAAATAAGCAATAGAAAACCCCCAAAGTCAAAGAATGCTTACACAATTGGATGTAAAATGTGCTGTCACAATCTCCATTGGAACTGCTGAAGTTTAGAAAAACGACACTGCGACGACGGTGATAAGAGAAACTCACGACCAGGGTGTCGAGCAGGGCCTCTGCGAAGCTTATACTCATCCTTCTGCATCCCCAGATAGAGATCATTTGGTCCACCGGGTTGGGAATTGACAAGGCCATTAGAACGGAAAATCTGAATCCAGCCAGCCGGAATTGTTTCGCCAGGAATCTTGAGCCCATAAACATCATAGTGTGCAATAGGCTTTTGATTAACGCCAACCGATTCATGAGCAAAGTCCAATGGACTCTTGTCAGCGATAAAATCAGTAGCTAAGAGGACTTTGGAGAGGGGAACAGGGATTTGTGTGATGGTGTGGGTGAAATCACAACCGGCAGTCTCGCAAGTCCATTGACGCCATTCCAGACGACGGATACATCCGTGACATTTTGGACAAACAATTACTTGCTTGCATCGTTCCTCAACACCAAATACATCTTCACCGACAAAGTCTGCATCAGTGACAGGCTCAGGTCGCAAAGGGGGAGGAGGAGCACCGGTGTATGGAGTTCGCTCCTATAAGAAATCCTCACTGTACTGAGGGTCATTGACATCAACTTTATGATCAAAAACGTAAAATGATTCGCACTGAGGGCTTCTACAAGTCCAATCTTGCGTGTAGATAGTCTTGCATGGAGTATTGCAATCATGACACGTCTGAACAACGGTCTTTATACCATCATAACCTTGGGATAGATGGGCGACAGAGTTGACAGGCGACCACCAGGATCGCTTTTTTAGGTCTATCTTTTCCATCCGGGCTTTCCAGACTTTGAGACCGTTTAAAAGCTCACACCAAACATCAGTGATATGAAAAAAGTCAAGTACATTAAAATGGTGAGTAAGCTTGACGGGACAGATAGGATTACGCTGACCTATAAATGGATTAGTATGGAAATATGAGAGTTTCATGTGTTCACAATAATACTTACCAGCAATTATTGCAACTGGTAGCTTGGCCTCCATGGTACGCTGGAAGGAAATGGCAATCGAGCTGACATTTTGGTCCTTGACTTGCTTGGTTTCACCACCTTCACCTTTTTCCTTGCCACCGCCGCTGTCCATGTGTGAGCATGAATCAGGCATCATTGGATTCTGAACAACCTACACTCCAGTGATGTAGATATCTTCTGTGAAAACATCACGTGGACCAATTCCTTGGTTTGCCAGGAAGCCAGTAATTATGCCATTAGTCCTATATGCAGCGGATTCGTATCCTCTATGATAAGGAAGTGAGGAACAAAGTTGCTGACGCTTTTGAGCCCATACCTCAGGCTGACCCCAAGCTTCTGGTTTGCTCAGGGTTGCATTTTCGAGAGAAGGTAGCTCCTTAGTCTTGGTTACGGGTTTTCGAGTTTTGGGAGCATTTGGCTGATGAGGCTTACGAGCGGATGTAGCGGTGGTCTTCTTGTGTGGAGGTTGTGATGATTGTTGAGCGGCGTCAAGGAAGAACTCTTCATCACTGTTGGCCATAGCCTTGCGCTTGGTAGGAACCAGTGATTTATGGCCTCTGGCAAAGAAATGATCCATTGTGGGCTGTTGGACAACACTTTGACTGCTCCGAGTAGTTCTATCATGTGGAATGACTTTGCGACTGGTAGGAAGAGGTGATGGTGTGTCTGACGGGCTAGGTGGCACAGAAGAAAGACTGGAACCAAACCAAGTACCATCCTCATTCTGCGTAGATTGACCTTCGTTCACAAAGAAGCTAAGATTCTTCAAAATTTAAAAGTCGGCATAGCCGGAACCACTGTGGAAGTAAAATAGGCATGATCATAAGATGAAATGGATGTCTTGTTCAAGTGAATTTCCTTGCCTCGAAGAGAAAAACATCCATACAAAGAGAGAAGTGGTGATAAATGATATACGAGCAAAGTAGTCATAGTAAAGGAATGATTGACCTCAGAGACAGACATTTAAAGAGAAGTTTGGTTTGAAAGATGAGGTAGGAAGTGTGCTTAGTTCGGGAAATGTCAAGGTTGTGGGGAAGTATTATTTCTCCATCCTACCTCATCGGTATCAGGAACAGAAGGTGGTGTAGTCATCAAACCCGAACTAGAAGGATGCGTAATGTCAGAGATAGAGGTCTTAGAAAAATTCGTATGATCTTGTTGCTGGTGCTCTTTCAAAGAAATCTTATTGAGCCTATCAAAGGATTCTAATAGTACTAGGTAGTTTAAAGAATGTTTTAATAATGAATGAACACGAATGTATCTTAGCAATACCTTGAAGTGAAAAGAAACTAGAATGGGGGAAAGTAACAAAGTGTAATAATTGAGGAAAAAAGAAAAGCGGTAGAGGGAAATAGGAATCAATTCGACTGACAGAAGGCCCAACTACCAAGTATCGAGGTTCAAATGGCACTATCACTAGCGTGACTTCCCCAGATATTCACCCTACCGTCTTTTTCTCCTCAAATGGTAATTGGACCTCGATAAGATAAATTACGTAAGGTTGAGTGTTTAACTTGATCAACAAGGAAAGAGTCCTAGAATGATTTACACCCATCTGAAGTTGTTTACTGTTCATACATGAGAAAAAAGTAATGTGCAGGAGGCTGAATTACAGTTTCCACACCAGAAGCCTCAAACTTCTAAATTCACCAAAGTTTCTTAAAAAAAAAAAAAAAGTTTCTTTTATCTCCTAAGTTAAGAAAATGATTCATAGGGAGATCGAATGGTACAAGTGAATTTGGAGAATATACAATTGAAGATCAAAAGGACAAAATCAAGTCATGATCCTAAAGATGTTAAGTAAAGGTATGGAAATTTTTATATAGAGGAGATTGATCAATGTGATATTACTCGACCTCACTCCGTATGATGGTGTTTAGTGGTTCGAACGGATAGAGACTGACTTCCCAAACGACAAATGCTTCAGAAGCAATGATGATCATTTCTCAAATTCACTGTTTTTGAGGATGATATATAAAACAACACCATCAGTCACCGAGTAGATCCTCCATTCTGATTGCAATCATCCATTGACCACTCATATATGCCAAAGAAATGAGAGAAGACATTAATACTTCTGATGCAATGAAAGACTATGAGATGATTCCTTGATCATTCATCCTAACAGGCAAATAAAACACTTTTTGAACTACCCGTGACTTGAAGAAATGCATATTTGAACCAAAGACTGTGTTGTTCGATAACTCTCTTTACCCAGACCCAAATTATTTGATGCAAGATTACTATAGTGAGTGAGGTAGCTCCATGCCTTTTCTCCAGCCAAACACAAAATGTATAAAAAACATATAGAGAAAGGGTTTCCAACCTCTCTTATCCCTCTTGGGTTGTATATCAAGATATATCTGTCCCCGACTCAACTCATCCCGACTCATTAATGATCAGTAGATTGTGACACACTTGCTTAACCCAGAACACGTTGGATAGTTTTCATCTTACAAATAGGAAATGCTGTCAACAATAGTATGTATGAACAAACCACGAATACCATACACATTTCCTTGAATATCCAATAGATTGCTACCAAATACCATTCATGAATAAAGATACCAGCATAGTCTTTCCTGCAGAACCCTAAATATATTCCGTATATTCTGTTCATACCATGATATCCTGACAGCTCGCATTTGAAGTCAAATTTCCATTATTCTCGGCATGTTGCTCGTCAGACTCGTTACTTTATCATCGTCTTCGTCCATCGCATCAGAGATAGAGCTTACATGATCATTTCTAGCCAAGAAAACGCTGCAGAAAACTCCGTCATTCACGCGATCGCAAAGATTGAGTTTTTGAAGTTATTAACTTACCCCATACCCCTTTCTTTTGCGCAACCGACTTATCCGACATTCCGATCATTCCGCATAACTGTTATATGTCGGTATTCCCTCTTACCGCTTTATCCTCCAAGATTGCGTGAAATTGATCTATCTCTCGAGATTGACCCGACATTTGGTTCGTACTCCGTACCATTATCAGTAATTGCCGCCGCTAATGACGGGTTCAAAGCGGATAATGTGGATCGTCGCACTGACCACAACGCTTTGGAGTCTCCATCTCGTACCTGGAGCTGTTTTCGGTGTTAAGCAACTTTGACATGCTTTACGTCGGAGACTACTACAGAGTAGATAGCTACACAGCAAGACATCAGCTTGCTGTTCAAACATGGTCGGATGAAGGGGGTGGAAGAACAAGTGTTTAGGTACAAATGATTGGACTAATCGGAACCTCAAGCTCTTAACTGGCTTCAAGAACAATAAAACCGAATCGTCTAATCCAGGAACAAGATTTAAATGAAGATACTGGATCTACTCCCTACTCCACTCAGGTACCTCGGCTGCCGTCATTTATCCGTAAGTTACCGTAAAGTTTTTGGAATATTTTACTTGTTCTTCTATACGAATACCCAATTAATTTAATGGAATATAAGGAATAATCGAATCCATTGGTTATGTCAAGGATTTCCCCGCCAAATTTGAGTTTATATAGGAGACTTCTTGTATTCTTCTCCGTCACACAAATAGACTTGTACTTACTAGGTATCTTGAAGTAGGTATCTCCGAACCCCGCATTAGCAGCAGTGATAGATAGTATTTGCTTTCAACAAATCACCAGGATCAAGTAAAGTTATCATAGATTGTTTCTATTTTCTCCTGGGCTTTCTTTCTCCTCTTAAAGCAAACCTCTTTTTCCTCAGTCGTTTGATCAATTCTTCCAACTTCAATTCAGATAGTTCTATATATCAACTTCTGATTTGTTAATCTGCAAAACAACTCGGGAACCCCCTGATTTTTCAACGTTACCCCAGGATTACGGTGTCATCATCCCTGCTTTATCTAGAGCTTACGATATCATAAATTCAGCATCATGGTTTTCACACCTCCATCATGGGTTCCAAATACGCCATTGAGTATGTAGGAACTATTATTCCTTTGATTGTGAATGGTGCAAAGAAATCTTGGAATTGTGTAGCTAACAATTATCCCGAATAGATATCCCAGATGATATACCAATCAGTCGATTCATGCTAAATGAGAAATACGGCAGACAACCGTTTAAATCATCTCGCAATCCTTTCACATGTGGAATCACAGGAAAAACTTATACAATTTTCGAACAGGCCCAGCGGGTTGAGCATTTATCAAGAGCTTTATCGAAAGAATTAGGATGGCAACCAAATACCGGAACAGAATGGGATAAAGTAATGGGAGTATTCTCACTCAATACTGTAGGATGACATGCTCAAACACACAAACAAACGAGAAACTAATGATTCTCAGATTGATTTCATGACATTGGCATATGCTGTTCACGAATTGGGCGGACTTGTTTCACCTGCAAATGCTCAATATTCTGCTGCCGAGTTAGAATTTCAGTTGAAGTCTTCTGGGGCCAAAGCACTTTTCACGGTAAGATTCCGTTCTCACAAGGGTTCAAAACGAATCTTAATTGAGGATAGTGTATACCATTACTCGAGACTGCTCTTCAAGCTGCAAAGGGCGCAGGTATCAAAAATGATCAAATATATATTTTGGATATGCCCAAGGTTATTACTGGAGACAAGAAGGTACCATTTAAAACTGCGGATGATTTAATTTCTGCAGGAGAAAAGCTTCAAAAATTGGAGCCATTGAGAATGGAGAAGGGACAAGCCGCTCGACAGACAGCATATTTATGTTACTCAAGTGGAACTTCAGGGTTGCCCGTAAGTTTTTAACTAAATTTGAATTAGAAAAACTTTGGAATGGTCGTGGATATCACGATTGTCAATTGAGGAAAGTAGCTAACAATATTATCAGAAAGGAGTCATGATCAGCCACCAAAATGTCATGTCGAATGTCCTACAAATCAAAGCATTTGAGCAGAACTATAGGGATGAATGGGAGAAGAGCACAGAAGTAGCCTTAGGTCTTCTTCCTCTAAGCCATATTTATGGCTTAGTTGTCATAGCCCAGGGTACAACTTACCGCGGTGATGAGATAATTGTCCTTCCCAAGTTTGAACTCAAAACATTCTTGAACAGCATTCAAACCTACAAAATTCAGTGTCTCTTTTTAGTAAGTATCATCTACATAGAATGTGGAAGTTCCAAGCTCATTATTATCAGGTCCCTCCAATCATTATTCAAATGGTAAACAACCAATCAGTGTGCTCGAAATTTGATATGAGTTCTGTTCGGGGCATTTTTACAGGAGCAGCGCCTCTAGGCATAGAAACAGCCCAAGATTTACAGAAGATCTATCCAAAATGGGTCATTATCCAAGGCTATGGTACCTAACCTTACCCTTTTGATCGGACTGAACAAATATCTAACATAACTTATAGGTCTAACCGAAACATCAACCGTAGTTTGCATGAATTCCGGAAAAGATCTCTGGCTTGGATCTTGTGGCTCATTACTCCCAGGAGTTCGCGTAAAATTAGTCAATCCAGAAGGCGTTGAAGTTACTGGCCTTAACAAGCCAGGTGAACTGGTAGCACAATCAAAATCGGTAGTTCTCGGATATCTCAACAATGAAAAGGCAAATAAAGAGACATTCCTTCCGGATACGGATGGAAATGGTAGATGGATGCGTACGGGAGATGAGGCTGAAATTCGCTTGAGTCCATCAGGAAATGAACATGTTTTCATCGTTGATAGAATTAAGGAACTCATCAAGGTCAAGGTAAGATTAAATCAGTTTTTGTCGTCCAATTCCCTGACCGCATTCAACTTACACAAATGAATAGGGTCTCCAAGTTGCACCTGCTGAGCTCGAATCTCATATTCTAGCTCATCCTTCGGTCGCCGATTGTGCAGTCATTCCTATCCCTGATGATGCAGCTGGTGAAATACCTAAAGCATATGTTGTCAAATCTACATCAGTAGGTATAGAAGAGAATGATTTGGTGGTGAAGAAAGATATCATGAAATGGGTAGAAAGCCATAAAGCGAGGCATAAGTGGTTAAAGGGCGGTGTGGAGTTTATTGATGTTATTCCTAAGAGTCCTAGTGGAAAGATTTTGAGGAGATTATTGAGGGATAAAGAAAAGGAGGCGAGAAGAGCTAAGGGTGCAAAATTGTGAGGTGAACGGCAGAGGGAGAGTAGACGTTAGAGGGAGCCGTTGAAGACAGAGGCAGATGCTGTAATGTGGAGGTTCTACTGAAGAACTTTCTAATAATGTGTTTTTATATACAGGAAGATAAATACGTTTATGTATAGCGGGATAAATTGAAGCTTTAATTACTATATCTTTGATACTCATGTGTGCTTACTACACAGTACATACGTACTGAAGAGATAAGCTTACTGAAAACTTCTAGAGTACAGACGTAACTTAAATCCGAACTAATATTATACAGGAATTCGGAGATGAGAAGAATTGGAGTTTGTGTTTCAACATTGAAACACAAACTGTAGGTGCAGGATTCTGAAATGCTACTTAATATTTGTAAGCTTATGTCGGGGATATCGAAACTTTGATACTAAAGATGGAAATGGAGGGGCAGAATCCTATTGGTCCGTGCGTCGCGGGGCAAAATAAACAGAACCCAGGGAAAAAAAGATTATCAAGCATTTTCGAACTCCGGAGAAAACAATTTCAAAGGTTATCTTGACGAAATCTGCAGTTTTAACTTTCAACATACTTTTCACTTCAATACTCCCTTTATACCCCCAAACAAATCAAAAACCCAATACTCACAATGTCAGCTTCACATCACCCCCATGACGATGATCTCATCAACGAAGACGACAACGAAATGTTCGATCCCGCCGACGCGGCCGAAGAAATCGAAGATGTAGACGGAGACGCAGCCATGGATTCCGGGGATGATGAAGAAGCCCAAGGCGAAGGTGAAAACGAAGATGATTTCATGCAAGAAGAATACCAACTTCAAAACGATTCCGTCGCACACATGGATCATCATAAAGATTCCATCTTCTGCATAGCCCAACATCCTACACGACCGGAAATTATAGCTACGGGTGGTAGTGACGGTGATGATGCTCCTGGCGTTGGATACATTTTCGATGCGACGCCCGAACCTAGTCCCGTGCTTCCAGCTAGTTATCAGAGTAATCCGAATGAGCGCGTCGAGAGGAGGGGTTTAGAACCAATTTTTAAATTGGAGGGTCATACGGATTCGATTAATGCGCTGGCATTTACGTTGCCGGATGGGAAATTTCTGCTTTCTGGAGGATTGGATGGGAAATTAAGAGCGTATGTTACGAATGGGAGTAAATGGAAATTCTACACTGAAGCGCAGGAAGTTGAGGAAATCAATTGGTTGATCGCTTGTCCGTATGAGAAATCCCCGAATACTTTTGCCTTGGGCGCAAATGATGGGAGTGTGTGGGTTTATACTGTCGATCCAAGTCAGAAGGATGCTCCGTTGCAGATGATGCAGAGTTATTTCTTACATACTGAGTCTTGTACTGCGGGGGCTTGGTCACCGGATGGGAAATTATTGGCCACGGTTAGTGAGGATGGGAGTTTATATGTTTGGGATGTTTTTGGAGAGGCGGCCGCGGCAGGTTTGACGCAAGGAGAGAGTGGACAGACGGTTGTGGGTCTTACGGCATTGGACCAGAGATTTGCGGTTGAGGGTGGTTTATTCAGTGTAGGGATTGCGCCAACTGGTGCTTTTGTTGCGGTAGGTGGAGCAGGTGGTTCAATCAAAGTCGTCGGATTACCTCGATTAGGAGATTCTTCTGGAGCAGCCCCAGCTGGAAGAAGTGGTGCAGGCGCTGCATCGAAAATTAAAGGTGGAAAACAAGCCGGTGGAAAAGCAAGTGGAACCGCAGCATCAGCAGGACAAGCCGGTCAAATCCTCGCAGATTTACAAGCACAAGGTGATGGGGTTGAATCTATCGCTTTCGCTCAACCACCCTTAACACTCATGGCCGCTGGTAGCGTAGATGGTAGCATAGCTCTTTTTGACTCTGCGCATCGTTTCGCAGTTCGTCGTCATATCAAAGAAGCGCATGAGGAGTATAGCGTGGTGAAAGTGGAATTTGTCAAGAATGCACAATCGGGTGGTTGGCTCCTGACGAGTTGTGGTATGGATGGTGTGGTTAGGAGGTGGGATACGAGGGGTGGGACAGGAATGGCTAATTCGGGATTTGTAAGGGAATGGAAGGGTCATAGGGGTGATGGTGAAGGTGGTGGTGTGTTAGGCTTTGTGCAGGGTGATGGGGGAAAAATCGTTACGGCGGGTGATGATGGTGTGAGTTTGGTTTTTGAGGCAACTATTTAGGGATTTTATGTATGTACCTATAGAAGGGAATCATTAGAGATTTATGAATTATAGATATTTTCATTCGGTTTAAACAATATATAAATATAAACCTTGATGAGATTTTATTATTAGAACTTAAAATCTTTTTCTTTTTATTTTATTTTTATTTATCTCTTTTTTGTATTAATTTTGTTTAACTTGATAAATGAAAAAGAAAACATTTATCTAGTAAGATTATCTAGTTATAAAGATAAAATAAATAAATAAATATATTAAACTACAAGTACTAGGTAGATAATATATGTATATACTTAAACAGATACTGTTGACCTCCTGGGATCTTGGCAGCATATGCATATATATTGCATGATGCATATAAGGAGCAAACAAAACTCAACTTTTAATTCATTCTTTCCTTTTTGGTATACTGTTTGTTTGCTTTCAATATTTTGATTTCAAAGCACTTTAATTCCGAAGGCCGAATACCTAAGCCTATTCCTTCATTTTTTGAATATATACTCGCAGCTTAACTGCTTAGCTAGAGAATCAATCAATTCAATCTGATGCTCTTTCTGGTCTCAAGAAACCCAATAGATACAGAGTATAAAATATTATGATTAGGCTATGAACATTGATAGAGATTGAGATATGAGTATGAATTGGATTTCTAGGATGTAAGATGTACTGTGAGATGTAATATAAGATGTGAAATATGATATGAAATATGAGTTATTATTTGGATGATTTGGGTGGTTTAATAAAAGAGAGAAGTTTAGGAGGGAGAAAGAGAGGGAAAGAGTTATATAAATGAATAAATCACAAAAAGTGGATTTTAGATTTTGAAGAATATAAATTTTATATTATATAAATTAATATAAGAAGTAATCTCATATCTAAACTCGAGCTTGAATACAATTTAAATAATATAAAATTTCTTGTACTCAAGGTTTAAATCTGTAATATTCTGTGACCAAAAGGGTGTTTATAGACCAGCAATTGTATTTAACTTAGAATCTACAGGTGAAGAGCACCTGTAGATGGGGATAGCTACTCTATATATACACAAATGAATGGCCTAGCCGCAATGGCTAGGCAAAAAGAAGTCATATTTATTCCTCCAATGATCTTACTTTACCGATAACCATTGATACCTAGTACTTGTCCGGATCTGATCCTCAGGTCACCTAAATCGCATACTAATCTCGAGTAATCGTATCATGTGTGGACATGGTTAATGTACCTGAGGTTTCTTATATAATAAGGGTGGGAGGAAAGCAGGGATTTCCGTCACATATTCAGATATTATAAGAAAAGAGTCTTATAATTTATTTAAAAAAAATTTATTTAATATTTGATATCTATATCTCTATCCTAAAACCTTGAATAAATCCGCAATCTCTTAATCCCAAACTATCTTACAAAATTTATTAATACCAAGCCCAAACCTCAAACTGTTAACCGTAGATCGTGAATCATAAATCGTAAACGCTCTGTCTGAAAAAAGTTAAATATTCTGTATAGATTTTATATTCAAGTATTTATCCATCATTTCCTGTATTCGTCATTTCCTTATGTCCCTTTCCGTGTCTCTTGCCTTAAACTTAACAAGCACCCATTTATCTACCATGCGCATATTACCAGCTACATACAACTCTTCACTTCTCCAATCCCTTCACTTCATCGTCTATCTCCCCACCTATCCTATGATACATCCTCCACATCCATATCCACATCTCCTGCATCCTCCATATCCTCCTCATCCTCCCCATCCACACCCTCCTCCTCCACATCCCCATCTTCCTCCCTCCTTCCCACCACAAACCTCCTCTCAAACCTTCCAAACCTCCCCCCGCCCCATCTCACCCTAACCTTCCTCCTTCCATTCTGTTCCTCTTCACATGCACCCGCGTGGTTTTGACAACTATCTATTGGTTGGAATGCGCCTACCGAGGAGGCATTTGTGGTTTTTAGGGAGGAGGTGAGAAGAAAGAGGAGGAGTGTTGTGAAGATTGTGAGGGTCGGGAAGGTTGGGAGGGTGATGTGCATGTTTTTTGTTTGGATATGGGTATGGATGTTGATGTTGATATGTTTGTTGATGGGGTTTAGATTTTTTGTAGGTGGGTGGGTAGGAAGTGAGATGGATTTAGAGTTGGACTTTCGGATTTGGCCTTCTGTGGGTAGGTGGAGTGATAGATTTGAGGTTGAGGTTGATCAAATGAATTTTTATGCTTATGATGTAATATAGTGTAGCTTTGATTTGGATCCGAATTCGTCTTGATTATGAGAATCATAAGATGGAGAGACTCAAACGATAGGATTTACACTGTAAATCTTACTAATAAATATATCTCTGATATATTTGTACGCAGAGCTTATTGCTTAGAAATAGAAAATTATGAATAAGAAAAAAAGAAAAAAGAAAGAAAACAAAAAACAAAAAACAAAAAACAAAAAACAAAAAACAAAAAACAAAAAACAAAAAACAAAAAACAAAAAACAAAAAACAAAAAACAAAAAACAAAAAACAAAAAACAAAAAACAAAAAACAAAAAACAAAAAACAAAAAACAAAAAACAGCCCCCTTTTATCAACCAAAAAAATACCCCTAAAATGACTGGTCAATCACAAGATGACTCGAAAAAGAGGAAGTGAATGGAGTGACGAATCCAGACTTGTGAATCCAGTCACCACCATATTTAAATCTAAATACATGAAAATGAATCATCGCAATAAGATCTTAACTTACATCTTTCAAGTCATAGATACATACTATTAAACTCAAATATTCATTCATTTTTCTTTAATACCAATTTTCCGTTCTGATATATCTATTCATACCTGATAATAATAATAATACCTATCTTATGCAGAAATCGCACTAGGTACTTTTTCATAATATCACATGTCCCTATAACAAATTACTTAACAGCAAACAGCCTTTAGAGATCTAAATTCTTCATTGTAAAATTAGGAAGTAGGTAATCTTAACAAAAGCAACACAATAAATCCAAAGAACATCCCACCTACAACTTTCGCTAGGTACCCAGTAATCTTACTTCTATCAGATCTCAAAACCTCTCGTTGTTCATGAAGGAGATGAAAATTAGAAAAACTTGTAATATTAATATTACCCTTTTTCCTGAACGGTACCTCCTACTTACTGCAAATGAGTTATTAGAAAATCAAAATACAGCTGCTAAATCAAATCCTCTTAATACGTTTTTTTTTCGTAAGATTATGGTATATACAAATACGAAGAACTATCTCGCAGGACCGCCAAATTGTGCTGAGTAAGTAACTTTGGTGTGAATGTATGACTAGAGTATACTCGTATATATACATACAATATGGATCTAGTCCTTTTTAATAAGACACAATTACCGCTCCGGTGAAATTATGATGTGGAAATATTACACATCGGAGCCTCCGAGGTGGGAGCTGAGTATTCAGCCAAGTTCAGAGCTTTTGAGAGGAATATCCTACTAGAAAATAACATAAAGACGACTTGTCGTTTGTCATTGGTTCAACTGATGAAGAATTGGAAGACTCTGTCATGGTTCGCGGTCCTCGTGCTCTTTGATAATTACGCGATTTATTGAGCGAAGGCTTTTTAAGGCTCTGCGGTAGCATCCAAATTATATCATAGCTTAAAATACCTGGTGGCAAAAGCAACAAGTTAGAGTCCCACAAGTTCAAGCATATGACTATCCGATCAATAACCATAGCCACAATAACAAATGGATGATATCACAACGCCAAAGCGAACATAGCCATGTTGGATCCCAAGCTATCCAAAAAGACTTGTCTATCTACCAAGCCCCTTTAATAGGGAAAGGAGAGTGAAACGGGTCGACACGGATTCAATAGTTGGGCTCCCGTATCAGAATACCTACAGTGTGGTCAGATCTAGGTCACTCGAATCGAAAGTGGCAGAACGAATTCCGATTGAAGTAGCATGTTCATTCAAGGATTTAGCTTTGAAAAGGTAAAACATCGTCGTGAGCACACTTTTGAAGGAAACATTTCATTGGGTTGGTTTGAGTTAGCAAAACGGAGGCCTATGGACGACGCACCACATGATGAACCTTAGCGGACTTTTGTTGCAAATCGGAGGCCGGATGAGAGCAATTCCTTGAGATTTTATGCAAGGGCTGATAACTTTGCTTTCCATCAACCACCTGGAGATGGCATTAACACAAAACGCATTATTGATCATGGAGATTGTGGTATGGTGGGAGATTTTCCTCAAAGAGTTTAAGGTACGATCTAGAACCGGTCGCTCATGATTCAGAATGCCGAAATTTAGGTTTAGTGCCCAGATCAGTGAAGAGTGGGTGGTGGTTGACCTTGTGTTTTCTATGGCTGTATCGTACCTATAACACTGAGAAAGCACAACATAGCAACAGACCAAATAATAGAAAAATCGAGGATAAGAGAATTAATGTATAAGGATGATGAGATACGTGCTGTTGAAATCATTTTGAATAGGTGAAAGTGATGGAAGAGACTGATGCCATAGAAACGAAATCAAAAACAAAAAAGGAATGAAGAAATGAAGGAATGCTATAACATACCCCTAACAGAATTGCGGAAAGCGATCGTACTCAGCAAGTGTATCAATAGGCAAGTATAGCTTAGAAATACGTTCACAGAGTTCAGCGGCCAACCGAATGGAAGGGGTGCTGAGGATAGAAAGTACAACTGCTATAGCGGGGAATTAAACTCGGGAGCCTGAGCCAGTATATCATGAGTTCATAGGAGAGTGCTACCTCCATCATGGTATGATGAATAGCGAAGTATACTCTCACTGGCTGAGAATAAGGATATGAACCCACAAACCTTTAAGATGCTCTGAACTATCATGAGAAATGATTAGCCGTGTTTTAAAACGATGCAAGTAAGGATCTTGAGATATGTTCGACAGTATTTGTTAACCGCCAATCAATTATTGGCTTGCATATCCAGGAAAGTAATATCAACATCATATGTCATCCACTTCCCGAATGTCAAATCCAAACAACCCATTGCTCGCCACACTACTCTCATCGACCAGTTTTTGAGCCGTTTCTACGCCAGCCGTGGGTACTCGGTATTCGAATCGCTTGCCCTTAGCAGGAAGTCGGCCATCAGGAAGAGGGTATGGGAAGGGAAGGTAGTCGGGTATGAGGCCGAGCTGTCGGAGGGCAGTGGCTTGATCCCAGGCAATATGTTCATGGTATAAACGATCACCACGAACGTTAACCACGGAAGTGAATGGGACCCGTGCATGCTTGTGTGTTGGCGGAACTCCTGGAAGACTATTATGATGTCAATCAGGAAATCGTTTATGCTTCTCGTATTTCACTCACATCCAATCTATCATTTTATCATGCGTGAAACTGAAAATGAATTCATCAACGACTCGATCCACACCAACGGTCCGACTAACGAGTTCAAGCTCTGTATCTTTAGGGTTACTGAAAATGAAATGATTGCTGTAGAAGTGTGTGAGAGGTCCTCTTCCAATGCCACCTGTCATCTATGGGCGGGGAAGATGTGTTAGCATGAAGATAAAGAAGTCAACAAATTACGTACGGTTGGAATATGATTCACATATGGTTGATCAACCATGGTACTCATCGTTTTCTCAACATTCCGTTCACCAAATTCAAAAAGTGTATGCTCATCCCAGATAGCCTCAAGATCAAATATGGGTCCCCCGAGGTGTTTTTTGATGAACCCAAGACTTCTAGTATGTGCCAAACTTGCAGCCCCTGATTTATAGTCATCATGACTGGGGAGGATGAAGTTTGTAGAGTTTGTATCATATACATGAGCGACATCATCAGCTCGCAACAAAGGGTTATGTAAGCTATTGGAGCTATGAACCATTAATGGAGGCATAGATGCATGCGTAAGCTCTGCAGTGAGCTTTTTTGTGTCATCTGTGAAAAGAATAGCAACCAAGAATATTTCCCGGCTTATCAATTTCAAGGCAGTATCAGTATACACGCTTCCATCCAAGTTTCCAGCATAAACTAGAAACCTTTTGTCAGCTTTGTATAAAACATAAGTGCACACTGTATTGCGATCTTATCAAAATGAGAACATACAAATAAGTCCCAATTTATCAGGATCGGTGCATTCTGGCGACGTTTTTAGAGCCTGGCGACCCGAATGCAAATAATGTTCCAAATCAATATCACCTTCTGGTGCGTGATCAGGAATTGTAATGTTCACAACAACAAAACCTTCTTCTGCCCATTTCTGGCAAGGCTCTGGATCAAGGGTCTTTAGGTCAGTTCGTGGAGTGTAGCTTTCCGAAATTAGAATTAACAATCCTGGACCTCTACCTCTTCTAGATAGAGGTTTTTGAATGACTATTTGATCTCCAACAGGAAGAGGTCGTGGAATCAACTCAATTTTGCCTACATCCTCTGCTTTGCCGACATCCATCCTTTCACGTTGATATGAAACAACGATTTGAAGTCCACCCACGTCATACAAACCTTGCGAATATAGAGGATTGTGAGTGATGAGCGTGAACCCAATTGTTGTTCAGTCCAGCAGTATAAGTATCCAATGAGTAGGTAGGATTGTATTACTGTCTGCAGTATATCCAGATAAGGATGATCGATTTATGCGGTGACCTAAAAACAGTAATGTGGCAAATAAAATATAGATCACGTGACTGTAGATATCGCCCTACAAAAAGAAAGAAATAAAGACTAACGTGGTTTATCATCGAGTGGCCCATATCATCGAGTGGCCCACTTTCACCTCAATTTACACTTTCAAACCCATATTATTCAACAACAATTGAATCAATTGATTGAAACTATTAAGAATCTAATAATCTAGGATCTATTACATTATTTTGACAGGTTCTTGCATTATGTCCTGTCTTTCCGCATTTACTACAACATCGATTAGAAGATGCTTCCCCATTAGAATTCCCCCCTTTTTGACGCTCATCGCGTTGAATCTGAATATCAACCTCTTGCTGAGATAATATATCAAGAGCCTCTTGTCCAGTGAGCACTCCTCCTTGACGTAATTGGGTTTTTTTCGCGCGTCGACGCTTGCTTAATGCTTCATTTGCTGCCCGAAGTGTACGAATCTCTGCATTTAAAAGTGTGTTTTCATGAGCTAATCTCTCTGTACCCTTAGCTAGAGCTAGTACAGTCTCGAATATAGGTGTAGGAGAGCTTGCTTGATGACGAGTTATTCGAGATTTAACTAATGTTGATTGAGAAAGAGCTTCAGTTGGGTTGCGAGGGGTTTGAGAGATCCATTGATCTAGGTCGAAAGAGGGGGGGGTAGGTGTGCGAATTCGAATATCTAATTTCGAGAGTACAGCTTCAGGATTAAATGGGATTAAACCTGTTCCTCGGAATCCTGATTTCATATTCTGAGAAGTGATTGATTCCTCGTATGCAGCTTTAAAAGCTATAAAGAATTCAACCTTCGAAATATGATTGATATGTGCCTTGATAAATCCATCAATTTGACCACCATATGAACGTTTTAGATTGCTAAAACAGCCAACATCAAGTGATTGAGTTAAATGACTTGAATACGGTGGTAAACGTAAACATATAATATCGTTCTCTTTGCAGTATGCTTGAAAAGCTACTGATTCGTGGCTTTCATGCCCATCCAGTACCAACATTCGATATTTGCCCTTTCTTCGATTCTTAGTATGCTTGTCGAAGTGTTTCAACCATTCTAAACCCGTCTCATTATTCGTCCACCCATTAGATGTAGGTTTAATAGCCCATTCCGCAGGAAGATTCGTTTCGGTGTACCAATTGAAGAGATGAACTTGTCCTTGAACTACTAGAAATGGGGGAATAGTTTCACCCTCTCCATTTCCGCATATTATTGCTGTAGCCCATTCTCGATTGCCTGGCTGTACTGTCTTGCTTCTGCCATTTCGTTCAGCACTAGTTACTACCATTGCTGCACATATAATCCCCATCATAAAGCCTGTTTCGTCGAAATTGTAGAAATCTCCGTCCAAAATGCCGTATTTCGCTCGCATATTCGCAACTAGTCGAAACCACTCTTCAAGAAGCTTAGGATCCTCACAGAGAGCTCTTTGAAAGTCATAAACACGACTAAAACGCGTCTTTAATTCGATTCGACGCTTTACGAATCGATGCGCCCAGAGCTTCCCAACGCGTTTCGCACCCCTCGATTCGAGAATATCATTCGCCATATCTTCCACATTCTTTAGTTTAGGTGGAAATCCTCTTAAATCCATATCGAGTATATATTGAACAATCACCTCTTCTTCTAATTCTGTAATCTTATAACGATTCGCTCGAGTTTCTGTACGAAGAGGTAAACCTTCCATTCTATGTCGAAGAGTCGTACGAGGAATATTATAGAGCATAGCAGCCTTTCGAATGCTTAATTTTTTATCTTTATGAATAACTTCGATAGCAAGGAGTATACGAGCTTCTTGATTATTCGAATTCATTATAGGTTGTTGATAAAACGCGTGTTGAAAGAGACAGGTGTAAATTGAGGTGAAAGTGGGCCACTCGATGATAAACCACGTTAGTACTATTTACTATTTACTATCTATTTAGCATTACTATATATTACCTAGTACATAACATCTCAAACAAGAGGTACCTGGCATTTTCGAGTACCTATTAATAATATAACAGGTTCCACCAATTTTCTTGGACCCCACATAATAAATCAAGTCTTTGAGGCCAAATTCTTGCATTAATAGATCGGCAGAGACTTCACATTGGACAATCCTCTTCAACTATTTATCCCAAACTTCTCTTATGATGTCATCTTCCATCACCCCGCCATACCCAACAATGCAGCAAAGCACAAACACACCACCCTGTCGGCACCTCAAACCCCATTTACGGCATTACTCGTACTTACCACTGACTAATTTTCATCTGAAGGAAATTTACATGCAACAAGATTATTTCATTACTTTTGCTTTTCAAAGATAAACATACGCACATCATAGTTCTAATCCTCAAAGTCACAAACATCCCACATTCGGCATTCAATCCTTTCAACACGGTCATGTTGATATTCATGACTCTTCACCCAACCTTCACAAAAGTTTACAGCGGAATATGGGACTGATCTCCTTGGCCTCATCGAAAAACTTAACTACAAATACGAATACATATCATCATTGTCTGCACCCATAATTCAATACAATATGGAAGGAATAAACCCAAACCCAAGCAATTCGAAGACCAATGTGGAAGAAACAAACACAAACAATCCAAAAAGACGGCGTGGTCTGGGAATTGTGACACCAAATGCTTGCACAGAATGCAGAAAGAAGCGCGCAAAGGTATCTATTGACAGTATTTGATTCTATTTCATTAACTTACGACTTTCGCTGAATTGATAATATGGTTCTTTGACATTGCTAACACTTCTTGGTTTTTCAGTGTGATGGCGAAACTCCTTGCGCAAGATGTTTATCTCAAAAGAACGTCGAGTGTGTTTACGAAATCCCTGTACGTCAGTCGAAGGAAAATATGAGATCCGAAATCGAACATTTAAAGACTTATCAGCAACAAAGTGAGCGTGTGCTTGCTGCTATTGCCTCACAAGATCAGACTGTGCAGGTCATCGAACGACTTCGACAGGGCGAAAGTTTGAAAAGCATCGCGGACGGTTTGCAAAACCAGTCGCGTATTGCATCGGCTCCAGGGGGTAATATTACAACATATACAAGTTTCACCGATCATCAAGCAATTGGAAATGCGCTCAGGCCGGCTCGAGGAATCATCACATCCCCATTCACAACGTCAGGACAAGGGGCCTTGCCAGCACCATCTGTCGACTTTCACAATGAGGAGAATCAAGGGATGTGGAGTCAATGGCCCGATATAAATAATGTATCATCTGGTACTGCTCCTGGAGATGACCTGATGAACTGGACAGCGGATCCTACGACATTATCTGACAATCTTGATTATTCGGGAACTGGAGGGACTTGGAATGACGAAGCATCTCACTATTCTACCCCAAATAGCGCGATACTATACGCCAGAGGCCAAGGTCAAGAAGCTATTCTTAACAATGGAATTAGCTCATTACAAGGGAACAGTCAAGAATATCCTCCAGCATCATGGACCAAAGTCACATCAGATTCTGCTTTTGTGGACCATCTCATGGCGCTATATTTCTGTTGGGAGTATCCCACATTTGCCTCGCTGAGCAAGGAGCATTTTCTTCATGCTTATAGAACTGGGAAACAAGACCATTGTAGTGAGCTGCTAGTGAATTCGATATTGGCTTTAGGATGTCGGTTCTCTACACATGCAAATGCAAGAACTGATCCAAATGACAGTTCTACTGCGGGTGGCCATTTTTTTGCTGAAGCTACACGTCTGCTCAAATGTGAAGAAGACCGACATTCTTTGACAACCATTCAAGCACTAGGGTTGATGGCAATCAGAGAAGCAAGTGGAGGTCGCTCTAGTGCGAGTATCTATCTTTCAGGACAGTCACTCCGATTAGCAATTGAGATGGGCCTTCATCTTGAAGCGATGGGCGAACGACCCAGCGAACCGGTTGAAGGAACGGAAGCAGTACGACTAGCCACATTCTGGGGAGCTTTTTCTCTAGACTCGTATGTTGGGACTTCTCATTATTATTCCTAGTGGGTTGAATGTATCTCATGTACTAACACATTATAACAGAGCCTGGTCATTGACGATCGGGCGCATACCTCAATTCTCTCATACAACCAAATTGCACATAAAACCAGCAATTGTAGATACGATTGAAGCATCTGCTTGGATTCCATATACAGATGATGGTAAAATTTACGCAGCCACACATTCTCAAAAACATATTAACTAACAGTGTCAGGTGCACCACTGGAACGTAATTGTACTCAGCCATCGAATATCCGAAGTGTATATGCAACATTTTGCGAGCTTTCTGAGCTAGTTCATCAATCTTTATATCTTTTCTATGCTCCCGGTTCCAATTGTACCAGCACTTCTTTACTTCAGATGTACACTAGGTATCTCCGTTGGTATGACTCCATTCCTGCAGCTCTACGATTAGGACACAACTTCACACCATCTGTCTTGTTTTCACAGTACGTACCATAACACTCTTGATAACATATTACACGTGCTAAATGAGAATTTTTAGTATGTATTATCACTACGCCATCTTGCTTCTTTTCCGCCCTTTCATTAAACTCACTTTAATCGGATCAGGCGTGTCACCCCACGATGTTTGTAACCAAGCTGCAGACGCAATTTCCGCCCTCGCGAGCTCCTACTCTCAACTTTACACTCTTAGGCGCACTCCTTCTTTTGTACCTCATTTTATCCTTGCCGCCAGTATTACTCACCTCATAACCTTGGGTAACACAAAACTCGGCGCTGAAAAGGTTGCTCAAGGATTTGCAGACCTTAAAGATATGGCGAGCTGTCATGGATTTGCAGGCCGCGCTTCCAATATACTTCGCCACCTGGCCAAAAAATGGAATATTGAAGTACCCGGTGGCAACGAAGAACAAATAGAGCCTGATACTTTTGATTCTCAGGCTCGTCCTTCTTCTTCTTCCTTTAATCAGTTTTGTACCGCCGTGGAAGAATCAGACATGGTGCGTGGTATTGGTGTTGCTAGTGAAGGTGAAAATCCTCTCTTTTGGCCATTCCCAATGCAAGGTAGACCGTTGATGGATTACAGTGGCGAAAATCTTGGAAAGCTAGGATTCGAAAGATTACGACAATGGGCTTGAAGCTTGAGACTTGTTAGTTATGGAAGCTAGGCACTAGGCTAGATATCCCCTTTCGGATGATTGGAATGTGGGATAGGTTGGACTGGATGGATGAGGTGAAAAGTGATGCCTCATGTATTTCATGGGTATAATGCGTGAGCGGATGGGATTTAGTCGAGCGAGTGAGATTTTGAGAATTATGATGATGATATGATATGATTGATACCTCGGAGGCGTTTTTTTGTCTTTCTGGCGGACCTATTGGATGATTAGTTGGTTGATGGGTTAGTTGAAGATTGATGAAGATCTTTTAGTACCTACTATGTTAATCTATGCGCTAGGTTTGGTTTAGGAGGAACATAGTTAATTTTATTACTTCTTTTTTAATATCTAGGTACTTAGAGTAGACTAATCTTATGGATTTTTACTCTGATGTTATGTATATATATATGATGGAAATAGAATCCTATATAATAATTAATGATGATGATAATGATGGTACTTTTATTAGATGGATATCAATATCTATAACTAGGTACTGTATATTCGGGATTATGTATGTATTCGAGTATTCGAGTATTCACGTTTGATATTTAATGTTTAATCTTCTTCTCTTCTTAAGCTTATAGGATAGATTGATTACCTATTAATCTACCTACCTAATATGTAACCTTAAGTGTTGTACTCGTTATTCGCCTGACCAAAGAAAAGATTGGATTAAATTAAATCAAATCACTAGTTCAGGAAAGTCCAATTCGATAATTATCATTTGGGAAATTTTCCTGTTCATTAACCACATATACATACACGTACATGTACATGTATCGAGTATACATACACACACATAGATGCATATGAATACATACAGATACGATATATGCAAGTATAGTACTGATATGCGGGTATACAATACAAGTATGCAAGTATGCACAGCACAATGATATTTCACCCAGCAAACTCAAAAGTTGTTCCTTCATGCTTTCCATTCATCTTTTCATCCCCAAGCCATCCATCCATTCCATCATTTTCCTCCCCCTATCCCCCCACCCGCCCGGAAAAATAAGCACACAGAAGCGAAATAGAAAAAATCCACGCCACCGGCACCGACACCGACACTCCACTCCTCTATCCAGAGCAAAATATAATATCGCCTCGAACCGAACGATCAGAAATGCGCAATGAGTCAGGTAAGTAGGTAGGTAGGGCCTATTACTATCATACAAGAAACGAGAATATGGTATTCAACATACGAAATACGACATACGACACAACAGAACAAACTTTTTAGCGCTGGAAAGTAAACGAGACAGAGAAGGTGACAGAGAGAATAGAGAGAGATATCCGCAGAAAACGCGACAGTGCAAAAGGAGAATCGGAAGAAAAAGTCATTAATCAATCAATCAATCAAATCAATCCCTCACTTATTAATCGCTCAATCACCCAACATATCTTCATCCTCATCATCATCAGCCGCATCACCATTTTCTTCAACTTCTGCTTCTCCTTCATCACCGCTCACATCCTCAATCAATTCTCTTCTCTTAAGATCTGCTCTGGTTCCTTCTTCGGGTTCGGCATCTGCGAATGGATCGTCATCTTCTTCTTCCTCGTCCACATCTTCATCTTCTAATTCCATCCTAAGAGCTTCTTTCTTTGCTTGTGCAGCCGCCGCTGCTAATTGAGCCTTTGTCTTATTCTTCTTCGCCTTTTCTTTAGGTTCATCAAGGTATGCTACTACTTCCTTGAAATTATGTCCCAACCTTGCCCTATTCCTCTCAATACGTTTACGTAACTTCCCTTTCACAGGTCCTGACGCATCAATGACTCTTGCGAGAATAGCTAAGATAAGTTTTCCTGTTAATTCACAAAGTTGTTGTTCCGCTTTGAGTATTTCACTTTTTCGTTCATTCTCTGTGGAATCCTCATCTTCATCTTCGGAGTCCTCGGGTTCGTCTTCAGGGGCTTCATCATCATCTGGCTCTTCTAGACGTTTTTTGGTCTTTTTCGCAAAGTGTTTCTCGGCATGGTCAAAGATAGATGTTAATTCTGTTTGAGCTTCTGGGGTAATCTCTTTAAATAGAGATTGTATATGCTCGAATTGATTTTGAGTGTCTTTTCGTCCAGTAGCAGTAGCTTGAGGTCGTAAAGTGGCGAATAAAACATGAAGGTCGAGAAGAGCACCTGTTGCAAGTAGACGGACTGGATCAAGGGTACTGCGGGACGATAAAGCGGCAACAAGATTTTGTATGAAGGTTTCTTGACAATCTTTGAGAGAATCAATGTCATGATCTGAGATTTCTTCTCCTGATGCGATTGATCTTGTTAATGAATGTACTTTCCACATAAAATAGAACGTGGCTGAACGGATAGCCGATATAACGATTTCATCCTCTTGAGCATCAATATCTGGGTTTGCCTCCTCAAGTTGTCCTCTTGCAACAACATCAAGAATGATACTGATAGGAGAAGGTGTTTTGCTATTAGCTTCGGCCTCTAAAATTTCCACACAATTCGAAATACTTGCTAGCTTTTCCACTTTTGCAAGAGTGGTTGAAAGTTCTACAAGAATTGAATCCGTGAAATCTCCTCTGACAGATACCTCGCCAGCTTTGTTGATGTTTTGAAGTATGTTCGTGGTGTCCTCCCATAATGTTTGGAGTTTGCTTTCTGTGATATCTTCCAGTTCTTCGTAGCTTCTTGCATGTAATATTGCTGCGCTTGCTTCAGTGAGGACGTTCTTGTCGGCGTGGCCGCTGAATTGAGCACTAATCTCGTCAAGTAATTTAGCATATCCCGTTGAGTCTTGTCGCAGTTCTTGGAAGACCCCAAGGTTCAGAGAATGTTCCAAACGTAATACAGCAGTGGCGGTTATCGGGTGGGCTCCAAATTTCTTTAGTAATCTTGGAATAATGTCTGCTAAATGACGAGCTGTTGTCTCTTTGATTTCTGCTGATTCGGCTCTAGCATTTCTCTTCTTGCTTTTGTCTCTTGATTTATCTGGCTCGCCGAGTTGGTTCAGGTTGAGCTTGACCGCTGCATTTAATATCTCTAGCAGTATGATCTCTTCGGTCTCTTCGGGTTTAAAAGTCTCCTTCAATGCTCGATTAGTTCCCTTGCCTTTGGGGTTGGAAGAATGATCATGTAATAAGTAGCCGGCCAAAACCTCCCATTCCCTGAGCTCCGGCATTTTGTCGTATAAAGCTTGAGCCGCAAGGGTAAACCTCGACTCTCCACCAGAAAGGTCTAAATAACGTTCGACGGTCGCTTGCTCTACTTTGCTTGGCATTTCATCCTGGTCTGAAACGTCATAATTTTGTAATACCTCTGCAAGACACTTGAGTTTAATCCAACTAGCACGAGGCGACTCATAATCATCATCATCAACTGTCAAAATCTCTTCCAAGGCATCTTCTCCTCCCAGTTCCTCGATCTTTTCCTCGAAAACGTCCTTGACGTTCTCAACGAAAAATGCAACCACGGCTTTGCGTACTTTGGGTTCCGAGTCGAAAATGAGCTTCCCAATAACATCAATGTCATCTGGTTCAAGCATTCCTCCCTTTCGAAGTATATCAACCAAATCAACCGCATTCGACCTAACAGCAGCATCGGAATCTCTTGTGGCGATCTCAATAATACGTGGTCTGAATCTTTCGATAAATGTACCTAATCTTGGGATATTGGAGGGGTTCTTCATAATTCTTATCAGCTGTTTGACCACTTCGAGGCGCATGGTCGATGCAGCATCTGTAAGCATCCATCCCAGGTATCGTAGATATTGCCCATCAAACCAATAACTAGGTAAAGTATGAATCCACAAGCCTAGCGCTTCAATACATTCAATCCTAATCTTCGGGTCAACATCTCGATATCTATGCACCCAAATTGTATCAAAGATATCCTTGAGTCTCTCTTCTAGAATTTCTTTCTTTCCTTCCCCGTCTCGAACCTTCTTCTCAAAATCTGCAAGTCTACCTTTGTTGGGTCGTTTGTTTTTCTTTTCTCCCTCAAGCTGACGTAAGGTTTTCGCAGCGATTTCTATTTGTTCTTTCGCAATTTGACACGTAGAGGTTGCAATGGTCAAAGCGACGGCAGTCGCAGTATGTCTAAAAGGTCGTAGATTCGAAGATGACATAGAAGCCATCCAATGAAATATGCTTTCCATTAATGGTTCATCCTCATCGTAAAGTGCTCCAGATGCATCCATTGTTCTGTTTAAGGAGTCGAAGAAATCGAGGAAAGAGGCGCGAAAGGCATGACTGTTCTTCGCTCGTGAGATTAATGGGTAGTCGGATATGTTTTGCTGAAAATAGATTAGCAGGATTGATTTTTAAAAAATAGGCCAAAACCTACTGTTTGGTGCTCTTCCTGAAGATCTGAAATCTTCCCATTAACATTATCTGAATCATTAACATCATCCTCAGTGACTTGAAGGTCACAGCCAGCACTCTTCAAGACAAAATTTATCAATTCGGCCACAGCCCCAGGGCCATTCTGTGCGTATTTTTCCAGGAACTTAGAAACCACTTCGTCGGATGATTGCCCGCTCGTATAAACATCGGCTGTTCAACAAGTCAGTACAACGTAGAAATGGAACCAGAATTGCTCATGGCGCATACCATAAAGTCCTTCAGTAGTATCATCTGCTATAACAACTTTCTTTGCTGTCTTGGGTCGATTTGGTAATCTTACAGCAGGCGCTCTAGCATGCGGCGCTGTACCGTTGATTTTGGGTTTCTTTGCTGCCGGTTTCTTCGAAGTTCTGGCTTTCCTTCGAGCTTCTTTTAACTCTTCTTCCCCCGCACTTTCTTCCTCTAATTCATCATCCTCATCCTCTTCTTCTGGTTCTACTTCTTCTTCCTCTGACGCGTCATCCTCTCCTTCTTCATCTGACCTCTTCCTTTTGGCGTTTGTGGATCGAACGGCAGATGATGGTAGATCAGGAACGAACTTCTCAGGTGCTTTCACGGCGCGTCCTGATTTCCTCCTACCACCTGCGACGGGCGTGCTTGACACGTCATTTTCGATCTCCATGAGTGGCAATCGTTGAGTACTCATCAGCGCATCAATTGCGCATTTAATTGAAATCTAAAGAATGATTCCAGGTATCAGGGCGCGCTTGAATGAAGTTGTGGTTAATGTTGACGTATCGCGAGAACGAATGAATGTCGCGTTTGAACGTTTTTAATTGGGTTTAGCGCCATAACTTTTAGGCTTACAACGCTTATTTTCCAGCATTTCCAGCATGCATGTTACTGTACCATATGACGCTTCTGCTCCCGTTCTTTTACGCCTTATCTTTTTTTCCAATAGGGTGACCTTATTAATTATTCTGATAAATTAATTATATGTAGATAATGAAAATACCGAGTACAGATTGAAAGATGCTTTAACTTCATGTTTGGTAATCTTGACTAAATCATAACCACCATTTACCAGTTTTATCATAATACCATAATATCGACATCTTCCTTCTACTCTCTATCCAAGCCTCTCAGCATGGCGTCTCCTTTTCCCCCCTCATCGTCTGCTCCAGGAGAGGGGCATTTGGTTGTTCAGTTACTACCTCATTCAATCTCCGCTTTGTCGAGAATAACTTTTCAGTACCCACTAAAATTGATATCTCCATCCCCTTCTGCTGCACAAAAAAGTGTTCTTGTCTTTCTCTTGACATATGGTGGAGGTCTTGTCGGTGGGGATCAAGTTCAACTTAAGATAGATGTCACTCGAAATGCAAAATTGAGTATCGTCACACAAGGTCATACCAAGATCTTCAAATCACCAACACGTGATGTAATCACACGTCAACACTTACAGGTCACTATTGAGGATGGTGCTTCAGCCTGTTTGTTACCCGATCCGGTTCAGCCTTTCGCTGAAAGTGTATATGAACAATCACAGACTTTCACTCTCAAGGAAGGCGGAACTCTTTGCGTATTAGATTGGGTCTCAGCGGGGAGAACTGCAAGAGGGGAGAACTGGGATCTAAGAGCGTGGAGCGGGCGTAACGAAATTTGGGCCATGGGAAAGGATATGAAGAGAAGACTTTTGCTGAGGGATAACGTCTTGCTGGAAGGAGACGAAGCAACAGCTCCAGAAAAACTACTACGCCACAAAATGCGCGGAAACGGCATATTTGGTACTTTGATCCTGAAAGGGCCGCTGGTCGAGAAGTTGTCTGCCTTCTTTTTATCAGAATTTGCTGCACTGCCTAGGATTGGTGCCAGAGATTTTCGATCTGATGATAGGAAAGAAAAAGACAACGAAATCATTCTATCGAGACAGGAATCCTGGAGACTTCGTCGACTGGGACAAGAAAAGGAGGAAGGAATTCTTTGGTCTGCTGCAAAAGTGAGAGGATGCACAGTGGTGAAGTTTGGGGCTCCAACAGTTGAGAGTGGTCGTGTATGGATTGGCGGCATGATTAAAGAAGAATGTAGTATATCTGAGATCTTTGGAGAAGATTCATTAATGTGTGTACGTGAATGAATACGAGGACTTGAACAGGATAAAGATTCAATTCATCCAGGAGTTCGGATGGATACATCACGGCCATACGTGTCGCAGACCTTGTACCAATGGAGACACGGGAAGTATACCACTGATGCATGCCAGAATGAGATGATGTGAGGAAGTTTTTGCCGCACAAATCTGACTACTGCCTCGATATGGCCACGTTCAGGCATTGGTGGATGAACAGCTTCTTGCTCGTGCGGGCTCCGAGACGTTTTGGAACTTGAGAGGATACATGGGAGGTTTGCATCAATGTGTTTGAAGGGAAGTTCGGTTCTGGCAACGATGGTGACCTGACCAGCAAAACCAAGGGGAAAGCACAGTACAACATCGGTAAGATGTTGGAGGTTATTAATGCACATGTATCTGGCCAGGTCACTTATGTTTCTCTTACCAGCCATTGGGTTTTTCTACGATCGTCCCGCATCAAGTTTGGAAGGCTGGAAATGAGCCAGAGAATCGAGGCGTCTTGGCACGATGCGGCCTCTCTCACCATCAGGGAAGGGACAAAGCGATAAAACACGATATGGTCACTGCACAAGCTGGATGATTTAGGGAAAGGCAATGCTATCCGAGCACAAATCTATACACCAATGAAATTGATGCTTATGTCATGAAACACGTCGTACATTTTAGACCAGCAAATACACCCAAAATGGCCATGGTTTTCCGACTAGGACATCCCGGCACGTGATTTCCTCTGTCAGGTTTTCTTTCCGTCGCTCTCGTTCCGAGTTGGCCACTTTTGACACATAATTTGACTTTGTTTCCAATCACACAACACAAAACACAAAACAATCACTGAACACAAAGAATGGATCGTAAAGGATGGATTTTTAGAGGTTATTAGAATCAAACAAGATGTTCTGATGCACCTCTACTTCGGCCCTTGATATGGATTTTAGCCACACCTTAACTTCTCTGAGCGTTTGCAACTCGATTAGATTCAAGTCTCAAAAAGCTTCGACCGATTGTGAATGTTGTGGTGTTGTTGTTGTTACTTACTCCGTATTATTGTTCGAATGACGAAAAGATCTGCAATATGCAAGTTGATTCCACTCGTATGATTGCCTCCAAGGGTCCAAGTATCAGATAATCGGTAAAGCATTGCTCCGACACAGAGTCATGGATTAATTCCATGTTTGTTTTCATGCTCCATTCAAGCTCCACACCGATTGCTTTGGCCATTGTTGATTGGTAATTTCTGCATTTTCATCAAGCTTAATTCGACTTCAACACTAATTCAGGTACGTTGGGAGCTACTGTACTGTACACTGAGTAAGAGCTACTCGGCCGTCTCCCATGCTCAGCGTCCTTCCAAAAGCGATTCTCCTGTGTCGGAAGTCATAGAGTTTATGCTAGAGGTCTTCCAAGAGACGCCAGTATTTTGAGTCCACAGAAGGTTATCAATGATACTGACAAGTATTGAGCATCGAGCATGAAAAATATCAAGAATGGGTATGAATCCAAATCTGGCAATTCTTTCTACAAATTGAGATTGGTCCAGTGACAAATTTCAAACAAGTAGAATGTTCTGAATGTCGCAAACATATCTGCCCTAGCCATATTGATTTCCATCTCTTTACTCAACTGTGGCTTCAGAAACGCGCACAGACAAGACCATTTGAAGAAACCTGATCTTGTTTGACTACACCTGCCAAGAGGTATCTGAATCCCGATGCGAATTGTCAAGATGAAAACATTTCCCGTTTCAATGATCCTCCATGGTGAATTCTTCAGCCAAAGCATTACCCGATAGCATCAGTAGACCAATTCGCCTGTATGTCACCGGTCAGGGGCTTCAATGTTACAATGCTAAAGAGTTATGGACATTTCATCTATGGTGGATTACCTATCATCCCGCCACATTCATTCACTCCACTGCTCGAGCACGTTGCCACTATGTTGATAAGATAGTTAGATTTTCGATTACTTGTATCCACAACACATCCACATACACATCGGATAAGCTCTGTGCTTCAGGAACAGAGGCTACGCACAGACTTCGCATGGCTTACCCATTGTCCCCCTTCTCTTCACACTGAGTCCCGTATGGAAGTTTGGACTTCTCTTGGCAGGTTTCTCATGGATACCACCTTCCGTATTATGGAAATTGGTCTGATCATATTACTCTAGAGTTGATTTGCGTATGATTGAGAAAGTATTAAAGGAACTCAATATCCCTCCGTTTACAATTCTCTCCTCAGCATCAACAGTTTTCCAGTTCTTTCAATCTTCCAATTATCTTTCTATTCTTCCAGCCGCATACTATTGACTAGTATCCCGCTTTATACAATCTTTATAAATCTTTAATTCTTCAATAAACTTTAAAAACCCAACCAACCAACCCCAACAGCAAATATGCGTTATACTATCGTCATCGCCGCTATCATCCCATTCGTTGCCGCCCATGGCAAGATCGCAGTCTTGGTTAGTAATCTATCTCATTCCTTCTCAATCTCGTCTCATCATTAATCCCATTCCTCATTCTCCACTTCCAATAATTCACACTAACTCATTACTTCAGTCTGGTGACATGGGTGGAAACACCACTGGTCTTGGTATCCAAGGTGCCGTCATCCCTGGTGCCGGAACCAACAAGCAAACTGAGGTCGACACCACTGTCTTCAACAGCAAGAATGCCGCTACTGATGGTCTCGGAAAGACCAAGGCTGGTCCCAACACCATGGCTAACATGAAGAGTGTCATGGCCATGTCTGGTGAAACTCTTCCTCAAGTTAGCAGCAATGGAGGTGAACTCAGCGGAACCATCCACATCGTCACCACTGACGGAGCTGGACCATACTCCGCCATCGTCGACCCAACTGCTACCGGTACATTCTCTCAAGGTACTGAAGCAAAGGTCACTACTCAAGTACCAGGCAGAAGGGGTAACATCGCCGCACCCAAGCAACGCTCCCTCATGATGAGATCCCTCGTCAACCTGGGTATCGTCAAGCGTGCCAAGAACGTCAACGAGGACTACCCCATCAAAGTCGCCATCCCAGCTGGTATGTCCTGCACCGGTACCGTCGGTGATCAAAAGAACGTCTGCTTGGTTAAGCTTGCCAACCCATCTGGCGCTGGACCATTCGGTGGTGTCGCAGCCTTCCAAATGGCCTCGGCTTCCAGCGATGCTGCTGCTGGTAATGGCACTACTGCTGCCACTACCAAGCGCACCATCGGTGCCAAGTTCCGTGCTTAATTTTTCAGAATTCAAGATTACGGCGCCTGTGGGTTCATCATACCAGGAGTTGGAGGATTCGGGATTCGGAGAAAGGGTCTTGAGTGGGGGATGAAAGCGGTAGACAATTTTTCATTTGTATGTTGGGGTCGACTTGGTTGTTGGAAAAAAAGAAAGAGATATACTACTCTTACAGTTTCATCTTGTATCTAGTATAGCCGCTCCTTTAGTAACTCCATGTTGATGCTCTTGCTGGTCAAAATACTCGGTCTTTTATGCTTTTGATTGTGAGGTTTATGTGATTGTGTGATGATTATCTTTCTTTGCTTTGGTAGGTAGTAGATACTGAGGGTGATTCTTTTCTGCTTGATTTTTCTATCTCATTTCCCTCCTTTTCCCCTCTCCATTGTCTCCATGATTAGGCATTAATACTTATTGGGTTTATTGAGACCAGAAAGAGCATCAGATTGAATTGATTGATTCTCTAGCTAAGCAGTTAAGCTGCGAGTATATATTCAAAAAATGAAGGAATAGGCTTAGGTATTCGGCCTTCGGAATTAAAGTGCTTTGAAATCAAAATATTGAAAGCAAACAAACAGTATACCAAAAAGGAAAGAATGAATTAAAAGTTGAGTTTTGTTTGCTCCTTGTATGCATCATGCAATATATATGCATATACTGCCAAGATCCCAGGAGGTCAACAATACTTAATTTGAAGTTATAACTTCCTTGCGCTTGCTTCACTCCTTATTCATTATTTATTATTCTCTATCAATCTTCATTACCGTTGATTTAAATATTCCTTTTTTTTACTCTCCAAGTTGATTATTTGTTGGTTCACTAAGTAGGTATTGATAGATAGATAGCTTTAAAAATCTCTACACCTCCACACTCTTCTAATATGAATCTAATGAACTTAACTCCAACTTCAAATCTTCAAAATTATAAGATTATCTGATTTTTTTTTAAATACCCTGGTTTTACAAATATATATAAATTGGATAATAAAATCCTTGCTCGCTTTTCCAATAGTAATTATTTTTCTTCTTCTTTTGTTTCTTCTTCTAGTAAAGATAAATAAAATAATATTCATAAATTTTTGAATTTCACTTTTATTTCTAATAATGTAATATTGGTGATATAATTTTTTTTATTTTAGATTAAATAATTAAAGTAGTATATCATTATTTATTTGAAGTAATATTTTTATTTTTCAGTTTATTGAAGTAAAGAGTTCAACTATATTAATATAATAATTATTATGTTAAAAGGAATGACCTCACACAGGGAATAGTGGGAAGCTGATAGGGCAGAACTGAGGTAATATTGGTCTAGTAGGTTAATCTCTCTTCTAAGTTCTACGGAAGTGCGAAGCTCTCTTACAGAGAGCTTCTCAATCTAGTCCTAATAGGACTAGTGCCCTGTGCACGTGCTACGCAGGAACCATTCACTTTAACATATTAGTATATAACTATATTTTCCAAATCACTTCTCAATAATCTGCTAATTAATGATTATAACAAGCTCCCTTAGAATTCAATTTGATATTACAATACGTAGGTTGTTAAAGATTAGATTTGTAAATATATATAATATAAACATAATTCGGATCAAATAGAAAAATAAATGCCCTCTTCAACTTCTAACTTGAAGTCGAAATCTGTTCAATGATTAATAAGTCTACTATACACGGATTTTGGAAAAATTTAAACCAATGCGTAGAATTCATGATTATGGGCTAGTCGAATATAATATTTATTACAAAGACATTGCTATAATTATACTCTATTTATATCACTATCATATACCAATTTGAAACGAATTATATATTTCTCAGTTACATCACCAGTGCATTTTTCAAATTCTAGAGAGATCTTTACTCCCATAAGCCCTCTCAGTAAAACAGTAGTTCAATCGTTAAATGATTTATTAAAGTGTTGACTGGCAGGTAATAAATAGACTTTTAGCTCTTCAGTATTAACCTTTCAAGACTAGTAACACTAGCTACGTATACAATATCTACTATTATTCATTCTTCATTCTTACAAGTTTTAATGTTTAGTATGAACTTTGTTTAGTGATATCGTATTTTACTATTTGTCTCTATCTTTTTGTGAGTAGTAGTAGTAGTCGTTAGTAACTTGACCAATCCACTGGTGTAGATGTTCTGAAAATTTATCATTGAGTGTGGAAACTGTAAGTTGCACTTCTGTATATTTTGGGCGGGGGAAGTTCGCAGACTTAGACGCTCTTAGTCGTCTTCTACTTTTTGAAAGTGGATATAAAGGGTCCGTAAGTGTCTTCTACAGTAATTATATTGCATTAGAATTCCCGTTGCATTTTGGCATTTAAGAATATTCAAAGGCTCTTGAGTGAAAGTGTTCGTGCATCATAAGTTTCAAACACTCGAAGCATAATTACCATAAATCGAAATGCACCCAAGCATAAGTTGAAAGGGATCTGCTGAAAATACTAGCAGTGTATTCTTCTTGGCCTATCGACACATCTGGATCCTGGGTCAGAAGCGAAAAACACATTTCCAGGCATTTACTTCGGAGAATCTTTTGAACTTTGATCATCCATACCATTAGTTTTAAGATAATTTGTGTGACAGGCGACAAACTCACACTCTGATTTACTCAGAAACAACTTTATTCCGACTGCCGAATACTGAACATTGCAGCATTACAAAACAGCAGCGGCTTCACTTGTGGGACGCCGAGTGAGATACTTGTTGTTGTAAGATCTGGATGCCCTCTTTATGCCCTACTCGAGGAGGACTTCAACCTTGATCTTGCGTCTATGCCCGTCCGGCTAGACGGTATCCGTCAAAATCTTTTCTCAAATGTTTCGGATCTTTCACAAGGACACTGAGGCTATAAAATCTTTGAATGGCCATAGTCCGTTGCAGATGACCGAGTTCCTCGCAAGTGAGCTGGTCAGTAATATTGTCTAATTCAGCGGAAACCATGTGGCACTAAAATCAGGTTGATACAGTTGACCCCTCATGCTATGACTTAAGAGACAATTCTTCTTGTATGGTTAGTGTTGTCTTTGAGAATACCAACAAGACAATGATCGTATCGATGAGCCTTTGAATATTCGCGGATGAAGCTTTCGGGAGCATGTTTTATCACCAAGAACGATGGTTTTCTATAAGAGTCAAGTGGGTTGAGATCTGCGGGGAATGTGTTTTGATACTTGTCAACTCGAATAGCATGTTGAATTCTCCACATTCCATCATAAAGATTCGTTAGTCAGTTTCCAGGTTGTCTCGCTAGCTACGAGATTATGAGGTCTCGCACTGCATCGGAGAACGAAGCGTGGATTGCGGAATGGGCTGAGTTATATTTTTGCCGAAATTTCACACATAATGGTGATGGATTAAATCAAAGACAGGTGACGATTATCTCGCAGGTATATATTAGTGTTCGACTTGGGAACGCAAATACTATGGTATAGTGAAGGTTCTTCTTGTTGTGTAAACTTCCACAGAGCACCATCTTGGCCTTGAATCCGGCCAATGGATGGATTAAATTCTGACATCTAGATCAAATTGAATATCTCGACCCCATCACTACAATGCTGGTAGGATGAGAGAAAGATCCCATCCGTAGCTTAAACAGTTTCTTGTTCTAATCAATGGCTACAAGGCCTCGAAGCTTATGAGACGGGGGACATTTTGGAATATCTCCAGCCATCTCACCTGGTCAGCGTTGCATTGTTAGACAAAACAGCATTCGTCGTCGTGGTGCGCGCTATACCGAATTAAGTTAGGTCCATTTGGAAACCCCGCGCGCGCTCACACCGCAACAAGACGCGATCCCACGCTCTACTCACCTCAATTCCTGTGAACTTCTTCTAATTTTGACGTGCCTCGTGAACCCTCAATTAAACTAAACATACTCTCAAGCATTTGCAATACAGTGCGTGTAACAAAGCTTTCTGCCAATCAACGATTGCATTGTCATATTTGAACCCGAAATTCATGTCATGGCAACAATTACACTACCTTACTTCGTGCCCTCAAACGAACTTCCACAACCACTTCCAAGCACCGAAGAAATCCACAATGCAAAGAAATATAATGAGGATGGAGCCCATACCCTTGTTCGAATTGGGCCTCATATGATCAAGTATGGTTCTAATGTCAATCTCATAGAAGGGGAGAATATGCTATTTGTCAATCGCGAAACAAAATCAACAGTACCAGTGCCTCGAGTATATGCCATTTACGCCACTCTCGGAAGATGTCGTCGAACGAATGTCGAAGTAGACACCAACTACATCACAATGGAATACATTGAAGGTAAAACTTTGAAAGAAGAATAGAGCTCCCTAAGTGTGCAACAAAAGGATAATTTATCCGCCCAATTTCGAGAATATATTAATCGCCTCCGCTCTCTTCCTTCCCCGGGTTATTATGGTAGTATCGGGAGACGTGGCATTCTCGATTGCATATTTTGGACGGGCGATAGTTCATGCGATCGTCTAGACGGTCCGTTCGATACGGAGGATGAGTTCAATGAAGCGATGCGCAGAAAAGCTATGTTTAATGGTTATATGGGAGAGAGGGTGGAGTTCTATCGACATGCATTTCCTGCTGTGTTCAAGGGCCATAAACCTGTTTTCACTCATGGCGATTTTCAACGGGAGAATATCATGGTCAAAAGAATACCTTCGCCGGCTTCGGCCGAAGTTCAAGATTCTAAGGCTAACGATGATACCTTTGAGGTGGTTATTATTGATTGGGAAAATTCGGGATGGTATCCAGAGTATTGGGAGTCGGCCTTAGCTTTGGTTTCATGTGGACCTTAGAACGATGATTAGCATTCCTGGTTGGCAAAGAGTGTGGACATATTCTACAATGAGCGCTCCTGAATTAGTACGCTCCGCGTTGAACTCTGGTCATAGAGGACTAATTTTATATCATAGATGTCCCGGCTGATTATCAGCGCGTAGTACAATTCATCCAAGCTCTTCCCTCGAGTGAGGTAAAAAGAAACTTTCCCCCCACAAAAGTCACCATACTTGTTACACAAGCGACTAGGACATCTATTCCACGCCGCAACTCATGTATCCATGAGAACCTGTCTTTTGCCTTTTAAATCCCTTCACGAATCACCTACATTTCCCTTAGATGGCCTCAATACCCGGCGCTCCGTGATTTTCATTCTAAACCCGCAGCTCAAATATTACGACGTGTAGGGGAGAGTCAATCAGTAACCTCTTATGTTTCCTAACGAAACGCCAACAATAGTCTTTTGGATAACAATCACGAGCACATTCCCTTCGATAGTATTATCCATGTTGAGTTAAGATATTCGTAGTAGATTATCATTTATATTAATTTCAGATATTCATTATAGATTATTATCTTTTCTATACCGAGTTGAAATATTCATAATAACCTATTATCTATATAGATTTAGAATACTCATAGTTTAAATTTACATTTATACTTTAGGTTCAATCAATATATAAATATATTGATAATTTATTATATATATCTAGCAAAATTATCCATATCCAGATTTTAATTTCATTAAAATCCAACTAAAACACAAAGCCCACTAGTTATACTTGTAAATATGTGTCTACACTAGTATTTGCATATCAAGAATATATCAAATACTCTTAGGTACAGACACCTACCTACCTACCTACCTACTGATCACGAGTATCCACAAGCCAACCCAACCCAATTCCCACTCATCAAAACGAAGCAGATCGATCTAGTGATCCCACCCTACCCCAGCATAAATTATCCATCTCACATAATTACTAGGTAATTGATCTTAACTTTTCCTAAGATTACAATAAACACAATCAAGATATCAAAATCCCAACTTCTAATCCATACAGCATACATCATATATACACACAACAAACATCCAATTCCATACCCCTCATACCCAGCCAGCCAGCCCGCACTAATCTATCTAATCGTAGTTCCCCACAGTCCGAACACTCTCTGCCATCTTTTTCCCTCGCCCGCATCAGCTTTCTCCGTATCTTCTTCATTTACTTTGATACCGTACTGCTTGATGCAGCATTCAAAGGGTTTATTCCTCGGTTTAATTTCTAGTTGTATTTCTACTTTTTTATTCTTCTCTTTTCTTTGTAGATTGAGGTCTATTTCCATAGAAGTTGTAGATTTCTTGGGGATTTTGTTTTGTTTTTGGTAGCTCAAGGTCTCTGTTTCCTCGTCGTCTGGTGGTAGACTACCGCTGGTTTGTTTGGAGACATCTTCTTCGTCATCGGATTCTGAATCTGCTGCTTTGGAAATCTCTGGCGGCGATTCTTCTTCTTGCGGTTTTTCTTGGACCTCTTTTGCATGCATGGCTATTTTTTGCTCTTCTAAATCGCCCCAGAGTGTGAAGAGTTTTTCTTTAACATTGTTCAGCATTTCTGGGTTTCTTCGTAGGCTTTAAAGTCTTGTTAGCTTTGCTTTCCTCGATGACATACAAGCACGATAATCTGGGGTTAAGGATGGGAAGTCATACTTGCAAGCATCATTCAGATCATTAAATAACAGCTGTGCATCTCTATTTCCCACAATAAGAGTAGCTCTGTCCTTAGAAGCATCTGGATTTGCGTCCTCAACCACAAGTGCAAATCTCCATTTCCACTTCTTTTCTGAAATTTCTCCATCGCGAAAACTCTGCATATTATTTTCAGGGCCGTCATCTTCATCACCGCTGTAATCAGATAATAAGTCATATTCGCTAGGTTTGCGGCCAACAGCAAAGTCGGCAATATTTTCAGGAAAATAATCTACCACTCGAACATTGGCCTTGTAATTTTTGTTCTCGAAGGGTACGTGAATTCCGGCATATTTGGGATCAGAGGAAAGGGGCGTGCGTTGGAGAATAGTTGATAGAGACACTATACCATCATAAGGCCGAGAAGGATGTAATACCACTATAGAATTATTAATGATGAACAACTCATCGCACGAAGACTTACCATTGTCATTCAAATCAAGATTTTTAGTAACCTTCGTCTCGATCACAGCAGTTTTGGCATCTGCTTTAGCTCGTAATTCCTTTCTTCGGGCCTTAGAATTCTTCCCGCCTGGTTGTCCATCAGCTTTGCGCTTGGTTCCCACCCTCGCGATTTCTTCTTGAAATCTCTCCATGTCCTTTTTGTGCTTTTTGTTCCAATCATGTTTTCGTTGAACACATTCTTTCCATCGGGGATCATTGCTCTGAGGATCTTCAGATTGTTTCATGATCTCGACTTGGACTTTACCCTCAAATGACCCTCGATCACCACGAAGCTTGCCCTCCAATAGACCCGCCTTGCCGACAACGAATTGAACGTTGGTTAAACGAAGCCACTGACCTTCCTTGACCTTTTCTTTAACGAAATCGGCATGCGAGTCGAATAATGTGAGCTGAATGGTCATTTTCCCGAATGGACCTTTCCATTCTTTCGCTTCATCCCTAGGCTTTGCTTTTATATAACCGTAATCATCACCATCGCGACCTTCCGTCGTGACATCAGATAACTCCGGTAGAATATAATTATAAAAGTTAGGGTGAGCTGTGTAGTCCGTAAGGTAAACAGTAACCATATCATAACTAGCTCCATAGATCTTTCTCACTTCACCGATGATATCGTGGAAGGAACCTTCCTTCACATCTTTGAGGAGACTATACTTGTCCCTGACATTCATAGCTTTGTCTGCTTTTTCCTGAAATTCTTGAGTGTTAGGGAGCTCGAGTTCATCGAGGTGTTGATTTGACCATATCACATACTTGGTCTCGATTGGTTCTGGACGTCGGCATCTAGCAGGCGGTGTCGAAATCCAAGGAGCTTTGGAAATGGGGAAAATAGCTTTAGGGATGTTCGCAGAACGGAGTATATGGTATTCAGTGGAAATGTGAGATAATAACTGTATTTCTCCCATGCGCATTTGAACCTATGATTTGTCAATCGACAAGCAGAACTCTAGGAAATGAGGCGGGGTGTACCTTTGCATTACGGATAAGCACCGCATCTTTGGGATTATAGATTCGTGGCATTCTATCCTCTGATGCAAAAACACTCATTCTTAAGCCTAGTCTCTCTGATCGTGAAGAATAATCTTTGATTTGAAAACTGCTTTTAAAATCTGAGCAAATACGTTAGTGTGTATTGCGCAGGCGAAGTGTATTTTGTGTTATGTATGGATTTACCCACCTGTCCCCCTAGTTTTATAGGGGGTTGATAATCCATTACGAATCCTATTACGTTGACAAATTGCTTTTTCACAGTTCCACCTGGTAGGATATCCAGATTCTTGATTTGCTCAACCGTATGAAACCCCGAGGGAATGGCCATTTCGGATTTAGGTATTGCTGCGACGCTGTCGTTTTCTTGTACATTCTCCATTTTGAAATACTTCGAAGAATACTTGGGAACCCTGCGCTACTATTTTACCTTTTTAAATGATACTCCTGGTAGCAGTGTTTGTTCACTTCAAAGGAAATCGAAAATAAAACTAGTTGGTCATAGATCTAGGAACACAAGCTTTTGGCGAACAATTTGTATGTTGAACGTTCTTTTGAGTGTATATGAAGTATGTTTCCCGTGATTGCCCCTTGCCTCTTCCTTATAAGTAGATACGTTGTAGTTGATCAAATGTCAAATGCTCTGTACGGTAGATGCGACAGAAGTAACTCTACCTGCCATAAAACTCGTGATGCACAGATTGTATAGTGAATATCCTTTGGAATCCGTGTGGAGTACGGTCTGTGCTGTGCCTGCTCCTCGCCTTTTCCTTATAAATAAATGCGTTGATGTTAATGAGGTTGATTGAATCTCAAAATGCTTTGATGGATGCGAGTGAAGCTGATAGCCTCATCACTCCTGACTCGTAAAGGTAAAGATTAAACACCAAAGACTCTGTTGTATCTAGATGGACATGTACGGTGAAGTAGATAAAGTAAAGGAAATGTATCTTTTCTATGATTTTTTGATCCTCCCTCTCGTCTTCTCACCTTGCTTGTAAATAAATAGACGCGTTAATTGAATCTCATGCAGATGCATCTATGGCGATGGTAGACGCGACGTAGTGCTTACCTAATAATATTCCCTGCATGGCACAAACTCACCAATCAACCACGGCCCAATCAAAAGCAACGAACCGCAGAGAACGCTTTCGACTTCTTCCCTAGTCAAATCTTTTCAACCTTTCATGTTTCGCTAAGGTCACGTTTCAAATTAGCTTTACCGCTTTCAGCTTGGAGGCGGATTGTTCCTCTTTCTATTCTTTTGGAGCCTTCTCAATCCATTGGAGCCAAAGAAACTTCTATAATTTTCCCTCCAATCTCTTTTCATTCACTACAACAAATACATCTAAAACTCAAATTTTATCTACACCACCTGTAAGGTTGTGTTCGATTTAAGTCTCTTAATCTCTTACTTCCTTTTACAAATCAACAAAAACATATCGATTTCAGTCATATCGCAGCCATGGCCGATCGTTATATCCCAGAGCATCGTCGAACTCAGTTCAAAGCAAAGAACACTTTCAAGCCTGATGAATTAAGACGTCGTCGCGAGGAACAACAAGTCGAGATCAGAAAAGTCAAGCGTGATGAGAATCTTGCAAAGAGAAGAGGTATTACAGCAGGAGAAGGATCTTCACGACCGGGAGCCTCTTTAGGTGCTGAGCCTGATAGTGATGATGATACCGCCCCTACAGAAAGTCAGGTAAGTTGTGATCGCGCATACTCATTTCTGTCTAACTGGCACTCGCACACATTATTTCCCACATTTGCTCTACACAGTCATACCAGTACTTCTTTTCAATATACCCCACCACCAGGAACTTTCAAAATAGCTTTCAACTATTTACTTACCTTGGTGGGGTAGCTGCTGTTTCCTAGTGATAATGTTTTTCGCTTCTGCGATTGACCCTCTCTCACAGCTTTATCGCGAACGTTAATGCTAGGTTTCACAACCTGAACAATACAATTGTTCCTTATCAAATACCCTGTCCATGGCTAATCAAGATTTCCTTTCAATAGTTGAACGATGACCTTCCTTTAATGGTACAAGGCGTATTTTCCGAACAAATCGATGCACAAATTCAAGCCACAACCAAATTCAGAAAGTTACTTTCAAAAGAAAGAAACCCTCCTATCGAAGAAGTTATTAAGACTGGTGTCGTTTCACGATTTGTTGAATTCCTCCGTTCCCCTCACACACTTGTACAATTCGAGGCAGCATGGGCTCTTACAAACATCGCATCTGGTTCTGCTCAACAAACACAAGTTGTTATTGAAGCTGGTGCCGTTCCAATTTTCGTTGAGTTGCTCGGAAGCCACGAGCCAGATGTTAGGGAACAAGCCGTTTGGGCTTTAGGAAACATTGCTGGTGATAGCCCATCATGCAGAGATTATGTTTTGGGATGTGGTGCCCTCAAGCCTCTCCTCGCTCTTTTGGGTGATAGCAGGAAGTTGAGCATGCTCCGTAATGCTACCTGGACTCTTAGCAACTTCTGTCGTGGGAAGACACCACAACCTGATTGGACTACCGTAAGGATTCCCACTCTGCTCCCTTTATTATGCTAAGACTTACAATTATAGCAGATCTTACCAGCTCTGCCAGTTTTGGCCAAGCTCGTTTACTCTTTGGATGATGAAGTTTTGATCGATGCTTGTTGGGCAATTTCATACCTTTCCGATGGTGCCAATGACAAGATACAAGCTGTCATCGAAGCCGGTATTCCTCGTCGTCTCGTGGAACTGTTGATGCACGCCTCCACCTCGGTTCAAACCCCCGCTCTTCGTTCCGTTGGAAACATCGTCACTGGTGATGACGTTCAAACTCAAGTTATCATTAACTGTGGTGCTCTCCCAGCTTTGTTGTCCCTTTTGAGTTCAGGAAAGGATGGTATTAGAAAGGAAGCTTGCTGGACCATCTCCAACGTTACTGCTGGTAACTCGACTCAAATTCAAGCAGTTATCGATGCCAACATCATTCCACCTCTAATTCACCTTTTGTCCAATGGTGACCTCAAGACCCGCAAGGAAGCTTGTTGGGCAATTTCCAATGCTACCTCCGGTGGTCTTCAAAAGCCAGAGCAAATTCGTTACTTGGTTAACCAAGGGTGCATCAAACCACTTTGCGATCTTTTGGCCTGCCCGGATAACAAGATCATTCAAGTTGCTCTTGATGGTCTTGAGAATATCTTGAAGGTTGGTGAGATGGATAAGGATGCTGCCGGAGAAGGAACTGAGAGCATTAACCGATATGCCTTGTTCATCGAGGAATGCCACGGCATGGAGAAGATTCACGATTGCCAAACCAACGCAAACGAAGAGATCTACATGAAGGCATACAACATGATTGAAAAATACTTCTCTGATGAGGAGGAAGGTGCTGATGATGGTCAACCACAAATCGCTGGTAATACTTTTGGTTTCGGTACCAATGGAGAACAGTCTGGTAACTTCAACTTCGCCAATGGTGGGGATACGATGGATATGTAAACATCTTTTATGAGTCAACAAATCCTCTAGCTTTTAGCTATACTTTCCGTTCCAAAAATCCTCTAATACGACTTCTAATAACAAATTGACATTGTCGTCACCAACAATAAATCGGGCCTAAAGTTTCGGCACCGGTAGTTCTCAATTTGCGAATGCGAAAAAAAAAAAACGCCAAATTTATCCACCCAAAGCACGTTTTTCCCCCGATGTGACCAACGATTAGCGAAAGATTCACCGTCATGTATTTTCCCTTTCTTAACGTTTTTACAACCAACAACCCCGGCACATCAAAGGCGTTTTTTGATCAGTTTTTTTCCCCCGAGGTTCATTCTACCTCTTCTGTTGATTTATTTTCCAAATTCAAAGTTTTTGTGACATTGAGACATGGTAGCTTGAAAGCGACATGATTCTCCCAACGGAGTTCAATGAATATTTTTACGCAATGACACATTAGTGTGATATGATGTGTGATGAGTATGGTAGCTTGAAAGCTCCTACTCAAATGAGGTGCTACGAGATGCGGATTTGGATGATGAAACATTCCGGAGAGAGCATACTATGATGCGATGGTTGGTGGCAGACAGTGGTGGATGAATTGAGTGGGAAAGGTGGATGAATGCATGAAGGAAAGCAAGAGAGGAGTGGGAGGGATGAGATAGCACCACAAAGAAGATATCATGAATGAACGAATGATTGATTGACTATATTTGGTTGATTCTGTGCACGTGTTACGGAGTATGTCGTAATTTTATTTCACGCCTAGGTTTTAACTCTACCAGGAATATAAAGGAGGGAGGGAAGAAAGTACTTCATATCATCATCATAGACATTCATCCATTGTCTTCTCTCTTCCCCTCTCTATATCTCTCTCTCATTTGCCCTCCCACTTTGTCCTCTAGCTTACTTTCTCTTACTCCCCACACCGTCGTTACAAACAGGCATATTAAATAACATATAAATAGCCAGCCAGCCATACGATACAGTACACGAATGTAAATCAGTACCTAAACCTAATTTTATAGAAATCTCTTCTTTCTTCTTTACTCTTCCTCTACTCTTTCCTCTTTTCCTCTTTCCCTTTCTCTTCCTCTACTCTACTTTACTATCCTCTACCGTTCTCCAAATGTAAATGTAAATGTAAATGTAAATGTAAAAAATGTAAATCGTAACAATGTCAAAAGATGAAAAGGGTAAATAAATGTAAATGTAAAAGGTTCGTCCCTTGTTCCCCTAATCCCCAAAAACCCCAAAAACCCAGAAACTAAACAACAGCTTCCTCATCAATTCCCCCATTCATCTTAATAACCCTGTCAGCTTCCTTTTCAAAATTCTTCAGGATCTCTCTTTCTTTCTGGCCCTCTCCATTCATATTCATATTCATACTCCCCGTCCCCTCTACCCCACCATGATTATCCGCCATTCCACTCTCCCTTCTTCCTTCCGCTAAACTCGTATTATCGATGAGATCTCTCGCGCGATCTGAAACTCCTGCAATTTTATCCTGTTCCTCGAAGCGATCTACGACTTTACTTTTACCGAGTTGTCTCCGATCTTCCTCGCTTGTTTTGCCGCTCCCGAAGACGCGGGCTAGTTCCGCGCAGGCTTCTTCGTAGCAGCGATCGGCGGCTTTGGGGAAGGAGATGGGGTTGGGTTTTTTGTCAAAGGCGTGCGGGACGCAGTTGATGAGGCCGCCTTTGACGGATTTGCCAATCGCGGGTGAGGAGAGTCGTTCGCCGAAGGCGATGCCTTCTACGTTTAACATGTCGTATTCACAGGTGTATAGCACGATGTCTTGTGGGTAGGCATCTCGGAGGAATTTGTCAGTGGCGGCTGCGGGAGAGAGGTAGGGATCGCGAAGATCGATCGAATCGATGGGGTGCATGTAGGATTCGTCGAAGAGGCGGGTGAGCATTGGGGGGAGATTTTTCTGAGGAGCGGGATTCGTGGCCCGTTTTTCATCGCGGGTTTGTCGGAAATCGGTGGGTGGGTAGAAGGATACTATGGCGCGGATGGTGAGGTCTGGAACTTCCTGAGCAATTTCTAGTGCGGTGGGTTCGAGAGAGGGGATTTTGGCTATTGATGTCGTGGATTGATTTCTACTTTGAGGTTCTCCTTGATAGGGATTGGGTCGGAGGTGTGAAGTAAGTGTGCTAGATGATGCGGCCGAGGTAGATGATTCGTATTTTGTTTTATCGAGGTCCTGTCGACTAGCATTTGTAGAAGGACTTCCATCTGCATTTGTAGTCGCACTTGTGAGATCTGCCAGCGTGCGTTTTCCGGCATCGTTTTGTAGATCGTGAAGCATGAGAGGGACTGTAAATGCGAAATTTCCTCCAGCACTGAATCCCGATAATGCCATTCGATGAGGATCTAATCGTAATTCTTCTGCATGCGCGGCCAAATATATCACAGCATCGGTGCCATCTTCAACTCCTACACTAAAAGGATATTCAGGCGCAAGACGATATTCCACACTGACAAATACAGCATCCACGGTATGAATAACGGCAGAAGCCCATCTCGCATCATCAGTTCCGGTTCCCAATGTAAAACCTCCTCCATGATAATTTACTACGACGGGAAATCGATATCGATCTTCATCTGACCCTTCCACATATGATTGCGGGACATAAAAGATAAGATTAAAATATCCCCCGCGGGGACATAATCGAGAGGGTATTCGAATTTTGAAATTAGGTGCTGGTGGTTTAGGATCTGCAAAATGATGGAATTTCATGCCAATGGCCATCAGACCTCGCCATATTGTAGCTTTCATTTTTAAAAGTAAATTTGATTCTGAGCTGGTATCGTAATATTCGTTTGTCATTGAACAGTCCTTTTGAGGACGAGTAAGGATTTGAATCTGAAGAAGTAAAATTCGAATTCGAATTCAAATTTAAATTGAGAAATGGGAATTAATTAATGTAAATACTGTAATAAGAGCTGGAAAAGTAGACTTGGAGTATGCGGCTTGAGTTGTGAGAAGTGCGTAGGGCTTGGAAAGAGGATATTTGTGGGTAAGATCAGGGATTTATGATGTTGAGTATATAAAGGATTCCGAGTACTAGGTAAGGTAGGTAAATGTAAATAATAAATAATAAATAAATGATGAGCCGTGAGGGTAAATTATTATGAGGGAATGTTGCCGTTTTGTCGCGCCAGGTGTGAGGTAGGTGATATCTACCCAGTAGGTATTATCTGTCACTTGAATCTGTCACCCGGATATCTGTCTGTACATGACCTTTTATTATCTTACCCCTAAGAGAAGATGTGATTTGAATTGAATTGATTGATTTGAGTTTGAATTAATTCAAATGATTTGAAATTGTAAATTCATTTCTCTTTTTCTTCCCTTTCGAGTTCTAGAGGATGTTACCATTTATTGCATGGTATCCTTCGGCCGTCAAACATAAAACCAGGGTCCAATTCGTGGGAAATCCATGAAAATGAAGTGCTCGGCCTGTAAAAGACTAAAAGTTATTCTTGGAGGGGAGTCGAGGACGTCATTTGTGCCAACCTGCCGCAGGGGCTGTGCCAGGTGGTAAAGTAATCAATGAGCCAGTCTAATGTATGGCTGTCTGGATATTGTGGCATGATTTTTCACACTTTCGCGTGTTTGGACGCGCGGCTGCTCATGTGATATAAGTCACGTGATGTTAATATCTGACATACCGAAATGAACTTGAATGCCGCTCCGCTAGCCCTCTGGGAGCCACTGCCGTGGAGGCCGTACTCGCCATGCTCGAGAATTAGCTTTTAAAGTGAGTTTTGATGTCCATGACTCGCAGACACGTGAATGACTCGACTCCTCGAATTGGTAGCACCAAAATAACCAGTTTGATAGACCTACAAATCTTGGCAGGTACGGACCGTGATGAGTTATCTTACGCCAAGGTTATTTTTTCAGCATCTTTCATATCTGAGTTGTTTTCGTGAATAGCTTGAGGCGAGAAAGAAGACCGGAGATGAATGTCCGTTAATCTTCTTGCTTGTGGCTGAACACATGTGGCAGTGATCGGAAGCAGCAAAACAGCTGAAAATAGAAGGTGTGAGAAATACAGGGTACTTTCAATGACTCCAGGATGATGGAATGAAATCTGATAGGTAGAAAGATAAATGGCTTTTCCCCAATTCAGTATCTTACCAACAGGAGTCGAGTACAGCCGTGTTCAGTCGAGTACAGTGTAGAAATCATGGTGAATCTGGGAACCGCATCATTTACTTAATACAGGAATCTCATCAAATTCTCATCAAATGCGGTAAGACATGCATCGTTCTCTTAAATTCCACCCGATATTGACTTATCCAAGGCCCGTAATTCCCATCATCTATTTTGAACGATGTCGCGGGTAACCTTCGATGTTGATAACTACCTAGTATTAACTTGGTAAATAACCATTTAAACATCAAATAAACAAGGATAATTCCAAGTATGTACATGTACTTGATACCGGCATTTATTTAACCCACATCTCTTCGCCGTTGCATTGTGAGTACGAGCCATATAAAGGTCTTGGCGTTTGTTTGTTGATCCATTTGATTTATTTGTCTCTTATCCTGTTGTGATGGATCATGGAAATCTTTTTCTTTCGCAGGTGGATTGGATTAAGATATGGATCTATCTATTATCTGTGTTTTGAGCTGTGACACTCCCACAGACATCATAAAGTGAGTGATGAACTCTGACATCATCGCATAAGTATTCTGTAGTATAATTCAGTCACTCAGAATAGCCAGTTGTTGATCAATGCATAGGTACCTACCTACTACAACCGAGAGGAAAATGTATCGGGATCTTTTTCATTTAATCGGAAATTCCATACTTCCATGAATTGTTGGTAAAAGAAAGAAAGGCTTGAATCCAGGAGGGATTCTTCGAGTACCTAGTTCGAAATAGGTATCATCAAATCTAATCAGTGCCCAGGTGTTAGCAGTAGTAAATTATTCATCATAAGCTTTCGCGCCTTGCATGCCTAGAACTTATCCGATGCTTGGATTTTTGTAACGCCCCCAGTCCCCTCCAAGTTTTCAGCTTTTTTCCCTTACCGGGTCATCAAATATAATAAGTACAGTACGGGAGTAGCTTTCTTTTATTATCTCTCTTTTACACAGAATCTCTCGCACTCACTTCCTCTCCCTCTCACTCTAACTCTCTACCAGACCACTGGTACTTGAGATTAATAACAAGGACAGACTTAATCTTCAATTCTCTTCTTACTTGCTTCTCATCTCTTCCTTTTATAAAACCAACATAATCATTCCTCTTCCTATCTCCCCCGCATACCAACCTCTTATATTTCCTTTCATCGATACACCAATCACCAATCAACAATCAAGAAGAATCAGCAGGAATTATCTTCAAATCGACTGACTTAAGGTTGAGTCAACGATCAAAAAAGAACTCCGCACTTCCCGGATGTTCCGTAGACCAACAAATTCGAATAAATAGCTTGATCGTCAGTTTTTGAGTCGGCAACACAACTCATCCCAAAGTTCCAGCATTGTTTGAATAAATCCTCTCAGAAACAATCCGTGGGATTCATCATCTTATTGCAGTGGGATCATATCTTACTCGCGACCAAACTAAAGAAACTATCATACCTACATAATTTTTCGGCATCTTCTTAGAAGATACCTGGATTGTTCCCGAAATTTCATTCGAGCTCAAGATAGAGACAACATATATTTGACATCATGTCTGCCTTAAAGAAACGCCTCAGTAAATTGATACCAGATCGCATTGGCAAACCCAACAGCAACAATTCGAGCAGTGAAAACGTGCCATCCGTACCAAGCAAAGAAGAAGGGATTGATGGCTCTTCTGCATCCAATGGAGCTACACCATCTTCTCCTCGAAATCATGGAGCTCAAACTCCCGAGCGATCAAATTCCCGACGAGTTAGTCGAGAGATAATTGAACAAAACAGGGCTAGAAAAAGTATGGATAAGGAGCGCTCAAAGGCGGAGAACAAGAAGAGGCAATCTTTGGCAAGAATAGAGGATGAAAAGTTCTTGAAAGAAGGGCCCGAGGCTCTCACACAGCTCTATCGGCCATACAGTATGATACAAAGTAAACATTGGAGGCATGAGGAGAGAGCTTTGTTCAAGGATATCAATTGGGCTGGTAAGTTGATCTTCCTTCATTTTAGTACCATCTGCTAATACTATGATAGAAATGGATGGTCAAATCATTAACTTCAGAGCTCGAATGCATACCCTCCGTAGAATGTCTGCCAAATTGGTATTCATCGTTTTCCGTCAACAAACTGTCACAATTCAAGGAGTTTTACAGAGCTTCAAACCGGGGGAAGAACATGGTGGTGGTGAGTCTTCATTTTTGCAGCGGTGCCACGGGGAACATATCTAACAAGCTTTATTTCCACAGAACATGGTACAATTTCCGAACAGATGGTCCGAACAGTTGAACATTACCCCGCCGAAACAATTGTCGTTGCCCATGCCAAAATTCGAAAATCCCTTCAAACTGTTAAGAATGCCACAGTTCATGATTATGAATTACAGGTTTACGAAATCCATAGAGTGGTTCCATTGACCGAAAATGTACCATTCACAGTATACGATGCGGAAAATATCAACAGAGAAAAGGAAATTGACATGGACGATGATTCTGGAGATGATTCAATTCCTGCAAGTCAGCCAATGTCACCAACTTCAACAGATACGCCTAGGGGTCCTCCTTCTCGTGCGTCTACTGATCTTGCACGTCATGCTTTTGCAAAATTGGATGACAAGAATCTTGAGAGCAGAAGTAAGTCTTTCGTGGAATGGATAGATGTATGATCTGTAACTAACGCCAAAATAGCTTCCATGGATACCGCTCATCACCAAAAACGATCCTTACCACAAAGAGTGAGGTTGAACAACAGAATTATCGATTTACGAACAACTCCAGCACAAGCAATTTTCCGTATCCAATCCGGAATTTGCAACCTTTTCCGATCATATCTTGATACACAAGGCTTCATAGAAATTCATACACCAAAATTACAAGGAGGTGCTACTGAATCTGGTGCAACAGTTTTTGAGCTCAATTATTTTGGAAGATCCGCTTTCTTGGCCCAATCACCGCAGTTGGCTAAACAAATGTGTATAGCAGCTGATTTCGAAAGAGTTTACGAAATTGGTGCAGTTTTCCGTGCAGAAGATAGTAACACACCTCGTCATTTGACTGAATATACTGGATTGGATCTTGAGATGGCTTTGGAAGAGCATTATCATGAAGCTTTGACTCTCATTGATGGTATGTTCAAGAACCTTTGGAAAGGAATTTACGACCGATACCAAAAAGAAATCGATCTCATTGATCAATTTTATCCACACACCAAGGTTGAATGGTTAGACGAAACCCCCAAGAATTCCATTTTCTACCGGTGTTAAGATGCTAGTTGATTCTGGTTGGGTAGAAGAAGATGGAAGTGTGCCATCTGAGACCGAGGATCTTTCCACTAGAGCTGAAATTCGCTTGGGTGCGTTGGTTAAGGAAAAGTATCACACTGATTATTATATCCTCGACAAATTCCCTGCTTCTGTTCGACCATTCTACACCATGCCCGATCCAGATGATGATCGATTCACAAATTCCTTCGATATCTTTATGCGTGGTCAAGAAATCTTGACTGGTGGTCAACGTATTCATGATGCTGAATTTTTGGAAAAGCGCATGAAACAAAAGGGTGTCAAACCAGAAAGTATGCCCGAATATCTTGAAGGTTTCAGATGGGGAGCACCACCTCATGCAGGGTGTGGTATTGGTCTTGAACGTCTCACATACCTTTTCCTCAGTCTCGGCAATATTCGTCTTGCATCTCTATTTCCAAGAGATCCTAAGTCTCTTCCAGCCATACCTCCTACTCTCGCTCTTCGTCATGAAGATGCGTCAACGCTCAATCCAGTTTGGGAGAAGGATGGAGTGGAATTCAGTCCTGAATTACTACCACCTTTGGAGAAATTGATTGCCAATTATGGTGATGCAGCCAATACCTCTTGGTTAGACAAACGTTATCACGTATGGAGACACACAACTACTGGTGCAGCTCAAGGTTATGTTATTCATAACTCATATGCCATTATTGTTGGAGAGCCTCTTTGTGACAAATCTCAAACACCGTCTATTGTCTCGGCCTTCCTCAACTACTTGAATACTGAACACAAGAATCTCAAGCCAATTTGGATGATTGTCGGTCCTCGTACCGAAGAATATCTTGGTGAAAAATTTGGATGGCGTACTTTATCTCCTACAGCCGAAGAACGTGCTGATCCTAGAAATAATCCTGCAGCTAGGGATAATGATCTGGCACGTAAAGTTCGACATGCTGAAAAGGAGGGTATAAAACTTCAAACCCTTCCATTCAATGAACCAGTTCCAGATGATTTCAAAGAAAAGGTCAACGCACGAGTTGCAGATTGGCAAAAGAATCGAAAGGGTACTCAAGTTCATCTTACAGAAATTAGACCTTGGGTTGATGAAGCTCATCGTAAATACTTTTACGCTCAAGGTCCAGATGGAACAATTCATGCCATTAATGTTCTTCATCAACTCAGTCCTGAAAATGGATACCAAGTAAAATTCTCGCTCGAGTTTCCAAACGCTCCATCCGGTACAGTGGAATCTCTTCTACTTTATTCGATGAAACAATTGAGTGCAGCAGAGCCAGATGTTAAACGTATCACTTTTGGTACGGGTGCTCAACCACACATTGAAGGTGGAAGAAACTTGGGTAAACATAGGATTAAGGCGTTGAAGAAGGCCTATGAAACGATTGTTAAACAAGCAAGATTATTGGGGAAGAGTGAGTTTAGAGAAAAGATGGGAGCATGGAATGATGCAGTTTATGTAGCATATCCTAAGGGTGGTTTGGGTGCTGGTGGTATTAGAGCTTTGATGGGTTTCCTTGAGGAAGATGGTTAGATTTTTCGTTAGAGGATGATTGATGAAGGGTTTTATGGTGTGAGGGATGAAAAAGATAGTAATTTGATGAGCCGGGTTGAAGAGTGAGTTGGGAGAG